AGCAACATTGATGAAAATATGTGTTCCCTCTCCAGAAATGCTTGTTGTTTGTTAAGGATAGACTTCCATTTTTCCACCAATTCTTCTGCATTCTTGTTACAACTTGCAGAGCACCACCAAAGATGATTAGAAATGGACTTAATCCAATGGGTCAAGTCATCATTTCCCTTAATGTTAGCCTTTGTTAGTTTTTTTGTGACAGATTTAGACATATGCCACACATCATATTGATGATCAATATGAGGGTGTTTGTTTTTCATAGCACTGGCAATTTTTGTCTCAAATGTGACTTAAAAAAGGGAAATTATGTACAAACAATTAGGAAACTATAAGTTCATACATTACGTCAAGGAAACTACACCTAAATTCTACACACGAAAGGCTAATTTTACAATGGTTTTATGTAGGATTATTTCTAACCATAATGAATCTAAATTACACAACCATGTTTTATTATTCAATGTTATTCATGGCAATAGACTGGTTTCACATCAGTAGAAACTGTTGTTAAGGTTGAATTCGGAGGACAAGCAAACAAAGCAAACGGCATTACAGCACAGTTTCCACACAAATAAACCTTCATATTTTTTAAAAAATGATATTAATCGATATTTAAATTCTATATGTAGTGTGGAAACTGTGCGATAATGGCCTTTTTGATGTGAAACCGTTTTATTAAAACAGAATACAAATAACCAGCTCAATACTTGCATGTAAGCTATAAAATTTGCTTGTGTATATACCTATGAATAAAAAATTCTGAAGTTTCGAAAAGAAACATTTTGTGATTAGGAGAAGCATTTTGACGCAAGTTTGTTATGGCTGTGCAATGACTTTACATAGAGCTTTGAGCAGCAATTGACGATATGACGTCAAATACAAGCCGCTGACATGTTTCTGCTCCCACGCACCGGATGCCCTAGCTGCAGCATTTCAACTCATTTTTTGTGAAAATATTGAATCAAACAAACAAAAAAATTGCCGCATATTTATTTTCACGGGACTGACAAAGTTTTAAGACCAACATTATGTGAGGGTGGAGTTCCCCTTTAAAGCTAATTATAATAAGGATTAATATCATGCCAATTTTGCTGTAAATTCGTGGAAAAAAAGGTCAACTTGATTTTGACGTGTAAATTATGCAAGTGTGCACAATTTTCTATTTATTTACACCTTTTTGAAGTCAATACATGAAAAAACGTCATCTTTAGGGTAAAAGACCGTTCAATAAAGAAATTTGAATATTCTCAAGCATTCATTAAAGTGCTTATCTCACAATTTATTTTTTTTAATTTTCTGATTGAGGTAAAAAAATTATTGTAAAAGTTATTTTACAATTTTCTGATTGATCGCTTCGTTTATGAGATAAATGCGTTTCTTTTCTCAAAATCGGCAATAATGGAGAAAATTGCTGCCCGTTCAATTTGCTTGATGAGAGCCTGAATCGAGAAGTATGTGACGTAACATAAGGACAGGAAGTTTTTCTGAAGTGTGATTTTTGCTATAATTTCTACTTTATTTACTACGACTCTGCATCAAAATGCCTGATAGATGTGCAGTTTTCGGCTGTTCAAACCGAGCAAATTCTGCGGAAGGAATTTCTCTTCACCGTATACCATTTTACGGTGATGAGCGTCCTGAAGCGAAGCGAAGACGTAAAATCTGGGTGAATTTTGTTGCAAGAAAACGCGCTCGATGGACACCGATTAAGTATTCGGCTGTTTTCAAGCAGTGGTATACAATTATCAACATTTATATCTGATAGACACATATCTATCAGTAAACATATGAGGGAGAAAATGGCACATGTGAAGCACTATTTTGATTTATGGCATCTAAAAAAAAGTAAGCTGAATTTAAGATGTAAAATCTTGAGAGGAGTATGGATTTGCATGTCATTAATAGCCAATTTAATGCTACTATTTTTGCAGAATTAACCAAAATAATAACAAAGCTTAGCAATGTTGTAATGTTTAAAGTTCAGTTGCTCATGAAAAGCTTTGTGCTAAATTGTTACACCCACAGCTGATGAAGTCAATTCAACAGGCTTCACCAGTTGCTCAAACAAGTTGTTTGGAAGGATTCCATTCTGTCCTGAATCATTTTGCTCCAAAAATGATTCATTATTCCTATGTTGGAATGTATTGCAGGTGGGCGAAAATTTCCTATATGACAATGTTACTTGTTTTGCAACTTCCACAAGTCTTTATTGTTTAAGACACATTTTGGCAACCATCCACTTCAACAACAACTTAAGGCGTGATGTAAAGATGAAGAATGATGGCAGTTCCCAAATAAATGTAGTGTATCCAAAGTTTAAAAATGGTGAAGGAACTGCGAGGGATGTCAGAGTTAAGCCCAAATTTGGTAAGTTGTTGCTAAATTTGTTGCTTTGCATCATTTCATAGTAGTGAATAGGACAATAATTTCTTTTTAGAGTATGTGGATGAATTATTTGAGAGTGTGATGCTGTCAATAAAAGACAAAGACGCATTATCAAATTCACAAAATCTTTTGAAAGAAATGTCCTCACCACCAATGAATGTCATGCTGCAAAAGCAACCCAGATCTGAGGTGCTACTAAAACAGGTCCGTCGAAAATGCATTGTGGTCAATGATGTCCCTCCCTCAATTCCAGGTAATTAATAATGATTATATAACATGTTGTAGCTAAACATGGTTTGAAAATCATTTTACATAATAAAAATGTTTTTGTTTCATGCCAGCAGCTACCAGTGTGCCATTCAGCTGTCAGTCAAATGTGGCAGTTTCAAAAGAAAAATGTCAGCCAAAATGTTTGACATGCAAGAAGCCAATGAAAGGTCACAAACATGTGGCAGATTGCCCAAAAAATAGGAAAACTTAATTTTCACTTCACTCATTTATTTCATTTTCTTCGTACCCTCTAAATTCCAACTTTTTATCATTAAATTTTGATCTTATTGCATGGTATGCACATGCTGGTAATGATCTTCTTTCTTCTCCTAAGCATCCATAAATCATAGATGTGAATTCTCTGTATGCAACACATCGTAAAAACCTGAATATAAAGCCAAATCATTACTAATGTGTCATAACACTAAAATATACTTAAATACTGGGAAATAACATAATATGCTATCATACATGTTTTCAGATCCTGTTTCTCTGTTGTATCGTCTTTGTTCTCTGGTTTTGTATTTCCTAGCAGCCATTTTTAGCGACCACTTTTCCAAACAAACTGGTCTGAAACCTGGGTGTAGAGTGACACAACATGGAATAGTTGACAGATCTGCCAGAACCGACTGGTGTGTTAAGCTTTCAGCTACAGACTTAAGTTCTTGGCAGCACCAGGCCTCTAGAGGATTCTGAAGAAGTGTAACTTGACAAAAACCACACTTGCACCTGATCAATAAAGAAAATCACATTAAAAAATTGTAATCGAGCATCAAAGTAAATAAAAACAGCGATGGTAATCTTGAATAGAAAATTGCACGTTTATGTCTATATTTCATAACTTGAAACCTGAATTGAAATTAGAAATTTTGTTACTCACCAAGAACTCAACTCAACTGTGTGATCAAGTCTTTTTTGTAGCATTTCAAGTTGCTTTTTATGTTCATTTGACTTTTCCACGTAGTCTTCATACCATGCTTGTTCGGCCATTGGTTCATCAGCGTATAGATAGGACTCGGACTCGCCGTAATTTTCATCTATTATATTATATTCCTGGTCATTAATGTTCCTTGTTTCATCTTCGATGACATAACCGGGAATATAATCATACTCCGAATCACATTGCGAACTATGAGAGCTTTCCGACTCAGAATTCAACTCCGCCATCTAATTGTTGATAACAACAAGCCCTTGACTTGTTCCTTAAGTTACGTCACAGAGACTTGATCCAGGCCCTATGCCAATTATCAACTTTTACTGTCAAATTTCATATTTGATCAATAATAATTCGAAAACAATGCAGCGCATGAAAAAATTGTAATATAAGTTTTAGATTACTTTTAAAGAAGCAATACGAAAATTCGAAAAAAAAAATTGTGAGATAAGCACTTTAACATCTTTAAGAATTCAATGCAGAAAAATAAGCGTACAATAGCATTGACTTTCTATTCATGTGCAATTATTCATGAGTCATCAGCACGAAACTGCAATCAATTAAATGAATATATTGTTTATTAAAATTTGTATGCACAAACGCTCGTTCAATAACGTCAATGAGCAGTGTTATAACAGATTATAGTGTCAATAGTATTTTAATGATAACGTTAACATATTACGCACGTTCATTAAACACAAATAATTTTTCAATACAACATAACGTAAAATGGAACGATTGACGTGAAAAAAGCAGTCTGTATACAATCACTTAGCAATACACCTTTTTGAAGTCATTACAGGAAAAGACGTCATCATTTTTGTCAAAGATCGTCCAATAAAACGTAAATGCGTTGATTTGTGACAATTAGACAATCAATAGAACGAAATGTTTATTCAATAAAGAAATTTGAATATTCTTAAGCATTCATAAACGTCTTTAGGAATTCAATGGACACATATGAACATACAATAGCACGATTTTCTATTCATATGCATTTATTCATGAGTCATCAGCACTAAACTGAAATCAATTAAATGAATATATTCTTTATTAAGGTTTATATGGACGAGTGCTCATTCAATAACGTCAATGAGCAGTGATTACAACAGATTATAGTGTCAATAGTATTTTAATGATAACGTTAACATGTTCCGCATGTTCATTAAACACAAATAATTTTTCAATACAACATAACGTTTAAATAGAACGATTGACGTGAAGAAGGCAGTATGTATACAATCACTTAGCAATACACCAAGTGTTGAATACTGTTATACAGAGCGTATATAAAGGAGTGATCCAAACATTGTATCCGCACTCGTCAATAAACAAACATTTTCTAAGGATGGCGTAGTTCATGAACCAATTCGCGTATTCACTACGCTTCTGAATAACATCAGGTCTGTTTCTTTCTGATGGAACTGGTAGCGAAAGTTTGAATGAGTATAGCATGTGCTTTCATGGATTATAGGTTTTTGTGGAAGACGTCGTCGTAATTCTTGATTAATTTGTATAAGCGTTGCTACACAGTTCTCGTTCAGAATCTCCTCTAAACAATTTTTCATTTCGCTATCTACCCGTATGTTGTTTCTACCACCTCGAGGTAGCTCATGTATTCGTCCTTTTCTAATAAAGCGCGCAACAATTCCACGTGCCGTTGACCTGTTAACACCTAACGTGTCGGCAACGAGTAGAAAATCTTCGTTTTCCTCCTCAAACGCCTGTACAATTCGCTGTCTATGTTCTTGTGAAATTCTGTTGCGCCTTTGCATGTTCACATATGTTTCACACTAGCAGTCGATCTCTGTTGTCTCATTGCAGTGATCACTCATTTATATACGCTTTGTATAGCAGTATTCAGCATTAGATTCATTGACGACTACAACGTTTTTCTATTCAAATTGTGAAAAAAGAAAACATGCTATGCTTATGTATGTCGCAAGTAAAGAACCAGATTTAGCTAAAGTCTGGTCCTCATTGATCAAGACGAAAATAAAATACGCTGATTTATCTTGTTTCAATATTTTGACCTGTTCTAGACATAAACCTTTATCACAACAGATCCTCGATGGCGACCAAATCCGACGCGGTGGTCCAGCTGGAGACGATTGCGCGGCACATTAGTGTGGGTTTTTCGATTCACCAATAATATTCGAGTTCTGAAAGAAAAGCGTGACCATGATGGTTTAAAGCCCAAAAATAAATTTCTATGCCGAGATACTTGTAATCCGTGATTTGCAAAAGACTTCGTTTAAAAAAAGCAAAAGCATTCGAGAAAAAAAGGTCAATGTCAAAGAAGTACAAATTGTTGAAATTAATATCCAAGATGGATGATGACGGTTTTTTGCGTTGAGGAAAGATTGTGCAATGCGGAGTTTTTGCCGTATGAAGTCAGATTTCCCATAATTCTTCCGCCTGGAAATTGTGTGACGAAACTTATTGAGAAACACTATCACGAAATGGGACATCATGTTTTGGGAACTAAACTCAAGTGATGGCACCACTTCCACTGAGCCGTGTTGTCCATTCTAGAGCCTTTTAAAAGGTATCAGTCAACCTTGGGGCTCCCTTTAATTCGGTACAGGGTCGTGAAATAGACAAAAACGATGGTTTATGTCTACATGTGTGGGTTGCAGAGCAGGTCATTTAGAAATGGCTTGTGGTTGGATACTGACTGTTTTCTATGTTTCACAAGGATGGCAAGTCAAAGAAGATATGCAATAGAAATCATAATCAATCAAGGGACAAATTTTGTGGGAGCTGCAAAAGAATTAAAAAAATTGGTTGACAAACTAGATTAAAGTAAGATTCAGCAAAAAACTATTCTGTAAGTTATAAATAAGGTGGAACTTGAATCCTCCGCATGTTCCTCATTTTGATGGAGTGCATGAAATTATGATAAAAGCAGCTTAAAAAGCAATTTATGCAATTCTAAAGGATGCGGACGTCGCTGATGAAGAGTCATCTATCGTATAACTTGGTGTTGAAGATTTGTTGAATACAAGACCATTAACATAGCAAAGCTCAGATCCAGAAGATGTGATCACTTTGACACCAAACCACTTTCTTTTTGGGGGAAAGTCGTTACCCTATGCTGTAGATATTGAGGAGTTTTACCCGCGGAAGAGATTTGGAAGGGTGCAGGAAATAATAGGTTATGTGTGCAAAAGGTGATTACGTGCTCGATTTCATGCTTATTTCATGCTTGTTTTCATGTAGAGTTAAGTATAAGTGATCATGAACGATACTGCGTTGTATATTTGCACACGCATACGGCTTGCTTTCCTTTTATAACATGGATCAACATATGTGTGCGAGAATCAGAAATTTGTCCAACGAATTGTGCGTGAAACATTGTAATGGCACACGGAGCTAGTTTGTCATCGTCATTGGTCCTTTCTCATACTTTAACACATCCACTATACACACTAAACGACGAACGAGCTTCTCAATTTTCACGAGGGTGGAAATGTGGCAAGTTTTCGCTCTTGTGTTCATCAATTTTAACTTTGTTATTTTGCAAGGAAAGGTCATTTGGCTATGCATTTAACCAGTAATTCAAACCCGTAAGCCAACTTTATACATTTATTGTAATTTGAACTTATTTGACTTTGGCTACGCGTTTGAACACTTGATAATTTTATATATATAGTGCCAAAAAGGGCGTCATATTGACAATCGTAGTCAATATTCAATAAAGCTGCAGTCTATAAATAATCAGCATAATTAATCAAAACTAGATGCTACCCTGTGAAGTGCTGCCTTTAACTTAGTAGTGAGAATGTTATCAGTTTTACTACATATATTCTAATGGCAAGTATAATTGAAAAATGATGATTTTTTAGAGCACTGTTAAATATATAGGATTGTATGGCTAGTTTTTTGCATGTGTATGAAATGATAAATCAAGACAAGTCATTGATTGTTTAGGGAAATACTAGTGTTGGAGAGTGTGGTCGATCATGTGGTCGATCATAACAAGTTTAGAAGTTTTATGATGAAATATGACCAGGTAACTGTCTGGAAAAATCATTAACTTTTTAAACTTGAAGCTCTCAAGTACTACTTGTGATTAGTTTCAAAAAGTATGATGCCATTGGCTAGTATGATGACACCCACTTGCTAACTTTGGTAAGTTTTTATTTTTTATTGACCTCTAATTGCTATTTAGTTGTTTATTGAATTGGAATTGAGATTTCACTATCGTAGGAAATGAACTTTTAGAAGTAAAGTAAAAGGTTATGTCCAACATAGCTTTTTAAAGGTTTGATTAGATGTAAACAAAATATTCAAGCAAGAGCAGCTGAAGAATTTATAGTCATAATTGATTTCATCGTTTCTTTTATGGCTTAACTTTGTTTTGCGGTTTCCATATTTAAATGCATGGTCCATTGTTTTTGGAATTTGTTAAAAACATTTTTTTAAAATAATGTTTTTTCTTTTGAATTACATATCGTACATTATTTCTTTTTCGACATTTGTTCGATTTTTAAAAATTTTTATGTAAAGCATATTGGTTAGTCTATGGCTAGTGCAACCTGTATCCATGGACATGACAACCCCCTCCCTTTATATGTTGTTTATTGATTTGAAAAGATACCAATATTAAAATAAACTGAAAAAAGCACTTGGGAGTGATGCATTGTGGGAGTAAGGCAAATATCTAAATTTTTTTTCATGTCTGAACATTTCTTGAGGTTGTGCGTGTGCAGTCAAAATTTAAACATAACTTCGATTACAAAAAAATTCTCTGTCGTGAAATGCTCATGTTTTTGGCGACGTCAACATAATATATTTATGTTGAAAAAATTTACCATTGTACTCTATATAAGTAACTTGTCACTTTACCAGGCGCATTAAAAACGTTTATAAAATAAACACAATGAAACGAGTGCGCTAATTGGTCTAGAGCCGTGTTCATTAACCTGTGGAAAACACAAAACACATCCGAGCTCAACCAATCAAATCAATGAAAACAATCAATATTTAAAGAGAATTAACAAATCGATCATGAACACATTTTGGAGGAAAAATTAAAATGTTTGTCTTTTTCCCATTAATGTTATTTTATAAAAGCAATAAAAGATGTTTGTCGTGTTTGCACTGGCTTATGCAAACCTCAGAGACGTTTGTGAGAACTCTCGAGCATGTGCAACCGTCGACCTTCCGTCTCGGGCTTGCACTGATCTGCTCTCGAGTTCTCCTAAAGGTCTCCTCGGTTTGCATAAGCCTGTGCAAACACAGTAAACATTTTTTATTTCTTAATTAAGTTCAGTTTGGAATTTGCATGACTCAGCAATAATTGATCCCCAAGGAGCCCTAAACGCAGTTGAATATGATAAATCCCAAGCATTAAACTCTTTTCAACTTCCATGATTCTTTGTGGGTTGATTTACAATTGCGGCTGAAGGACGACAATTCTAAAGTTCTGGGGATTTCTGAGGGTTGCAGTTTTTTATACACCCGTGTTTTTAGAAATTTATAGAGGTGCCGACGAGTTGACTTCGAACCGAACTTGAGATTTAGGCTGCGTGTACACTAAACCGGATTAGCTCATCACGACATCTTCATTTGCTTTAAAGGATTAACTGTTCGGAGTAAAAGCTATTAAGCTGATAGATTTAGTCTATTTGATTGTGTTTCTAACGTTGAACAATTTCATTGCCTTTTAATACAAAGAATGTTCAACCTGCTACGATAGCAATCCGGTATAGTGTAAAAGGGGCCTTAGATATTGCTGACTACGAGTACAAATGTACAATACGAGTACGAGTCTGTACTGCATATAGGTATCAGGCTTATCAACCATTATCAACTTATTGTCATTATTGAAATTGCGTAAGGCAAAACCACATTCTCCGAATTCTTGCATGAATTTTGTCTGAATTGGCAATCCCAAACATTGCTATTCCTGACTTGCAATTCAGCCATGTCGGTGGTCTGATACAAAGAATATTTTATCAGAGTTATTGTTGGCACAAGCCGGCGTGGGCGAGCAACATTGTTTGGCAAATCTCAAGAGAATGGTTGCAAGTCAAGAATAACTTGTAACTTAGCTATAATAATATTTACGTCTTAATCAATTACAATATTTCATTCTTGTTTTCTGATATTAGCTAACACGTAAACTAAAGCTATAAACTGTAAAAGTTTCCTAGATTGGTGAAAACTGTAGCCGTGAGCCATAGAGAAACGACTTGTTTGTCAAAATGAAACAAGACATTCTAGATTATTGTCGATTTCAGTTAACTTTTCAAATGGCGGTTGCCAAGTTACTTTCTAATGTTGCCAACTACATTTCCAAATATGGAATATTCGTTATGAACTTGTCAGCTTGAGTTGACAAGTTGTGTACTTGAGTACTGAAGTTGTGAACTTGAGTACTGAGGTTGGGAACTTTAGTACTGAAGTTGTGAACTAAAGTTCCGAAGTACTAGCAAACGCGGAAGGTCTTTGTACCCTGTAGACATTTGGCAATGAATTCGTTCAGTAAGCAAGGAAAAGCTTTACCAATAGAAGTAAGAAATGAAATACTTGAAAGGTAACCACCTTTCAAGTATTTCATTTCAATAACCAGCGTTTGACAAACATTTTGAAACAACTAAATCTACCGTATAAGACTCTATCAAATATAATAGATCTATGGGTAGATACTGGTTCTATTGCACCTCGCCAGGGCGAACGTGATGTTCGAACCACTCGTACAGATGATGTTATTGAATACACTAAATATCTAAAATTAATAAACCATCTATTTACGCAAAAGAGATTCAGCAACATCTAGAAAATAACAAAGTTTGCCTTCCAGCAAACATACCTAGCAGGTCATCCATTAGTAGAATTTCGAAAAAAGATCTCGGTTACTCTTACAAGATAATAAGTCAAATTCCTCGAGAGACAGAACGGCCGGACGTTATGGAGAAGTTAGAAGCTTACGTAGCAAATATTTCATTGATTGCAACCGTATGCATTTCTTTGATGAGTCGTCTGTAGTTGTTACGAGTGGCAACAGACGTCGAGGGCACAGTATGCAGGGTACTCCTGCATTTAAAATCCAACGATACTCTTCTAGTGCCACTTTACTGTAAATTTTTTACATAATATAAATGGCGTATCGCATTATAACACTCTTAGAGGGCCGCCAAACCGATTAGAATTGCTAAAGCTTTTCCTTGCTTACTGAACGGATTCATTGCCAAATGACCTTTCGCGTTTGCTAGTACTTCGCAACTTTAGTACTCAAGTTCACAACTTCATTACTCAAGTACACAACTCAAGTTGACAAGTTCATATCGAATATTCCATATTTGGAAATGTAGTTGGCAACATTAGAAAGTACTTGGCAACCGCCATTTGAAAGTGAACTGAAATCGACAATAAAGCACGATTGTGTTTAAAGTATTCGTTGCTACATATATTATTATGGAAGCAACATTTGAGGAACGTTGCTTGTATTCTTCTATAGTGTATATTGCGCAATTATGTTACCTAAATAAAATATCAAAGTTTGAATTGTGGATTCAAATCGCTCGAGTATGCGTTTTCGTTCAATAGTGCGTTTTGATACGCTCGAAAGATGGAATGTGCGCAACACGCTGTGAACAGTTGCTAAAACAAGAACTTTGAATAACACCTTCTATACTCGAAAGTTAAGATTGTTGCAAAAAAAGTGTGGGCAAAAATTTGCCATTCCCGACTTCCTTTTAATGTCAATTGACATCATTGTCAAACGATTAATTTTATAAGTTGAAAAATACATAACAATTAATTAAGTAAGCGAGTGAAGTTCTTACTTCAGTGCTTTGCGCGTCTTTAGGCGGAAGCAGAAGAAATATTAACAAGTAATTTCCGTGTACCTGGACGAACGAAGACGATTTTCATCATTCCAATTTTCTAGTCAAAAGAAATCCGTTCCAGTTTCGTCAAGGTAATGTAATATTCTTTTACTAACGCGCATTAATCTAAATAAACACATTCTGGTGAGATTGTCCTTCGAATTGAATTTTTCTCAATTATATATGCTATTGCTTTCCCAAAACAAACATTGGCAATTCAGTGAAAAATAACGCTCTTTGAACGTTGTAGTCTGCCAGTAAGATAGCTTGTGAACAAACGTACACCATATAATATATCATTTAAAGGTTGACTGATTTTCCAAGAATTTATGTAATTGAGATTATGTGCTGTAAACCTAACACTTCCCAGCCCAGGTATAATTCCCATCTTATGGTAATATGATTTAAACTGATCATACAGATATTCACTTTCTAAAAGACATTATTTCATTTTTTTGAAAACCTCCGTCCGTCTATTTATTTTGTGAAGAATGATTGTCACTAAGCCATAGCTACAATGCGGAACTTATTAAAATGGATATCGGACGTGGTTAATCTCATGTATAGTTTTCATTTTCATGTTTTTAATGTGTTGAATGCGGCCGTGGTGAGCTGAAAACCGACTATATTTTGCACACTTGTTATATAGTTATTCAACTGCTCCATTTAAGATGTATTTTACATATTGTACATGTTTTATATCACAGCCTTCAAGTAAAAAATTATGATTGCTGCAAAAAGTTTTAGTCTGAAGCTAAATTCGAAGCTTGCGGAATTTATATTCTCGTCATGCCATTCATGCATGCCATAACTTTTTTGTCATGCTAAATTTGTCATCCAGCACTTTTTATCTTATTCAATGTATCCTACAGGTTCCACTCGCCAAGCCAGCTGTGTTTAGCATTCACAAACTATAAATGTTTAAAGTTCATCCATCTACGAGCCATCCACTCTTAGCAAAATAAAATGCAGTCTTACGCAGATAGTCCACCGCGAATTAGTAAAGAAGATCTTTTCATGATCATCGCTCTCTGGATGCAAGATTTTGTCACACACGAAGAAGCTGAAATCGATAAGGATACTAAACAAGTTGGGGCAGTATTAGTATCTGCTGACGACGAGATACACGCAGCTGACTGTTCACGAGAGGGAGTTCATGCAGTTGCTAGATTATTAATAAAACATCCAGAAAAAACGAAAGGCTCCAAAATCTTCATGTCTCGAAAACCTTGCCATTTTTGTGCAAAACTTCTCGTTCAATCAAAAATACAACGTGTGCTTTATCTTCCCTTTCATCCCGAGTATTATAAACAAGCAAGAAAGAATAAAAATAAAATGGACGAAGTCGATGAGTTATTTAAGTCAAGTTCAATTGCATCATCATTGTTTGTATTTAAAATAGAAAAGAACGTTCTTAAACACGAAAAATTAAATAACGATTCATTGAAGAAATGTGATATTAGTTGCATGAAAAGAAAGTTCGAGCTTGATCAATGGAAGTCAGATTGGCTCAGCAAGAAAAGCGGTGAGTCATGTGCGAAAATCAAACGCGAGCTTCCCTGGCCAATATTTGATAGTAAAATCGGCGAGAAAGTTGAAAAACGGTTCGATGATGCAATGAAATGGATGGCAAGGGTCATAGTTGCGAGTGGACGGTCCCTAAAAGACGATTTCCGTATGTGTCCTCTTTTATCACGAAACAAGAATGCTAGTTCTACAAGTGAAACACATTCATTCAGTAATTTTGACCCTACAAAGGAGAAATGCCGACAGAAAGCTAATCATTTAATGATTCTTGCAAGTTTTCTTACTCGACGAACAGATGATCCAAAAACAGGAGTGGGAGCCGTGATTGTGAACTCAAAGATGGATATCCTCTCGTTTGGTTGGAACGGATTTCCACGAAAAGCACGTTATGGTGAGTTTGGAAGAGGATCGAACCACGATAAAGGTGTCAAGTCTAAGATTCCGTACATATTACATGCCGAACAAAATGCTTTGCTCATGCGCAACTGTCACAGCGTCAAAGATGCGATTCTTTTTGTAACAAAGCAACCGTGTAACGAATGCACACCATTGTTAGCGATGGAAGGAATCACAACAGTTGTGGTGGGCGATGAAGTAAAGAAGCGTATTCCAAAAAAGAAGTTAAAGTATGACATGTTCCCAAAAATGTTGAAAAAAAGAAAATTCTTATGCTTTGAATCAAAGGAAAGAAACTCAAGGCAAAATCTTTTACAAAAACGTAAGGGTCATAGTCAATGTCACAATAAAATAAAAAAACCGAGGACAGAGTGATCAAATTAATCGGTTCATATTTTTCAAAGCACCTCAGAAAAGAAACATTAACCTGCAATACTTCGCTACATTTTCTTAGCTATTTACATACTTCAAATTTTTAACTTTTGATTTTTTTCTGCCCGGACTTTTCATTCAGATTATGTATTTTTTATTTTTATATGCATTTTAATATTTCATGAAGGATTACAACATCAAACATCTCATTTCCAAACAATTTTTGTGTAGGATGACTTTTTATTTGGTCCATTAACATTTTCACATGGCAATAAATTCTACATACTTGTTTTAAATCTATTGTAGAATGGAACATTCATTGCTACATACGGAACCTCTTGACAAAGTATCACAATCTAATATGTCAAGACAGATGCAGATAAATCTTCCGCGAATAATGTGAGTGGATAGTCTATGACCCATGGCACTTTAAATATGTAAAGTTTTGCCTCAAAAAAGATTGTGGCAATGTTATTGTCTGCTGCCTATCTATTCACAAGATTGAGCTCGATTGTTAATGAAACTTCCTGACGAAGCGATTCAATCAAAAGTCAAACGAATTAATCTGCACTTACTCCATAAACCAGACTACAATATGAATTGCTATATCAGGAAGAAGAAAACAAACTAAGTCCAAAGGACAAATTTGTCCAGCGGTCACAAAATGAACATTGTCGATGTAAAGTTTAAGTTAAGGGCTGTTGCTCTGTAAGAAAATGTCTTCCATGTAGTCCAGCTAAATGTGGCTTAAGTAAAAAAAAAACGACTCTCAACTATCTGATATAATACTCATTGAAGTACACAATTAATGTTGCTTCAATTTTTCTTGTGTGATCGGTGATCCCTTTAGTTCCTCTGGCATAGATTCCATGAGTGGATTTAGTGTTTTTGCTTAATACTACTCCCGTATTCGTTGACCACACACCGCAAGTCATCGTAATAATAGTGGATCTGTTCTTAGCTTTCTCCCTTCTTAAATATGTCCCATAAATTCGCAATCGGACGCGAGTTTACAACCTTGTACCAAATGGAATTGCCAATCTTTGAAGGATTGAATGATATTCTTCTCAAGTATTTCTTTAAGGATTGCCAACGTCATCATATCTGAAGCAACCAATGACTGCTGCCCTATATATGTTTAACTGCTGATTCAACGAACAAATCTATCAATCGCTGATTTTGTATAAGTTCTGTCAAAAAAAGGCACTAACTATTGCCATGTATTTAAACGAGGGATTCGTAATTATTTCAAGGTTCTCTGAACAACAGCTTTTGACATTTTCAACTTTTCTCATTTTCTTATTTTCAACTTTTCTCCTTTTTTTTTGCCAAAACGGTTGTTCTCTGCTTTTTGGTTCTAATAAATCTTCTTTTTATACAGAAGGCTTTCCTGACTGGACGAAATCTTTCTGTATTTCCCTTGATATGAAGCATCTGAGTCATACCCTTGTAATTCACCGTAGAAATTATACACAGTGCATTTTTATAAAACAAGGTGAAAGTCGGAATTTCAGGACATAATTCTCGCACTAGGGAATTTAGAATAGAACAAATGACAAGTGACGACATTATTTGATCGCTCAGGTATCGTGCTCTAAGCCGTCAAAATATGATATTTTAAATCTTCAATGTCCATAAAATTAAGAACGTTACATCAGCCAGCTTCATTGTCAAGGATTAAGTTGTTATCCTAAATTCATGAAAATGACGTAAAAGACAGGCAAGTCGACTTTGGCATTATGAAGCGATCATCAAACTGAGATATTCACTCAAATCTAATCGAAATTAAACACTTGGTACTTTTCACAGATAATTTTGTTTCATGAGTTGTATTGGATGTTTGAATTATGGATTTATGTGTTCGTGGACATGCTTGAAAGAAGGAAGTTCCTACCACATGCTGTGATGAACGGACAAAACAAGTTTTAACATGTATAGCAAAATTTAAACAATGAATATTATGATATTCGAATCAAAGATATTTATTACTTGTACTTGAAAGAACAAGGTGCAAAAATTTTCGCGATATCCTGCTTCATTTCAAGGTCAATTCAATTCATTTATTATAAACATTGATGTAAAAAGCACGTGACGTCCAATATTGTTTGCTTGTTGCGTGGCATAACACGGAAGCAGCAGAAAAATTGCATTGTCACCGTGCACGTGAAAAAACGAAGGTAATTTTATCATTTCAAATGAAAAGAAATATTTCTCGTGTCATAAACCTACATTTATCTGTGTATTAAAAAAATACCATGGCAATTTCGTTGTTCAGGTGGAAGCCTTCTCAATTATGAATTAGTTTAAGATGCTCATGTAACATAATTTTTGTCTCTGAAAACTTCTATGAGTCGATTTATAACATGAATTATTGGCATTCAATAAAAACGTTTTGTTTAAAACCATTTAAAACCGTTTTGTATGAACCATTTAAAACTTAAAAAGCAGGTGACTATAAATTACAGCGCAAAAAAGCTTTTTCATGAAGTTTGAATTTCAATTCTCAATATTGTATTTTTGATTTGCTAGTGTAATCAGCCACTTGTCTTCTAATCGTAAATATTCTTACCTTTATTGATGCATCTCCAAGGTTACGCTTGTCACGCAGTGTGTGTTCAGTGTTCAATAATTACAAATGTTTAGAATTCACTCATACGAACAGCAGCTGACATCAATCACACTTATTTTGTGTCTAGTGTAGAATGGCTGGCAACAGCAAAAGGGAACAATTACTTGATGATTCATACGCAGATAGTCCACCGCGAATTAGTAAAGAAGATCTTTTCATGAGCATCGCACTCTTAATACTATTCCCGTATTTGTTTACAACACACCGCTGGTCAATCTGATCTTAGCCTTCTGCCTTCTTAACTCTCGAAAATTTGCAATGGGATTCAGATCCGGTGTTCGGGGAAAAAAATTCACGAGAACCAGATCACTAATGTTCTCTTTTTTGTAAATATTTTTTTACATAAGAGAAGTTAGTTTTGTATAGTTATCCTTTATTAAAACGAATCCTCTTCCGCACAGCCTTGTATATCTCATGAAATTTGCACGTCTTTAAATGGTTGAATGATATTCTTGTCAAGCATTCATTTGAAAGAAGGTATTTTTTAACAAAGAGTACGTTCTTTACGGGAGGCTTTTTAGGTTTCTCGTGTGTTTCTTTAACTGTTGTTTAAATATCTTTAGCTGTCACAGTGGTGGTGTTTTCTTTAATATACTTCTCTTCCTTCAGGGTCGTAGAGTTTGTCTTATCCATCCTTCGTTGGGTTAGAGTTTGTTTCTCTTAATCATTGCATAGCTCTCTAATCAACGCCTTTTGACGTTTTCAACTTTTCTGAAAACTGCGAAAATTCGATCCTTTTATATTTTAATATTTTCTAATTTCCACCATCATTTGCACAAGGGTGAAATCTACTGTTGTTCTTCTATCATGCACTGTATAGTTCGGTTAAAATATTTCTGATTTTTGATGTTCGTAAAAATCTTTTTATACAAGGCTTTATTATTTATTTCCCCCCTCCGACATATTTAATTCTTTCTATACTTCTCTTGATATGAAGCATCTGAGTCATACCAATTGTAATTCACCATAGAAATTATAAACAGCGCATTTTTACAGAACAAAATCGGAATAAGAGTTCATTATTCTCGCACTTGGGACAATAAAACACACGACAAGTAATGGCTATAATCGATCGCTTTCGCGGGCCTTGTACTCTTAGCCATACCAAAATTGTCACATGATCTTTTTAATCTTTAATATCAATGAAATAAAGAACTTTACATTAGGTTCTTTGTCAATTGAACGTATCGTCAGGATATTTAAGTCAAGTTCATGTTTAAGTCATGACATTGTAGCATCATAAATCCACGAAAATGACAAACAAGATTGTCCAGTGTACTTTCGCATTATGAAAAAAGACATTCACTCTCCAACAAGATATTCACTCAACTTTATGTAATTAAACGTTTGACAGTTTCTACAGGCGCTTCTGTTTTGAGTTGTATTGGATGTTTGAATTAGGTAACTATGTTTTGTGGATTTGCTTGAAAGATGCAAGTTGTACCGCATGCTGTGACAAACTGATTGGAGCATTATATGAATATTTGAACAAAACACAGTTATACTTGCGAATGCAAGGTGCAAAAATTTCCGTGACATCCTACCTCATTTCAAAGTCAAATCAATTGTTTGTATAAGATCACTATCATCGATAGTAGAAAGCAGGTGATGCCCAGTTTTGTCTGCTTGTTGTTTGGCACAACACAAAAGCAGTAGAAATATTAAATTATCGTCGTATACGTGGACAAACGAAGGTAATTTTATCATTTCAAGTCAAAAGAAATCTGTTCTCGTTGCATCAAGGTATTGTAAATTTGTCTTTAACTCTTCTTCTTAATGCTACATTGATTTCATTGTTCTTTTTGTTATGTTTGACACTTGTATACGTAGGCAACACTTAGCAAAAATACGAGTGTTTGAATTTACATTCGCCTTATCGCGCAAACATTTCTTGTGCAATCAGTACGCAAACAACTATTAGCTATTTTTACTGGAGCAACTCTAGTTCTGAAATTTTATTTTTAATTTGTGCTCAACTTTTCAACATGTTGTGTAACTGCCTGTACATAAAAATACTGCGTCGATTCCGTCTTTCAAATGGAAGTTTCCTCAATTATGGATTGGTTTCCCTTTTCTTCCCTTGCCAAAAGGATGAAAGCATTCGCAGTTCAATTCAAATAACATCCCACTTAAACGTTTTTGTATGCTACATGCAGTATTATGATTTTGAACCAACCCTCAAAGTTCTTGCGACTGACATGCATATATTTTGTATTTAATGTAAAACTGACATAGCATGAATAGAAAAATACATGACTATCTATAACTGCTTACCTTCTGTCTAACATGAATTTTGTCCGTGAAAACTCTAACAGTCGATGTGTAACTTTATAAATGATTGGCATTCAACTACAAAGCCATGACCCAAAAAAACTTTTTCTTTAAAAATTTCTTAAATTAGCTACAAAGCATGCAGGTGACTACGTTTTCTTTTTGTCCATACATTTTTCGATTACTCGTAATAAATGACCATCATTCATCGAAAAAGCTATGATCGAAACAAAATAGGTTATTTCTCGAAATCTGTACTTCGAAGCTTATAATATTGTGTATTCGACCCCCCTATGCTTGCTCAATCAGCCATTTATATGTCTCCTTTAGGTTACGCTCGTCTCATAGCGGGGTTCAATAATTATACATGTTTATAATTCATCCATATACAAGCTGACGTCTATTATATTTATTTCATATATAGTATGGAATGTTTAGCAACAATTCCTACGCAGATAATCCACCGCGAATTAGTAAAGATAATCTTTTCATGATCATCGCACTCTGGATGGAAGATTTTGTCACCCGTGAAGAAGCCAAAATCGATGAGAATACTAACCAAGTTGGGGCAGTATTAGTATCTGCTGACGACGAGATATACGCAGCTGACTGTTCACGAGAGGGAGTTTATGCCGTTGCTAGATTATTAATAAAACATTCAGAAAAAACGAAAGGCTCCAAAATCTTCATGTCTCGATAACCTTGCCATTTTTGTGCGAAACTTCTCGTTTAAACAGAGGTTCAACGTGTGTTTTATCTTCCCTTTCATCCAGAGTATTATGTTTCATCCAACGAAAGTAAAATGGGCGAAGTCGATGAGATGTTTAAGTCAAGCTCAATCTCTGCATCATTGTTTGTATTTGAAATAGAAAAGAGCGTCCTTGAACACGAAAAACTAAACAGGCGTTCGTTGAGGAAATGTGATATTAATCGGATTAAAAGAACGTTTGAGCTTAATCAATGGAAATCAGTTTGGCTCACCAAGAAGCATGGAGAGCCGTGTGCGAAAATCAAACGCGAGCTTCCCTGGCCAATATTTGATTTTGGAATTTCCGAAGCGTCAAAAATCAATTCGACGATGTAATAGAATGGATGGCAATGGTTATATATGCGAGTGGAAGGTCTTTAAAAGGCAATTTCCGGTACTGTCCTCTTATGCCACAGGACATTGAATTTAGCTCTTCAAGTAAAACACATCCATTGAGTGATTTGACCCTACAAAGGAGAGCTGTCGACAGAAAGCTAATCATTTAATAATTCTTGCAAGTTTTCTTACTCAACGAACAGATGATCCAAAAACAGGAGTGGCGGGTGGTTTGACCCACGTACGATGCGGAGCAGCATCGACACTTGAAAGAATAGACAACATTTGATTTCATGACAAAGGCAATTGATTTGTGTGCGGATTTGGGATGAGTGTAAACCAGCAAATGGAAGGCCGTAATGCAGTATTTTCTTGGGTATGGTGGTTTGGGTTGAAAGACTTAGTCAAGAAACATTTTTACACAGTGATCAAATATGTGGCAGGGAAGTGAATTGGAAATAAATAATCTGCGTACTTTTTCGATTTCAATATGGAAGTTTTCATAAGTGGAGCAAATATTAAAAAAGCGATGAACTAAACATAATATTATACTGCGTTTATATGTTAGTGGGATGAAGTTGTGGAAATTAGTAAAAAGACCAGTGAACGTAGGTTTTCTGTATATGGACGTGAAGAAGTTTCCATTAGAGCGATGAACAGTGATGTCAAGAAATGGAAGTTTTCGATTGTGTTCGATTTCACTCGTAAACTTAATATTGGGGTGTTTGTGGTTTGATATTTATATTAAGAATTTGATATTTATATTCTTTAAATATTTAAGAATATATTCTTAAATATTTATATTAAGAATTTGCTTCCCGCCCGGTATATCCCTGGTCACAGTTATGAATATGTGCATGTATTTTTAAAGTTTGTTTATGAGAACAAGATGAACCATTTCATAGCTGGACAATTTTTTTATTCTATTTTTATTTCATTGTGATAGTGACGATATATATATCTAGTTTTTGAGCAGGTGAGCGGGATGATTGATTATGATGTTTGGAGTCTAAACCTTTCAAAATACTTTGTAAACATTCCGCACATTGCTAAAACATTGGTAGTTTTGATGATAAAGTAGTTTTTTAACTTTTCACTTTTTTGCTAATCTATATATTTGTAAATTTTTACAAAATGCTAGCTTTTATTACTAAAACATGCAAACACATGCCGAAAAGCCTACCGGGAGTGTGTATACCAACAGTTGCAATCTCATGTTTGTGTATGTAGATCGTGCAAGTCAGTGGAGCTCTGAGTTAGTGTTGGTATAGAATGACGATTCATCAATTTTTATTGCGAGAGTCATCTCTAGAATCAAGAATTGCAACTTCTTTTCATCACATCAGTAAAACTGCAAACGGAAAATAACGAGATAACAAACTCATTATACAGCTTCAGTAAAACAGTTATGTAATTGTTTTGCTGTGATTGATAGAATTTCTCTTCCATATGCCTGTGAATATGTAATAATTTAAATATTAATCAATTAGTTTCTCTGTCATCGTATGTCTTGCCAACGTTGTGCATCGATGCCATGCCGATTTGACTATGATTGTGTAAAGAAATTAAACCAAAGACTTGCTTGTTAAGTAAAAATAACCAGCACTCAGTGCTGCAGAAGTGGGGGGGGGGGCGCTTGGGGGAAGAGCCTCCCATCTGATAAATTTAGTTGTACAGCACTGCCAGCACTTAATCGGTATGCTAGACACCATGCACACCACTGTCTCGTGGAAATTGGTGCCCACGGACGGCGGAGTTGGGTGGGGCTTTGGAGGGCTATAGCCTTTCCAATCATTTTGCCCCCACTTCAAATTTTTAAGATTTCTCTCCGGATCTCGTACTAGGCACCAACTTCTGCGGCTTCAACGGTCGATAACCATCCCTAATGAAAAATAATCAGCTCTCGCTGTTGTCACATTGATTGCCTTGGGTAATTACGCTTATGATATCCATTTCCGGACATAAATTGCAATTTTGTTTTCTTGATTAACAGCCATATTATAGACAAATTGAACGATTGTTGAAGATCGGAAGAGGAAAGTGAATTGATGCTGTTATCTTACTCACTTCATCGGAGAGGTATATCAAAATTTGTATGCCTGAAGATTTACTAAATAAGTTTTGCCCTAGAAAACTATTTTTGTGGTGGTGTGAACGAACGCCTTTGACTTCAACATTTTTATGAACAAATAAAATACCCTAACAAATTTAACTCTTTTGAAACACACCATTTCTCTGTTAGGAAAAACTGAAAATGCTTTGGAGGAAGCATTGAATTTTTGTACCACATTTTATCCAACGTCATATTTTTGAAGCAATTTCACTTCAGTGTGTGAAAAGAATGCCAAAGATCATCGGGCTTCAGCATTTCCCGTTGCTTAGCAATGACGCCATTATATAAAATTTTGTGATTTTTACAAAGTTTTAACTAAAATTCTGCAAATAAAAAGTTATCTGTCCCCGAGACACCTAAAGAAAAGGCAAAAGTTTTGAGTACATAATCTATTTTCAATGTAAAAGCTTTCTAAACGCGTTGTTCGAAAAAAATGAGCGATGACCTGCGTTCAAAGGCCACACGGACTGCTAGCTCCGGAAAACAAGAACTGTTGCCTGCCAAACAGCGCGGTTTCTACTCAGATATTTTACGAGAAGAAGCTGCTGCCGAACTGAAGGTATGATTTTCAAAGTTTCTCTAGGAATTCTTTTCTAACTTGCGGCGCTCATATCGGTGGTAGTCAATGTTTTTGAACAAACCAGCCAAATACCAGACCTTGTATAAATTTGTTGTGGCAACTGAGCACTGTGTTTGAGCAACCTTACCCTCGTCAAACTTACATATAGTATACTTAGTATTCCAAAGCTTGTTTACGTAGAAAAAAGTTTATTGACTGAGAGCTATAGTAAGAAAAGTTTCTTTTTGATTCAGATGAAATTAAGAAATACCTATGTACCATCAATGATACGCCATGAAGAGCAAATAACTAATAATACTTAAAGATTGGAAATGATCACTCGTCAATGCTGAAAGATTTAATGAACATAAATAGTTGAACAATTACATGTCATTTTACATCTCCAAAATATTGGTTTTCAAGCGTTTTATCAGTTTATGGGAAAGTTTACTTGTCATTTCAAGTAAATGAGCAAATTTTTTACATAATCGTGTTTCAACTTAACATTAAGTCATCTTAACTAGATGTTAACGCCTTGTAAACTAATCATTAATTCATCTTTAATAGTCAGCCATGTTGACTAAACATCAGTATACGTTTTGGTTGTAAATAGTCTATTTAGAGAAATTAATGATTTGCATGCTTCTCAGTATTTTGAGTAAATCCCACAAATTCAGTTGTTATCAATGTATTTTTATACATGCCCAATAGAGTAAATGTTTGACTTTCTGTTTAGGATACAAAGATTGGACCTGCAAGAAATGAGTGCAAAGTCTGGAAAACAGTTAAACAGAAACACATACCAAAAGGTTTTTTGTTCCTTTCTAACTTTTGTTTTGTTCTAAGCTCTCTGATGATTTTTTTTCAACATCAATTTTCTCAGTTTCCACATTCAAAGAACTCGATGATACAAAAATCAATTCAAATAATATAAATGATCCAACAACTGCTTCTGTTTCCAGTTCAGTAAGTCAAACTTGTCTTATTCCATGATCCTGTTTATTTGTACATATTAGTGGGATTGACCCGAATTCTTGGTATGAGAGTTTTTCTATATGAATTGAATGACATGGGACAAAGCACAAACAAAATGTCGAAGTGCAAGTCAAAATTAAATCTACATTCAATGCACAGTATATCAGTCATCTTACCTGATTTATGTGTATTGGATTGACCTTACTTGTGTTAACTGAATTACCTAATAGAAAAGCACATTCAATCAACACAAAATCTCTATTTTTAAATAAAACTTTCCATGCTAATGTTGCCATCATTGTGGTTTGTCTATTTGTTACTTTAAAGATAAAGTTTAATGTGCTTATTTCCATTTTTTGTTGAACTTATCAGCCACAAGAACAAAAAGCATGATGCATGTTTTATATGTTATACATATGAAATAATTCTCAATGTCGGGAGACATGCTCTTTATATTGTATTTATTTATGGGTATTTCAATTATGTAGGACTTCATATGGTCTTCTTGGGAGCCAAAGGTACAAGTACCATATGAGACAGAATCTGGTCAAGTGCCTCGGAAGATTGTTATTGAAAGGTAGGATTGTATAAGAAAGTTTTTCATCTTTGTCGTGTGTTTTCTTCACCACCACTTTTATCAGCCTGTAAAAACAATATATTTTGATGTGCATGATTATGCTACTGGTGTGTTCTTGTATTTTGAATAATGAATGGAATTAGTTAATGCTTATTGATTAAGTAGTTTTTCTTGACTTTATTCAGACTCAACTGATGGAAAGTCATGGCTATTCTTTACATTAATTGTTTAGCCTTCACTCTGTTTTCACTCTGTTCAAAAACAATATATTTCTAAGGAAATAAATTTTTAGAATGTTGCTACCGCAGCTAAAATATTATTGACTGTTGTGTTTCAGTTCTTGCTATGGACGATTTTCATATTTACAGGGGTGGTGCTAAAAATTTTAGGGGGGTGAGCTTGAAGTAAGACAATGTAAGAGTCTAGAATTTGGGTTGTCTAGTAGTGCAGCCATCAAAGGTTTTGCAGAAAGCTCTGTTCAACTGTACTACTATTTTTTTTTTCTAAGAATTGGGGAGGAGACTTAAATATTTCGTATAGAAGTGAACAATTTATTTAGGGTAGTGAAATCTGATGTTTTGGGGTGGCACCTCCCTAGAAAATCTGTCCATGGTTCTTGCTTCATACAAACCTTTGTTAGACCAACACACTTGATCTTCAAGTGTCGACAAATGTCAAATAAAAAGTGATCTGCATAGCACTTACTTTGTTTTAGACTAAAGCGTATTTATGCCAGTCATGACCTCACGTCGTTGCTTGAAGATCGTGGAGTCATGACATCGGATTTAATGCCTCAGAAAGGCTTTAACATGCGAGTTGATCTGACGAAAGCCGACCCCAAGAACAAGCGCCTGTATCCACCTTTCCTGTCTTTGGATGTTTTTGATAACACCGAGTATGATTGTCGCGTTCCACGTGAATGGCTAAATCTTGGTTTGGTTGACGGCGAACAGAGACCTGTACCTGGTAAAGCATTGTTGTCTTTGACTGGAAAGGACGTCGCTCAACCCAACCAGTAAGATTATTGTCATTTTTATTTGTAAATTTACGTATGCTCGTTCAGCACGTTTTTCTTTGATGGAAATAGGCGAGAAAAGGTTTTTAGAATTTCTCACAGGATCTAACGAGTTCAACTTACAGTCTCTTGAATTTGATTCCATTACATTGGATTAAATTATTTCCTATTTCATCTCACTCCTTTTACACATCATTTTATTCTATTTTTTCCCACTGTTTGCACACATTCCTTTCTATTCCATTCTTCTCCATTAAACACACACTTCCTCTCCTTTTGTTTATTTCATCATACACCCAAACAGTGGCGTTGATCTGTATAAATTTAAGTTAAGAATTCCTTCGTACACATAATCCTACACACACAAGAAGGTTTAATGCGTCTGCTGGTACGTGTACAGTACAGAGGCCGGCTGCACGAAGACCGAATAGCGCTATCCACTGGATGGTAAATTTTTTTTCAACGTTTAGAAAAACCTCTTATAGGAGAAAAGTATAAGATTCGAAATGAGCGTTTACTAAAAGAAAATATTTCATCCAAGATAACAAAAATTTTTATGTCGTAAGGAAAATATACGTAAACAACTATTTTACAAGTTTGAAAAATTACTATCCAATGGATAAAGCTATCCAGTCTTCGTGCAAGTGGCCCCAGAAGTCTATCAAATAATCATTTTTTGACATCGCAGTGATGTTATGTATGTGTGATTTGATGGATTTCGCGCAAGATTTTTCATCTTTTAAAATTAGTGGGAGAAGGGCTTTTTTTGGGAGTGGGGCTCAAGTCCCAACCCCCCCACTTGTTAAAGGAAAAGTTGGATACGTCCGATAATGATTTTACTTTGGTCCAACGTATGTCCGTGAGATTTAATTTTTCATCCTACTTATCTTTTTTTATCGTTTTGCCGAAGTTTGATGTGATTATTGAAAAATCGCAATTTTATGCCACCAGCTGTTTTTCCTCCTAAACGTGACATCATATAGATGCAACTTTTTAATTTCTTATTTAGATTTAAATGGTTGGACGTTGGCGTCCTTGACTACAACCCGAAAACCAAACTATATTACATCCGTGCTGTAGGTAAGGGTGGCATCCAACATAATGTAATTTCCAATGATACCAAACTGAATGACGATACCGAAGCTTTTCTCATACCACCAACGCTGGCCACGGAGGGTTGTTGGATACCACGAATTCGTTTGATGTTTTGTGCCGAGGATCCGACGGTCTTTGCCGATCGTGTTGCATATGCGTATAACCTTCGTCTGAAAACGGAAGCTCTCTTGAGATATCATCTTTATGTAGACTGTATGCCTGTCGATGGGCTTACTGAACTTGACACGTGTTCACTCGATCGTATGGTCAGGTGGGCGAGCGAGACGAGCGCGTTGAGAAGAGGACCAAGGTAAGCTTGTGATGGGATTCGGAAGTGGTTGGGGGTATCGAAAATGTTACCGCGTTTTTATTAAAAAGCACAGAATTTTTCAATGTAACGACATAGCTATGGACCAAGTTATCAGATCTGATCAAAGTCATCTCCTGGCCGACCGTTCAAACACAAAAATTTTGCTTGATTTATCTTATCAATACAACATCTATTCTGCCATAATGCATTGACTGGATTAAAATGCGAATCTTTGCATTGGTAATGCTTTAATTATCGATGCCATTCCTCTCCATAAATTATCATCTTTCTTTTTCTACAATGACCGTATAGTTTTGGTGAGAAAGTTCACATTCTTTGCAATGAAATCAGACTCGACTTTGCGAGGGCAATGAACAAGATTTCATTCGATAAAACAGTCACAAAGAGACGCCAGACTTTTTGGTACGTCACCTTACCTGAAGTGGAGGAAACGATTGTTCCAGAAAAAGGTATCTGATTGAATAATTGTTTGTCTATTTCCACTTTGGTAGTCTATTTATATTTTTGAAAATTGGTTGATGGTAAAATCATCTTCGTGCTTCAGACCCTGTTCACACGATACCGTAACGCTAACCGTAACAGTTTGAAAACGAGATGACTAACCGTAACAGTTTGAAAACGGTATGACTAACCGTAACAGTTTGAAAACGGTATGACTAACCGTAACAGTTATAAAACGGTACAAAACTTTACCGTTTCGGTGACATGTGAACACTTAACCGTAAGAGTTTCATTACGGTTCGGCGAAACTTTTTCTCTGGCAAAAATGACGAGGTAAAATATTTGAACACATCTGTCACATCAATAAATATGGTCAGCAAAAATGAGAAGACTTCAACAAATACGCATAACTCCAATAAATTGAAAGCCGGCATCATCTGGCGTTACAGTAGAGTGAACACAATACCAAAACGAAACTAAACTGTAACGGCATGGTGCGAACAGTGCGAAACGGTATGAAACTTTACCGGTAGAGTTTTTAAACGGCATCGTGTGAACGAGGTCTTGGTCAGTAATACCATGATTGAGTACATGCACTACCTTCATAAGCATAAAAAGACCACCCTCGTATAAGTCGATACCTTTTTGAACTTACATAAAGCCAAAAACTTGTCGAGTACAAAGTGAACTAACATTTTCATCGGAGTACAACAAATTGCTTATAGTTCTAAATACCGATTGAGCTCGCGAAATAATGTAGTTCGCTGAAGATTGTGCCATGCGGTAATGGCTCTTTCGTCGTCTACTTGCATCAATATACTGTACATGTGTACAGAGATGGATTTGATTTGTTGCTGCTGTTGTCAACATGAATTGAATGTAATTGATGATTGGCTCTCCTCCGTATTGTTCCATCCAATCTTTAGTTTCTAACAACGCGAAGGATTTTCTCATGCAAACTTACTGATTCGTTGTGTACAATTTAACATAAGGTTACTATCCTGATGTACCAAATTGTCCATTTGACGAGAAATTCGATGAGTTCACGTTTCTCTCTCTGCTTACTCGTGCCGAAGTGATTCATGCAATGACGAAGGTTCGTGCAGAATGTAACAGAGTCGCAGCCATGTGTCTCTTTCAAATACCTATCACGAAAAGCATGAGGTTGGAAGAGTTCGAACAGGCACAAAGTCAAGCCAGTTCACAGGTACGAAAGTCGTTTGTTGCGCAGGTCATACTTAGTTTTATTGTTCGAAGTTGTTAGGACAGTTGCGTTATATTAATGTTTTATGCAGTGCGGTGTTTGAAATTAAATGAAGATATGATCTTCGCACTTTGTTGGACAATTTAAGCAATTGTCTCATAAACCTGAAAAAATCAGGTGACTCAACGGGAATCGAACCCATGACCTCTGCGGTGCCGGTGCAGTGCTCTGACCAACTGAGCTATGAAGTCACACAGTGGTGAGCAGGTCAATTCTTTTACCGGCTCTGCGGTGCCGGTGCAGTGCTCTGACCAACTGAGCTATGAAGTCACACAGTGGTGATCATATCTTCATTTAACAGTTGCGTTATGTCATGTATTTATATTTTCTTAAACCTGATTTCAATGAAACGTAATTTTTTTATTGTTTTGGTCGTAGAATGCCTTTATTCATAGCCATGAATAGCTTTTGAATTTTCTTTTATATTGTTCGCTTCAACACTTGAATTTTGTTTTGTATTGTTCGCTTCAAGCCAACGCTTATCTCCGAGTTGTTTATAGCTCTTTCCAACTGCAGCGATGTATTTTTGAATTTGAAATTTTTTGAACTATCTATGGTGATCTACCATTTATACCCACGAGCTGCACAAAGTTTTTTCTCTACTGAAGGTTCAATTGTTTTTGAAAGACAGTTGGTTAAGTTCATTACGTTCGGCCATCAGATCGAGTCTCAGCGAAGCCGGAAAAGGATGGTTCAATCTGAATGAGAGCATCTGGGAAGTTTATAAAATATCAAAGCTGGCCAAGTTTATGCAACTGGTCAATTTTGCCATGCAGGTAAATATCATTCAAGTGAGAATTTTTCTAATTTACAGAATTCACTGCTCGCCGGGATATCGTGGAAGAATATTTAACCTTTAGCGTGTTGTTTTGTGTTATAGGATACATTAAGGTTCCTCGTCCAAGATTCACTTGCTTCATTCAAACAGACTATTCATGATGGCTGTCATGACGTTTTAAACGTCCCCGACGATGTAGTTTGGGAAGGAGATATCGTAAACAGTCCTTTCAAGTAAAGTACTTTCAGCATATCATAATAATTACAAATGAAATGAAATAAAAAGCTAACGCTATAAATAACACCATCTATTGTTTGGAATCCGCATGGATGCATGTAATGGTTGTGCTACGCCATTTTGTCTTTATTATTGTTTGTTTTATGAAGTGAAATTGTAGACAGTGGTGGATCTTGAGTAGGTCAAAATGTATTAGAGAAGTTGGTTAAAAATTTCTAAAGAATATTTAAGACTGAAATACTCCCAATAGAATTCTCTCCGAAGTATTTTAAAACGGAAATATATTTTCAGTAATGAGTGCCCATGGATCGGCTACTACGCAGAACCTCTAAGGGCTCAAAAATATTTACAAAGTTAGCGCCCCAGTTCTAATATACACTTCACTGCATAGCTATATTGCACTCGTAATATTATTCATTAACAATTGTAAACACCCGAATCTAAGCAATGGTTTGCAATGTTTCCACTTTGAAAATTCCAGGCCGAAAAAGCATCCGTTGTTTTATGTGGATTTGACAATGGAGAAAGAGAGCGTCGGCTATGGTATAGAACTTCATAGCTTCGAAGATGTTGTCATTAGTTTGTTTAATAAAGGGATTGCGTGCACAAGAAATGTACCTCAGCTGGAGAAAATGGTGATGAAGGAACTGTTCTGGAGTGCGACTCCTTTGTTAGAGACTGTCGGAGAGAACGAACCACCCGTTGTGGAAACGAGAGAGTTCATCAGAAGAGCGATGAAGAAGTCCATCGTGCCATTAAAGGCGTATGCTAAACAATACGAAATGTACTTAGAACTTTTCAACCTCGATATCAATGGTTACTTACGGTATGAGAATTGTGTTTACGTTTGTGGAGCACTATTAAGGGCTTAGATTGAGTTCAGTGTTAACTCCTGGGGTTATAGCGTGTTTCTATGTACTTTTATATTGCTGTGCAAGCAAGAGGAATGATGATGTACGATACCCGGTATACGATTCAAACGCTATCTTAAAAAAATCAACTTGAGCTTCGTTATAATTGAACTACCCTACAGTATCTTTACTTTATACAACTGTATTGAAAAATGTCTTTTTTTTTAATTTTCCATTTTTAAAATGGTCAGACTATTTCTGAGTGATAAGAAAACAGATTTTTTGAATTGACAAAATTGTTTTTCTCAAGAAATAGTTTCCTCTTTGTTTTCAAAGGATAAAATCACGCTTTCATGCACCGTAGAGGTTTTTCGTAACATATTTTACGTTCTGTAGAGATTAGTTAAGGTTACATTTGGGATCGATTAGTATATGATTATTAAGTTGATTATTAAATTCATTATCCTGATTTCAATAACAAACATCAAATCAATTTTTCCCGAAGAGTGCACCTCTACAGTAAGAGTTAGAAACAACGACTCTCTTCTTACAGTTTGCTTCACCCTGCAGTATAACGTTCTCGCTTTTCTTTCTTGACAAACTAATCTTTTAATATCCTATCCTATCTATCAATCATAATTTCCTGCATGCAAATGATTAATTATTTTAATATGAAAGATTATGGAAACCCTGTCGTTGATAGGGGATTCCTTTTCTTATGCAATAGCATGGACGGATTTTCCTATTTTTTGCAGGGGTGGTGCTAAAAATTTTTGGGGGAGAGCTTGTAAGGAAGTGACGTAAGACAATGTAAGGATCTACAATTAGGATGGTCTAGTAAAGCAGCCATCGAAAATTGTGTAGAAAGTTGAAATTTTGCCTTGAAAAACTCAGCTCAATTGTACTACTGATATATTTTCGTTAAAATTGGGGAGGTGGGGTTTATAATATTTCTTAAAGGGGTGAACAACTTATTTAGGTTTGCTAAAAATTGGGGGGTTAAAATATTTCATAAAGATGTGAAAAACTTATTTAGCTGGCGAAATCTGATGTTTGCGAGGTGGCACCCCCCTGCACCCCCAGTGAATGTGTCCATGTGTTTTAGCACTTTTAAATGCCACGTAGTATGATAGCGATCCACTTGCACATCTATAAATCACAATTACCAATACAAAAAATGGAAGGTCGAAACATAAGTATACAAGTGTAGATGTGTGTGCGTAAGTTGAACTTTTTATGCACGTATTTATCGACTTAGTTTTTGCCTTATTTGCTTGTTAAAAATATTTTGCAGGTGTATGTTTGTTGAAAGAATTTGAAGAAAATTATCATTGTTTTTTTGTGGCAGGGATTACGACAAACAAAATTACAGCGCCATGGAAGTAAAACAGGAAATAGAGATGCATCTTGCCGAAAAAGAAATCCTCGAAAACAGTATACCGTCTCAAATCGTGATCGGTCCATTTCATGTTAATACTGAAACTGTTCGTCAAAAACTAGCCGCCAAGAGAAAGGCATTGGCCAATCAGGTTATCGAACTGTTGGCGAAAAAGCTACGAAAACAGAACGACGAAGTTAGTTCAGTTTGATTTTACTTTTAAACATATATTAACGTCTTATGAAGGTCGTCGTACGACTCAGTGGCGCTGGCAGGAGTTTACTTTTTTTGTGTGGGCAAAACATCCCATAAATGTAACTTACATATATTGCGCACTGTTTTATATGCTACCATTTTTTGGTTACATGTATGAGAAATATTTGGGGGGAGGGCAGTCGCCTCCTCTTGCTCCTTTAGGTGGTAAAATCTGGTGTTTATGGGGTAGCACCCCCCCTGCAATCTCAGTAAATCTGTCCATGTGCTTTAGCACTTTTAAATTCCACGTAATATGACAGCGATCCACAGGCACATCTATTACTATAGATTTGCAATAGCTCAATCAAAGAGCAGCAAATTGTCTTTACCCATGATGTACTGTTTGGTGAAGTAATAAAACAGAGAAGTTGTAGTGGTGACAAACCTAGATTTTCTATAAGCAATGCATTTGCCATGGTGAATGGCCAAAAACTATAAAGTTCTGAAAACTGATAGAAACCCAAGAGCTCTGAAATCTGAGAGAAAACCCAGAGTTTTAGAATAGGAACGCTAACCCGAAAGTTCTGAAAAGAATAGTTTTCGAATTTTGAGATCCTGTGCATTTCGGCCGACAGTCCATCACTTGTCTGCCGAAATGCAAAGTCTCTGAAATTTCTAAAATATTTCTTTTCAGGACTCTCGGCTTTTTTCTGAGTTTCTCGGTTTTCTTGCTTTCCTTTTTGGTTTCCTGGGTTTCAGAACTCTTGGTTTTCTATTAGTTTTCAGAACACTCGAGAACTCCATAATTTTTGGCAATTCACCACCATCGCATTTTCGCCTTTCAAGGGAAGTATAGTCAGCAACTTTCATGATAAATTAAAACATGAATGTGTCAACAATCAATATGTTCCTTCAGATTTGTGAAGAGTTCATGCAAATTGCGAACACCCTGTACGATAAACCCAACTGTATCGAAGAATTGGCCGAGCAACGTGAGTACATGAAAACGATCCCCGATTTATTGAAGAAAAATCAAGAGTTGATTGATAAAGCAGTTATCGATTATGAACTCATCGAAGAATTCTACTACAGTTTATCACAGGATGATTTCAATGTAAAGTGAGTGGATTTTATTCTCTATGAAAATACCCGTGAAGCGGACATATGATGATGAACAGATAGTTTATGTCTTTTTTCATATTCATCTGTCTTAAATATGCGAAATTCTCTCTATACGACCAACATCTTGTAGCCGCCTTCTCCAACTCGTTGCGAACAAGCATTATTGTATGAGAATTTTTTCTTGAGAATAATGTGAGAATAAATAATTGAGAGATGCGTGGAACAGGGTAAAATTTAATATAGGTGATATTTTTCTCTATTGAACAAAAGATTTAATTTTAGATGCTCTGGGATCCAGTGTCTATAAGGCAGTGTGAACATATATGCATTTTTACCAGTTTTTAAGCTTTGCCACTATATAAAGCAGGTGGGAGAGTCTAAGAACATCAGATAAAGTCTAGTGAAAAAATTGGCATCAATTTATCGGTATAGTCTTAAGGATTAAAAAGCACAATTTACTAAAATTAACTAGACTAGCAATTTTTAGCTAGACCATTTTTCATGCTGTTGTTTATCAACTTAAATGTATTAGTGATATTCATTCACGTTAAGGTGGACGGTTATTGGTTTTCCAAACACGATTCAACAACAAATAGAAATGACCGAACTCTCTCTGCAAGCAGATGAAGAACGTTTCCAGAAGAATCTGCTTTCAGATCAAAACACGTTCCAAGACAGGCTCGACACGTTGAACATGGTGATCGCGGGCTTTGCTGCTCATACTGATATCAATCGCGCACACGAAATCGCCAATGACGTTAGGCGTATATCGAAACAGCTCAAAGAATGCCAAGGATTGGCTACTACATACAATAACAGGGAACGACTGTTTGGACTACCTGTGACGTCGGTAAGTTACAGTAGCTTCATTTATTTTCGTTGGATTTCTGACATTTGTATTAGTTTCGTGAATCTTGTTTTTTTATGAAATTTTGTGCAAATGCGATCTGCATCCCAATCGGATTAGGATCAAATTTTCACAAAGCTTTGCCCGCATTTATCGACTTAGATTCCAAGAAGCTAATTCTATCCCACCTTAATCTCTTGTTTGCATAGAAAGTCTACATCTTGGGAAGTTAGATTTTCATTATCATATTTTATTCTGTGCACTAAATATAGTGATCCATTATCATTTCAGTATGACAAAGTGGGAAAGCTGTTGAAAGATTTTGAACCATACAAGAGCTTGTGGTTGACGACGTCCGATTGGTTGAAGTGGTACGACTCCTGGATGAACGATCCTCTCATAACCATCGACGCCGAACAACTCGAGAGCAATGTGAACAATGCGTTCAAAACGATGCATAAGTGTGGAAGACATTTCCAGGAGGTTCCAAATGTTCAAAGTATAGCGAATGAGATTAAGGGTTGGATTGAAGAGTTTAAACCTTTTATCCCACTAATCCAAGGATTAAGAAATCCTGGTATGAGAAGCCGTCATTGGGACCAGGTGAGGATGGATTGATAATTTTTTGTGCTTTACCGATTTTGCAGTGACATTGCTATGAAATTATACAGAAGGTCATTTGTTACGTACGTATTTAAAGGAGATATTTCATTGCAATGCATGACGCTACATCGATACACAAAAACTTTATATAGCTTAACACCAGACAAAAACTAAAAACTGAACGAGCCGATCAACGCATCTGCTGACTTACTGTTACTTTAAGTTTAAACCTTATTCAATTGGAACTATTGAAATGTTTTTTTTGGTCTATTGGAAAATGACAAATAAGTTGTACGATAATCTATAGGGAGTGAGTAAAACAAAATTCGTTAACAAGCAATATGATTGTCTGAAGACAATATACGAAGAAGTTTAATGATTTTCTTCCAAATGAAAACTTGAATAGTTTGTGTACACGTTAACCCTCTTCACTAAAATATTTAAATTCATTCTCTTTATCATTTTTCCTTTTGAAAAAACTACTTTCATTGCCATCTCACGTGTGCAATTTAGTTTCGTAATACAACCTTTCATTCCTAGTTTCCGATTCTAAACAAATTCATTACAAGGCATAAATTGCATAATTTGCCAATATAATGCCTACTTACAGCCATCAATGAAAATAGTGTCTTAAAATGTTTTTCATTTATAAGTATTGCTACTTACATATTATTGTTAGCTATGATCACACATTCAAATGATTATCACTAATTTTCTTCGGTATTCCTGCGTTTTAGCTATCGAAAGATCTTGGTTTCAAATTGGTTGCAAATCAAAACTTGACTTTTTCCAAATGTCTCGAACTCAAACTCGAAGATCACATCGGTGTCATCTCCAAAGTTGCTGAAGTCGCAGGAAAGGAGTACTCCATTGAGCAGGTAAGATTCTCGAGGATCACTTGAATCCCTCCATGCTAATTGAATATGGAAAGTGGGAATGTACGTTTGCGTTTAAAAGAATGAATCGTTCTTAATCAGTTCGATAGTTGTGCTGATTTTAGTTAAATTTGCGTCAACAATTTGCGTTTTTAATCGTCGACAAAAGTGTTCATGTGCTTGATGTTGAAATTAACAACAATTACGATTTCGACATTAATCACTGTATATTTCTACATCGTTTGCATTGCTAGTCTACATTGTTAGGTATGTCATAAACGTGTCGATGAAGTATTCGTCTTTTGAACGATGTGATGTTATTTGTTTCTTTCCCTATGCTGTCCTGTAGGCTTTAGACAAGATGGAAAGTGAATGGTCGCCGATCGTTATGGAAGTACTATCGTACAAAGAGACTGGTACCTACATCATCAAAGTGAGCGACGACTGCTCACAACTCTTGGACGACCATATCGTGATGACGCAAAGCATGTCCTTTTCACCGTACAAGAAACCATTCGAGGATCGCATCAACTCGTGGGAAGGAAAGTTGGTGATGACCCAGGACGTCTTAGACGAATGGTTGAATTGTCAACGCGCTTGGCTCTATTTGGAGCCGATATTTAGCAGCGAAGATATCAACAGACAGTTGCCAATCGAATCGAAGCGATACCAAACCATGGAAAGGATATGGCGAAAAGTTATGAACAACGCATTCAATAACCCTCAGGTTCGTTCATTGTCCACGAGGATTTCTAAATTTTATGGTAAATGTTTGCCAACATTGTTGCACTGCAAAAACAGACATGCTTTGACGGCGGTGGGTCGTCATGTAGTTGAATAACAGTTGAAAACCTTCAGAATGTCCTGTTCATCTTTTGACCAAGATTAGGGAAAATAGGCAGAAAACCCGACGGAGGATGGAGGGATCAGCAAACTTAGATAGTTGAAATGAGAAACTGATTTCCATTGCAGAACAGTGCCATAGCCAGTGGAAACATATTTATGTGTTTATGTTGTGGTGATTTCACCGGACATCAATAAAGCCAGAACATTCGTATAGGAGAATAACCCCCCCCCCCTCACACCCCAATTATTGAACTGGCCATGTCATTGTTGCTAGAACTATTTTCTTTGTAAATCTAAACAATGTCAATGGCAGGAATTCAAATGTACAGCGCGTTTTTAACCATTTTTACTGATAAATAAAAATTTTCAGGTGATATCTCTTTGTCCTGATGCCCGCCTGCTTGACAATCTTAAAGAATGCAACAAGTTATTGGAACAGGTAATTTTCTTTCTCTTTTTCAAACGTTCAAAAATCTTTGCAAATATTTAGTTTTTGTTGGTGGAAAATTGTGAGTAAATGCCCACATCGAAAAAGGTTTTGAATTCATCTGATATCTTCCACAAAATTGAATTTCTTGGCATTGTAATTTTCATTTCATACCTTACATTTCCATCGTCCAGGTTCAAAAAGGTTTGAGTGAGTACCTGGAAGCCAAAAGAAGTTCATTCCCTCGATTTTTCTTTCTGTCTGACGACGAACTGTTGGAGATTTTGTCGCAGACCAAAGATCCTACCGCTGTACAACCCCACCTCAGGAAATGCTTTGAGAACATTGCTCGAGTGAGTGCATCCATTTGAATTTTCTGCCTGCAATGTTGTCGCTCAATGCATTTGCTTGTCACATCATAATTCTTTTACAATATTATTACTTAAAGATTAATCCTTGCATACATTTTCATTCGCATATTTGCCAGTGGAAGTATTCGATTTTATCGTCAATGGCCAGCTTTTAGTAAGAATTGTGTAACGATCACAAGCATCCATTAACCTCTATCTGAAACTGAAAGCTGGTACCTAAAATCCAGTATGTAAATACCGACCAATTCGTTCGAGGCCATAGACATTAGGGAGTTTTAGTTTGGCTTTTACTACCCGCTTGCCGTTGAGATTTGCCGTTTCGAAAAAATTTGAATTTAGTTTGGCATTTTACAACTTGTATATTGACCTGAGCTAAATTTCATGTTTTGTTAGAAGTTTGTCGATGATAAAGGCATAGTCATGTTGTATACTCACATAAAAATATAGCATTAAGCCGTAAACCACACTTGGTTGTATTAATAGTACTAAAAAACTTGCCGTATATCATCTACTTCTAGAAGGGCCTCTTGCCGTTAAACCTGAACCGTAAACCGCAAAGTTATGATCATGAGACTTTTTGCTGTATGCCGTAAGCGCTAAACTAAACTCTTTATTAATATACTGATACTTTATCGTCGACGTATTATTGTTTCTAGCGTATAGACGTCAGTAGACTGCAGGAATCTCAGGCTTACACAAGTTGCTCGTTCTTGAATTTATTTCATCTTAAAAATGGTTCATCATTTTTGTGGTTGAATCAACTTTTTCCTGTTTCAGTTACAATTCGAGGACGACCTTCGCATCTCGAAGATGTTTTCTTCTGATGGCGAAGGAGTGCCCTTCTCTGAGGAAATGTATCCCAGAGGTAACGTGGAGGACTGGTTGCTAGAAGTGGAGAGAATCATGATGGCTAGCTTGAAGAGCATACTTCATCGTGCAATTGTTGCCTACGAACAGGTAGGATACATTTACGTTTTCTACATTTGTACCCTCCATTTCCTCACGTTTACATATTTCTTTGAATATTTGTTTTGCTTAATTGACTAAATTCGCGGTAAAGTCTTTACACGTGTCTTTCATAGTGTATGAACTAAATCAGTCAAAGTCGTAGCACATGGAATTCTTTGACTCACTGTGAAACAACTGATTTACATAGAAATAAATAATGATAATGATCCGAAATATACATAGCAGGACTAAAACCTGCGAGCAGGATACGCCATTGTAAATGCAAAAGATAAGGACTAGGTATTACATTCTCAATTCATAAGGATTACGATTTTTCGTCAGATCATTCTCGATCAGGAAATACATACTAGATAATGACGAAGCATCATATCAATAGTGAAGGCGATGCATATCGCAACAAACAAACATCTATAAAGTCATGCGCAAGATAATATTTTTATCCGATTAAACTCTCACATTTCAGACGCCACGAGTTGATTGGGTATTGCAATGGCCGGGACAGATCGTCATCGCAGGATGTCAAATGCATTGGACAAAGGAAGTATCCGAGGCATTGGAGAAAAATGAGCTGAAAGATTTATTTGTAAATCTCAGAAAACAGGTGCTGTAGAAAACTCTTTTCTTATATTTATGTTTTACACCCGTCGTTTTTATCTTTCACTTTTTTGACGGAGAAACATGACATGAATTTTGGTTGTGTTATCTTTACGCGTGCGTTCTTTAAAACCATAGGAAGTTTTTGTGTATACACGGTTTCTATGTTAATCTGATCCATTGATCTCGAAATAAATGTGGATCACGAAACTCTCTGTTCACGGAAAACAAATTTTGATACCACCGCCGCCATTACTAAGCGACCATCACATCGAAAGATTTATTTGACAAAACGTACAAAACTATGTAAAAATTAACAACATATGGCCAAATAATTTTTCACAATACTGTAGAAGGTCGAAAACAAACTTTGTGACTATAGTAAAGCGAGTCTGGAAAACTAATTGGCCATATAGCAACAATTTGCATGCAGTTTTCACATGTACAAGAATCAACTTTAGCGATAGATGCTTGATCCAGTCTTATTTCGAGATCAGTGGTCTGATCGTATAACAATCATTTCGGGTTTCTCATCTCAGTTCTTGTCATTGGTTGCATTGTCATGCAGGATGACCAATTGCAATCTCCTTTTTATACTTTGCAAAAATTATTTGATGATTAGTGGCACAGCCTACTCGCTTATCTGGTCCCGCTATGGGTTTTTTCTGTTTAAACAGAGGATTTATACAGAAAGAATTAATTGTGATGATTTGAAGTTTTCATTGTAAGACAGAATTTTCAGGCTGTCTGCGCTACCGATGAAAATAACATTTTATATTTCGAAAATCTCAACCAGTCACATGTATCTTGATGAACTTTAGCTAAGTGACCTGGTATCACTTGTCAGAGGTCAACTCACCAAATTGGAGAGGTCAATTTTGGGAGCTCTTATTGTTATCGAGGTATGCTATCACAAGCTATCCATAGTTGTCCTGAAGTCGCTTCTGTTTCACTCGTATGAAGTCGCATTTGCGTTCTTAAAATGATTTCAGATCTTCTTTCGGTATAATATCGTGTTTTTTTTTATTGTTTATAATGTTGGGATACTTGAAAACTGTTATTGTATCCAAATAGCAGAATCAAATGTTCCCCTATTTCATATGTTTTTGTTCATTTCAGGTCCATGCTTGTGATGTGGTGGACAAAATGGTTCAAGAAAATGTTCAAAACATCAACGATTTTGAGTGGATAAGTCAGCTAAGGTAACTTATGTTTCCTGCATACGTCTTTTAACTACCATACCGCGTCCTTAATCTTCGTAGAGCACCGCTTATGTTTGTGATAATGATAGAAATGGCATTGTTGAATGGAAATGAACGAATAAGAGATGAAAAGTATGGTTGCATACGAACGCCATCAATCATGAAGCTGTTTTTCTTTTACATGCATGCATCCCATTCAAAAAACGCAGACTTTCTGATTTTGAATTTATAAAATATTGAAAGATTCACGTTTATTTTTCCTTGTAAGATATTATTGGGAAGATGATCTACTCATTCGCGCCGTGAACGCTGAATTCAAATACGGCTACGAATATCTTGGCAACAGCGGGCGTCTCGTTATCACGCCTCTCACTGATCGATGTTACCTTACCCTGACTGGAGCGCTTCATCTCACTTTCGGTGGTGCACCTGCTGGGCCTGCGGGCACTGGCAAAACTGAGACGACTAAGGTAAAGTCGGGATAAATTTTGCTCGTGTTTCTGTTGCACAGTTGGAGCAGTGAACTTTCTATGTCAAAGTTTTTGATGGAGCAGTGAACTTTCCATGTCAAAGTTTTTGATGGAGCAGTGAACTTTCCATGTCAAAGTTTTGATGGAGCAGTGAACTTTCTATGTCAAAGTTTTTGATGGAGCAGTGAACTTTCCATGTCAAAGTTTTTGACACAACTTTTTACACCGTATTTCGTGTTATTTTGTATGTATATAAACCTTTATACACGTGCCATATTTTTCAAATGGCTTTCACTACATTTTTTCAACGAACGTCGTTGCTATATATGACCAATTGCTTATGTAACAAACGCTCAGCTGAAATAAAACAAGGTTAATGCATTTGACAGTGAAACTCGAGACAATTTCTAATTTTCGTCTTCTGGCAACTGTTGTTCGTCAGTCAAGATGCCATGAGACAAAATTTATTCTTCACGTACAAAAGATGGTCAAAATTATTTTTTTGAAACATTGCTTAATTTGTTGTGTCTCGTCTTGATCGTTTACTGAACTTGGTCCACTGATTTGTGATAAGTGATGATTTCCTTTTATTTTCACATCGTAGGATTTAGCCAAAGCTATGGCCATTCAATGTGTCGTATTTAATTGCTCTGATCAACTAGATTTTATGGCGATGGGGAAATTTTTCAAAGGCTTGGCAAGGTCATTCATTTATTTCATCATTGAAAATGCTAAATTTTTGGTTTCGTTTTTGGGAATTGAACTTTGCACGTTATCCTGTCTTTATTTTGTTATGTAGCTCCGGTGCCTGGGCATGCTTTGATGAATTTAACCGCATCGATGTGGAAGTATTGTCCGTGGTCGCTCAACAAATTTCCACTATACAACAAGCGCTCCAGAACAAAGTAAGAGTTGTTTGAAAGTATCTTAGAAACTTCGTAAAAAAGTATCATAGCCATCCTGAATTTTAGTCTTTACATATATCAATGTAAAGATATATGATCAACGTGCCTAAAAATTTCTGCCGGCTTCTTCATTTTAAAGTCGTTGTAGGCCATTAAACTAAAATACATGGAACGCCACCTGAAGGAAATAATTGAAGCCAAATCTTACACCCAGACACGCGTGTTTAGTGTTTCGAGATTCTCTTGCGGAGTAAAAATTGATTGAACTCCACACGCGTTTCTGGGTGTGATCTCGCATGGCTGGGTGTAAGATTTGGCTTCAAAAAATTACTAGACTTTTCAATTACAGGTAGCGTTCCATGTATTTTAGTTCAATGTAGTAGGCACAGAATGATGGCACACGCATTGCTGAGTCGTATTTTCCACTGTATGATTTTTTAAAGGTTGTGAAAAGCCTGAACAGATATCGTTCAATGTCTGTTTGATAAATATAGGTCGAAAGATTCATGTTCGAGGGTGTTGAGTTGAAGTTACGTCATTCTTGTGCAGTCTTTATCACCATGAATCCTGGTTATGCAGGTAGAACGGAACTACCCGATAATCTCAAGGTAGAGTAAATCATTTATGAAAAGAGCATTTAGTCGCAATTTTGGAATGACAACACAACAGAAATGAAGTGAAGCAATCTCCTCATAAGTGAAGAAACTTCATTATGACTCTCGAGGATTAAAAAATACAGTTCTTTTCATAATCAGATTGATACAAGCGGTGAAGCAAACCATTTAACCTCTGTTTAAAAACATCTTCATTTTTATTGGAGCATCTAAACGCGAAAAATAAACTTTAAATTTAGTTAGGATAAGAAAATTAAAGTATCGAAATGTTTTAAATCTCTGATAGCTTTATTCTTATGCATTTTTCATCACATCCTTACATTATTGAAGTAATTTTTATTATCTGGTAAAGCAGAACATTGATAACATTGAGAAAATTTTACCTCTTGGAGGCTTGAAAATCATCCTTCATTGTTCATTGCGGTTTTTGTACTTTAGGCGTTATTCCGTCCCGTGGCTATGATGGTTCCTGACTATGCTCTTATTGCTGAGATCAGTTTGTTCTCGTTTGGTTTCTCGGAAGCGAAAGTTCTCGCGAAAAAAATAACGACGACATTTAAATTGTCGTCGGAGCAACTCAGCTCACAGGTATATAAACTCGTTTGGAAGATTTATTTACGGTCGTGTTTTCTCTTTGCCGTTCATTGAGATCAACACATTTGAAACAAACGATGGTAGCTTACATCGTGCTGACTTTCATATCAACTTTCAAAGTTTACTTGCTCTGAGAATTAAAATATCTCCCTAAAAAGCACATGCTTTAATCAAATCACGAACTATCCGTCTTGTTTGAAGCAATCACACAGCGGTACAGATCTTTTGTCTTTTAATTAATTGTCGAGGTACTTTCTCTTTTGTCAAAGATGAAACCGGTCCACCATTTCGTGATCTTGTTTGTTTGGAAAATTGACAGGACTCGATTTCTTTTATAAAAAGTCTGCTTTAGATTTTAGTTTTAATACTTTGAATATTTTCACAGGATCATTATGATTTTGGAATGAGAGCTGTGAAGACCGTCATTTCTGCTGCCGGTAACCTTAAAAGAGAAAACCCCGAAATGGAAGAGGTTTGTCTGTTTTGAAAATTTTATATGTACAGACACCTTGTTCAACCCCTCGGCTTTTTGATAAAGTAATGTCCATTGCAACTCTATAATTAAGTTAAGATGGTGAGCGTATTAGCTATGTTGAGTTTAATCATTTTTCGTTCTTATCTCTGCACAAGTTCTTGTTCTACGCCAAAGAAGTGTTTCATTTTTTAAAATCTCTTAAAAAAGCAGCTTTATTGTCATTTGTTTCAATAATACTGGAAGTAAAAGGCAAAGGTCTCTTGCAGGCGAGGGTCAAAAAAGTTGGTCGCACAGAAATTTGCCGTACACAGCACATGCCTTTATATTGCCTTCCATCTACTGTATCTTGCCTTTCATCCACTGTATATTGCCTTTCATCCACCGTATATTGCCTTCCATTCACTATATATTGCTTTTCCTTCACTGTATATTGGCTTCCATCCACTGTATCTTGCCTTTCATCCACTGTATATTGCCTTTCATCCACCGTATATTGCCTTCCATTCACTATATATTGCTTTTCCTTCACTGTATATTGGCTTCCATCCACTGTATCTTGCCTTTCATCCACTGTATATTGCCTTTCATCCACCGTATATTGCCTTCCATTCACTATATATTGCTTTTCCTTCACTGTATATTGGCTTCCATCCACTGTATCTTGCCTTTCATCCACTGTATATTGCCTTTCATTCACTGTATATTGCCTTCCATTCACTATATATTGCTTTTCCTTCACTGTATATTGGCTTCCATCCACTGTATCTTGCCTTTCATCCACTGTATCTTGCCTTTCATCCACTGTATATTGCCTTTCATTCATTGTATATAGGCTTCCATCCACTGTATATTGCCTTTCATCCACTGTATATTGGCTGCCATCCACTGTATATTGCCTTTCATTCACTGTATATTGGCTGCCATTCACTGTATATTGCCTTTCATTCACTGTATATTGGCTGCCATCCACTGTATATTGGCTTCCATCCACTGTATCTTGCCTTTCATCCACTGTATCTTGCCTTTCATCCACTGTATATTGCCTTTCATTCACTGTATATAGGCTTCCATCCACTGTATATTGCCTTTCATTCATTGTATATTGGCTGCCATTCACTGTATATTGCCTTTCATTCACTGTATATAGGCTTCCATCCACTGTATATTGCCTTTCATTCACTGTATATAGGCTTCCATCCACTGTATATTGCCTTTCATCCACTGTATATTGGCTGCCATCCACTGTATATTGCCTTTCATTCACTGTATATTGGCTGCCATTCACTGTATATTGCCTTTCATTCACTGTATATTGGCTGCCATCCACTGTATATTGGCTTCCATCCACTGTATCTTGCCTTTCATCCACTGTATCTTGCCTTTCATCCACTGTATATTGCCTTTCATTCACTGTATATAGGCTTCCATCCACTGTATATTGCCTTTCATTCATTGTATATTGGCTGCCATTCACTGTATATTGCCTTTCATTCACTGTATATAGGCTTCCATCCACTGTATATTGCCTTTCATTCACTGTATATAGGCTTCCATCCACTGTATATTGCCTTTCATTCACTGTATATTGCCTTCCATCCACTGTATATTGCCTTTCATTCACTGTATGTAGGCTTCCATCCACTATATATTGCCTTTCATTCACTGTATATAGGCTTTCATCCACTGTTTATTGCCTTTCATTCACTGTATATAGGCTTCCATCCACTGTATATTGCCTTTCATTCACTGTATATTGGCTTCCATCCACTGTATATTGCCTTTCATTCACTGTATGTAGGCTTCCATCCACTGTATATTGCCTTTCATCCACTGTATATTGCCTTTCATTCACTGTATACAGGCTTCCATCCACTGTATATTGCCTTTCATTCACTGTATATAGGCATCCATCCACTGTATATTGCCTATCATTCACTGTATATACGCTTCCATCCACTGTATATTGCCTTTCATTCACTGTATATTGCCTTCCATCCACTGTATATTGCCTATCATTCACTATATATTTGTTAGAGTATTTATCTTACACATTAATAACGAAGTATTTGATATGACACCATCTTTCAGGAGCTGATTGTTTTGCGTGCCATACGTGATGTGAATGTGCCAAAGTTTCTTTTGGATGATCTCAAGTTGTTCGAAGGCATTGTATCTGATCTCTTTCCTAAGATCAAGTAAGATGATGTTTATGATTTCACCATGTTACTTCAACAGATGTCGAGTCTGAAATTTGGTCATATTTCATCAATATTGTGAATTGCTAGATCGTCAGTTAACTGATGCATGTGTTTCATTGAAAACAATCTAAGTACAACGATGTTTAGAAGAAATTTTCCCATCGTAATCCAACAAAATTGTTCTTTTGCTATAGGGAGCAGCCAATTGATTACGGTGAACTGGACTTGTCCATACGAACTTCTTGCAAAAAGATGGGTCTCCAAGATGTTAATGGTGAGATTCTTTGTTTGCGTTTCCAAATAATTTGTTATTGTGTAGAGGCCTAACTATTGAGCGAGGGATATTGAGCGAAGATATTTCTGGCGTAAAAGTTGTGTAGCCGAGAAAAAATGAATGCATCTGAATCAATTTACCTTTTTGTTTCATGTCGTTAGTATAAATCTTTTGTTTTAATTGTCGTGCAAACTGCCAAAAATTTTCTCTTGTGGCGAGGCGTCTTTCAATGTAGTCTAAACTTTGGCTTTAAAGGTTTCGTGACGAAATGCATACAGCTTTATGAAACAACTGTAGTTCGTCATGGTTTGATGTTGGTCGGACCAACTGGATCAGGAAAGACAAAGGTATATTATCGATTTTCTTATTTCTTGACTTCACATCACCATCATCAGCCTCGTTGGCTATAATTGGTTAATCTATTTCTACTTAATTTGTTCATAATTTGTATATATTGTCATTTTTATTCTCACTTTGAAACATTATATCATTATTCTGAGGATGTCGCGCGTTGCAACGAAACTTCAGTAAAAATCCTTTCCTTACATTATTATATTCTACAATGGCAATTCATATTCTTGCAGTAAGCTTGGCTCTTATGTTCATTATAAGATTAGCTATCTTTTTGATTTTTCCTACAAATCCCATGTCCCTATGTTAAGGAACCACCGACCAATCTTATTTGTTTTGCATTCTGGAGATATGAGCCGCAAAAGTTGGATTTAGTAAACGTTAAACCAGTATTTTACCACAGACGTTCCGTTATGGACTTTTTTCAAATATCTAGTCATTAATAGAACTTGCGACAACGGCTGTTTTCGGCTGTTTTCCATTAATACAAAACCGCCATTAATCACACATATTTTGCTGAAATTCATAGTGCTACGAAGTTCTGAAGAGAGCGATGACTTCATTAAAAGGTCAAATGTCTCCTGCGGGAACGCAGTTCGAGGAAGTCCACACATGCGTATTGAATCCGAAATCCATAACCATGGGTCAACTTTACGGAGAGTTTGATTTAATGACTCACGAATGGTAATGAGATAAAATAGTGGCATGTCCATGTAATAGATAGTTCTTGTCCTTTTGAACTGCTGCGGCATGTCCGTCACACAACAACTCGCCATCATATTCTCATATTTGATATTCACCACGCTTAGGACGGATGGTATTCTATCATCGATGATTCGCGAAGGTAGCTCTAGCTCAACGTCAGACAAGAAATGGTACCTATTTGATGGTCCCGTCGATGCTGTATGGATTGAAAACATGAACACGGTGCTTGATGATAACAAGAAACTGTGTTTGACCAGTGGAGAAATTATCAAGTTGACTGAGGTACGGCGTCTGTGTATGGAGCGCTCACTTGGTACGCAATGCAAAGGAAGGGGGTGTATGACGAATGCATACACTTGCCTACTGTCGGAAGGGGGGTGCTAACATGTTGTTTAGTACGGATGACATTTTGGAATCTAGTCTTGGTTTCCTGAATTTGCATACATTTTTGTACATAGTTTAAGCATGTCAATTATATAAAGATGAAAGACATCATTAACCTTAGCATTAATTGGAGTTAGTTTTACTTGTAAAAAGTAACTCCCTCTCCTCCACGAAGTTTGAAGACTGCAAGATATGCTAATTTTAAGTAGCAAAGTACGAAGGGGAGTGAGGGTTAGGCAAGTGTTGTATATTTTTGTACTGAGGATAGAGGGTGTTCAAAATTCAAAAAAACCTTGAGTACGTAGAAGCCGTGTGGACAACCTCACGATTATTGTAATATTTTCCAGTCGATGACGATGATGTTTGAGGTGCAAGATCTTGCCGTAGCTTCACCTGCTACAGTTAGTCGTTGTGGTATGGTGTACCTGGAGCCGAGTATACTAGGTCTTCAACCATTTGTTGATTGCTGGTTGAGAAAGATGCCGGATTTTGTTTTTGATCACAGGGACGCTTTCAAGTCGCTCTTTGATAGATTTCTGGAGGTATTTACATACGCTGCTTGTATCTTTAGTCTCATTTTTTGGCCTTGTTTGGTTTCGTTTTTATTACTGTTTTAATACAGACATTGTACGATGACGATTTTATTGAATGATGTTTTCATGCAACATTGACTTGTGATCCACTCATCGCTAAGTTTCAGGATTTATTGTAGGGCCTCCATCAATTTTGAAATTTGATTCAGTATTTCGAATGTTTTGGTTCATGTTTGTAGCAGCCCAGACTGAGAATGGTATCGAAATCTTGTTTTTCATTTCGGTCGTTTTATAGTTATATTTTCTTTCTTTAGTAAATCAGCCGAATAAGCGTATATTTCTGGCATCCCCTTATTATTCTTTTAACTGTTATTATTTTATACTGTTTAGGTCAGCATCCTATTTTTAAGAAAACAACTGAAAGAGTTCGTTCCGTCCGTCGACAGCAATCTCTGTTTCAGCCTCATGAATTTACTCGACTCTTTCTTTGCGCCATTTATTCCACGAGAAGTAAGACGACATTTTTTCATGATGTATCCAACGTTTGTGACACTGCATTTCACCAATGGCTCGTTTTTTGGTGTTTTAAACGCTGGGATGGATTTAGGTGGGTGGGTGGGTAGGTGCGCACCTCCACACGAAATATTAATATGCTTACAATGATGCACAGGAAACTGAGCAGGTGTTGTCTGCACACGTTACAACGGAAAATAAGCGAAGCCCAAACACCACGGTACTTAATCAGTTAAGTTATTTATTTTGAGAAATATTGCAGCAATGTACCAACTTTGATAGACGGATTGCTCTGAGGAATTAGCAACTAGTACTAGCAAACTGTTCATTGTAAAATAAAAAATTCAAAATCTTATAACTTGCTGCAGCCGGATATCAATAAATCTCTGATCAGGGAACTGTTGAGGAAAAAAAAACTCGTGATCTATAGACTTGCAATTGAGGTAACGAGTGAAGCGTATATCGACCACTATAATTTCGTATCGTTTTGTTTTTCAGGGCATTGATATTCCTCAAGAAAACCTTGATAAAATTGTCGTTTTAATCGAACCTTGGTTCATTTTCGCCCTCATCTGGTCCGTGGGCTCAACTTGTGATGGAGACGGTCGACACAAATTTAGTCAATTTCTACGCCAGAAAATGCAAGACGAGAAAGTTAGTTCGTTGAATTCATTGAAATCAATATGATTTTTCAGTAGCCTCTCCTGAATCAGGACAACATATCAGAATAATCCACTCCCCCTCCACACTCATTGGGTAATAATTCATATACAATATGACATAGAATTTTGTGGATTAAATATGAGGCTCTCGCCACATGACTCGTGCAACTGCGCAACATCATGTATGATCATGCCATGTATCTCCGTGCTCTTCAAAAGACCATGTCATATCTCGCTAGTGCAAGCCAATGTTGCAAAACGTGAAGGTGCACAAAGATAAATGTTTACTAGTAAATTTGAAAACGAGGAAGCTAAAATTAGTGAATGTTACATAACGTGTATTTAGGTGCAAGGAAATAAATTTAATAAGATCGAACAACACGGTTAATTAATTGGCTTTCTCAAGTTTTCCAAACAATCTTATTCCTACTGTGTACTTTATAGATAAGCATGCTGTTTCCTGAAGATGGTCTAGTGTATGACTATTGCTTAGATGACGGTGGAATTAGTAAAATTGGTACAGATGATGATGAAGTTGAGACTACGTCAAGTGGAGAGGTGAAACATTATTTCATGTTTATTGTTACATCCAGGAATATATCTAGAATGTTAGAATCCTCAATGATCACCTTCGTTCTTTTCCTTTTGGCGACATAACGTTTCCAATTATGAAAATCATATAATCGTCGTGTTAGCCTTAGAAGTTAATTTTCCATCTTATATCAATCGACGTACGTGTATTTAAGAGCAATCTGTTTATGTACAGGTTCGTTGGAAACATTGGTTGGAAGGTTCACCGAACGTCGAAATAACACCTGAGACGAGGTTTTCGGACATCATAATACCTACGATGGATTTGATACGAGGATCTTATATCCTAGGAATGCTGTTGTCGAACCACAAGAAGGTCTGTTGAGTGTATTTGTAAGTCTGCTGCATCTAAATGTTGTTATGTATTTGCAAGCACGTAGTTTTCAAATATAGTAGTGCGTGAGTGTTTTTGGTAATGATAAATATGCTTCTTATATTGTCAGACAATTTTTTTCACTTAGATAACTTTTGATGGCGCGTGAATTGTCAATTTCAACCTTGGAAATCGTAAAACTCTCTTGATATTTTTTTATTTTAGTCCTTACTCTTACTCTCGTGAGAGTTGAGACGAATACTAAAGATTTCTTGGCAATTCATTTCCTTCTACCACAATGCAGATAGAATCGTTCCAAATGAGCTTACAGAACCTATCGTGATACTTTTTGTCATCAAAATGCCTTGTTTTTTTCAGGTTGTAGCAGTTGGTCCAACTGGCTCTGGAAAAACGTTGTGCATTAGCGACAAGTTATTGAGACATATGCCAGATAATTATCTATGTCATTTTCTTGCTTTCTCTGCGAGAACGTCGGCGAATCAAACTCAGGATATCATTGACGGAAAACTGGATAAAAGGTAGTTTTTCGTTTTATATCTTTAGGTGGAATTTGTTTCTTAATACACCCATTTGTCAAATATTTTCGTCCAAAATATTTTGGGAAACCCTTTTTGTAATTACAATGGAGAATCGGTGGCGTCGCCAGGGAGGGAACTGAGGGAGACCTCCCCCCCAGTTATTGCAAAGACGCATTTTCAAATTTTTCAAAATATGTCGAGAAATGAAGAGGGGGACAATTAATCCAATTTTCAACAGCCGCAAAAATAGTTTCTTCCTATAAACGGGTACATAGCAAAGTAATTTTAAGAAACTGCAGCGTTCAAGCATTGTTATCGATAAGATTGGCTTGAATACACTTGTAGATACGTCTAACAGTAAGCTACCTTTTTACAAACTTGTGGCTTTTCAGATTATATACAAAATCTGCCTGTGAGAAATAGCGTTTTAGAGAACCTTTAAATACACATTTTTAAGAGGGGCATGCCCCGAAACCCTAATTGAAGTCTGAAACCATTGTCGCTTGCACTGTCCCACATCCAGTTTGAACAACATGGCGACGCCACTGTGGAGAATTCACTTTCACGGGAAGAGAAATAAACATGCGCAGGAAAATTCGATTACCAAAAAGCAACCAAAAATAACTTGCTACGTCAAACTGTCATTGTCGATCAAAAAAATTTATCCTCGTGTGATAATAAATGCTACTAATAAGACGCCATCTTGAATCTTGATTTCACATAGCGAGCAGTGTCCGCAAAAATTATCCATTTTCCTAGACGACATGGGACTTGACTACAGACCATTAGCTACAATACGGTTTATTTTTGTTTCATTAAGTTTTCTTTACTTTTGTTCAGACGGAAAGGAGTGTTTGGTCCACCTTTAGGAAAGACCTTTCTTATATTTATTGACGATCTCAACATGCCTGCATTAGAGACGTATGGTGCTCAGCCTCCGAACGAATTGTTACGACAGTATTGTGATCACAACGGATGGTACGATAGAAAGCAGATTGGTGAGTTGATGAAGTCACAGGATGAATGTAATATAGTGGTCTTAAGGCAATTTTCCAAAATGTAGCCTCGATCCGGAATGTTAAAGATTTTAAAATTGAGTAACGTAGCAAATTATGGATATTTTGTAGTGCAGCAAAAAATGATCTCACTAAACGAACGAACTTTTTGTGTTCATATTCAACTCATCCAGAAGCTTGATTTGGTGTTATATAAAAAACATTCATCAGAATCAGAACAGTTGAAAAAGCCATCAAAGTTTTATAATTAAGTGGTTCATTTTGCCATTATGAAGAATCAATGTTGAATTCAGCCAAGTATAATAAACAACTCTCCGAACGATCTCAAAATGTCCGAATCATGAAACATTCACCTGTCAGTTATGCTTTGCATTTGAATATTATTTTCATCATAGGTGCATTCCGTGAGCTGGTCGACATCAATCTTCTCGGGGCAATGGGTCCCCCTGGTGGAGGCCGTAATCCCGTTACGCCACGTTTGTTACGTCATTTCAACTTTCTCACTTTCACCGAAATGGAAGATTCGAGCAAGTTCACTATTTTTTCAACAATATTAAATGGATGGCTGGGTGCGTGTGTATATCACTCTAATTTACGACTAGCTTTTGCCTTAGTCGTCAAAACCTGTAGTTAATAACGCGTATTTCTTTCGAACAACTTTATGTATGGAGTGTTGTTTCTCGCCTTGTCATCATTTCTTTGTAGTCCAGTTTCCCATAGACCACGAGATAGATCAGTGTATCTATATTATTATAAGATGTTAGAGCATGGGACTGTTTTAAATATTACACAAAGCTCTTTATTTTACTAAGGAGCTTTTTTAACCTTGTTTGAAATTGAATAAACTATTTCGAATCATGTTGCTGGCGATAAAATTTGCACGTTACAAGAAGGAAACAGGCGTTAAAGATTATTTGAAACGTGCATGCTTAAAGAAACTTAATCTATACACGTTTTAAATGTATGTCGATCAATATTTTAATTATCTTTTGCAGGTTTTAGCAAAATACCAGGTTAGAAAGTTACAGTTTATACGTAGATATTTTTAACGTTAGAGGCTTCGGCTGTAGATATGAAGATGAGTATAGTACATTATTAGCTACGTTCAATGCTTAGAGGCATTCAGTCGAGGATATTTTCTTTAGGAATATATGTGCAGACGACATTTTATGAATGACGGCTATATTTATCGTGCTCCATTTCATATTTATAGCATCATATCAAGGTGAAAATAAAAATGATCTTGGCAGTCGGTTGGTACAACAGACGATCGCCGTTTATAACACTATCACAACACAGGTACGTCATCCATTCGGTTTATTTTTTACGATAGTGAAACTTTCAGTTCAAATCGTAGATTGTTCCCTTTTCAGCAATTTTTGAAGCCTTCAAAACTATTGCTATCCAATGGATAGCGCTATCCGGCCTTCGTGCGACAGGCCCCAGTGGTATGAAGAAAAGATTACAGCATGCCAAGTCCATGGGTGCAATATTGTACAAATTTCCTGTATTAAGTTACGTTAAGTTTTCAAGAGAACAAAACCATCGTGCTTGTAAGAAAGATTTTGTAATTTATATGAACGTAGCTGACAATATTTTATGCACCAGTGGACTTGGTATGATGATCAAATAATTATTATTCGTACCTCAATTTCTAAAAGCATATACATCCTGTATTGTTAAAGACACCGGAGGGAGGGAATGGAGTTTCAGCGTATCAGATCATTTTGATGATAAAAACACTGCATTAGTATTTGATGAAAGTTGGTGTTTATTACTTATGGTTTACCGAAAAGACTTTTCACGGTCTTGAAATTCGTTATCATTCTTTGTGTGGCCCGAGAACCCCGTCAATGATCTTTCGCCAACGTTTCAAACTACATGGATCTCTTTTTAGTTGCTCCCTACTCAATCACTGTCAATGATCTTTACTTCAAGTCACCAACGTTTCAAACTACATGTATCTCCTTTTAGTTTCTCCGTACTCAATCACTGTCAATGATCTTTACTTCAAGTCACCAACGTTTCAAACTACATGTATCTCCTTTTAGTTTCTCCGTACTCAATCACTGTCAATGATCTTTACTTCAAGTCACCAACGTTTCAAATAATATTTATCTCCTTTCAGTTGCTCCCTACTCCATCTAAGAGTCACTACACCTTTAATCTTCGCGACCTGTCAAAAGTCTTTCAAGGCATTCTCATGGCGAAACCGGATCGACTGGAATCGAGGCTGGAACTACTCCGCCTGTGGTTTCACGAGAATTGTCGGGTGTTTCAGGATCGCTTGGTGAATGATGATGATCGTAAATGGTTCATAAATTTGATGAAAGATAAAATGACGAATGGATTCAATGTCGTCTACGATGAAGTTGTCACTTGCGTACCTCTCGTATATGGTGATTTTATGATACCGAATGTAGAAAACAAGATTTATGCCGAAGTGACAGACTACGCTAAGGTAAGAGACGTCATTCGGGCCTGTACGATAGTGGCAAGTACAAAATATTACATCATGGGCTTTCGGTCCATGTCCGGTTCTTCATATGTAGAGTTATTCATCAAGAGCTCAATGTTTTGGCTATGCATCGTTCTTGCAGAGATGATTCAATCATTTTTCAGTGAAATTGTGTTGTCAGTTCGGCTGTTCTTGCTTAACACGGTTGAGACTGCATGTTGATTTTGTGATGTGATGTAAATGCATATTATTATAAATACATGCCGAAATTTGTGTTGTTCTTAGGTTCGACAATTTTAAGGCAATTAACACTAAGTTCAAGCTTTACTTTGCAAATCCATTGAACACGAGAAATTCTTGTTACGAGTTACTTCTCCTAGATGGTGAAGATCCTTGAGGAATATCTCGAAGATTATAACCAGATCAATACGGCGCAGATGAAACTTGTATTGTTCACGGACGCTGTACAGCATGTTTGCAGGATCGGTCGCATCATTAGGCAACCTTTGGGCAACGCTTTGTTATTGGGTGTTGGTGGTAGTGGCAGACAGAGTCTGACACGACTGGCCACCCACATGTAAGTATCCCTAGCAACACTTGCAAACATATTTAGAGACTCATGTTAGTAGGCGTAGCAACGCATGTAAATATGCATAACTTTGCCTGGCAAGCCCGTTTTATTTACTGCTTGACGTCATGTTGTTAGCAAATTCACTTTCTTCCTGTTGGACTCAGCTACTGTCATTTTCGAATGGAATTATTAGCACAGGTGTTAGATAAGCGGGACCTCGGTGTCAAGGCTAAGAAACTTCTATTTACTGCTGATAATACGCCCAGCCTCAAATAAACATATTTCAGTGAATGCTTCCTCTGTTGTTGCAGCACATTTACGATTATTTTTAACGTAATGCATGAAAATTTATAGTAGTTATGCTGACGGACATGCCATCAAATCCTCCTTCTATATCTTATCTATTAAATTTAGCATTAAAACATGGTCTTGTTTCGTAAACAATTCTGTGTTAACTCACTGTAAAACAATGGATTTCTAAAGAAAGAAATAATAATAATGCTTAGTAATTGACATAGCACGACCAAAACTTGTGGGCTGACTACGCCACTGGCTCCCTGCAATTTGTTATTTAAAGGAAATTTCAACACAAATTAGCATCCAGTTTAAAGCGATTTCATCCCCTCCTGCCCACAACTAGTCGGAACAAAGATATTTTGTTCGAAGTCCTTAAAAGCATAAAAATTTGTCAATTTGACTGTTGTGTTAGATTTCGATTTTCCCTTTTTCTTTGTTTTTTTATTGCGCCTAAGATGCCAACAGTTGATTTAAAATTTATTAAAAAATTACGTAGTTTTTATTTCACAGCTGATGTTAATTGGATCTCCAATTCCTTTCATTTATCGAAGTTGTATCGTGGAATTTCTCCCATTTAGGAGTAAATTAAAATAATTGACGATAATCCGCATAATTAGCATAAATATATGATTAATCTATACAATAAAGGGTCTTTTGACGTGAATAGATATTGATTTTTCAACTTGTTCTCTTCAGGGCCGAGTACGAATGCTTTCAGATAGAGTTGGCAAAGAACTACGGAGTTCCAGAATGGCGAGAAGACGTGAAGAAGGTGATGATGAAGGCTGGACTGGAAAACAAACCTGTTGTCTTTTTATTCGTGGATACTCAGGTATATCGAATGAGTGTTTAGCAGTCTTTTTTCTCTTTGACGAATTATCATTCCATTTGCATGTTGTATGGAACAACGTGGAGGAACAAAACTCATGAAGTAAATTATACGTTTTACAAAGATTTTTTCGTAGTTTCTTTTGCAAAAGTTTCCCTTGAAAAGCTATGACGCCATTCATTAGATTTAGTATCTTTAGAACGCATATATGTGCGCCAATGTATAAGTACAGATATCTTTTCGTTTCAAACTCGATGGAAGGTTATCGATGCTCATCTTTTGCTCATTTATTTGTTTATAGATTAAAGACGAATCGTTTCTTGAAGATCTAAACAACATCCTGAACGCGGGTGACGTTCCAAACATATACCAGCCCGACGAACTTGATAACATATACACTACCATGAAACCATTTGTTCAGGATTCGGGACAACCACCGACAAAAGCTAATCTTTATTCTGCATACACTAAACTAGTCCGCTCTAATATACATCTGGTCGTATGTATGAGGTACACAAAAACATATTGTCTTTACTTTATTTAGGAAATAGTTCAGGTTTTTGCTTGGTGATATTTCAAAATAGAAGTTTGTTTTATCAATTATGTTATCCTAAATATCTTACTAAGACATGTGCTTACATGTAAATTTCTACCTTTGCACTATGACTTTGGAATACAACTCCAAACTTTTCGTGACGATGATTCCAAGGCCAATATATAATATCAATGTATAATTATCATTCGCGTACATTGTCTTCATACATGGCAGTTTTGCATGCCAAATTGATGCACTTTGCTTCCCTAAGTTAACGAGCAACTGACTGCTTAATCAATTATTATTGCTCATTCTCTCGGATGCAAGTTTTCTTTTCACAATTCTTCCCTATCATTGATCAACGAATTTAATCTTTTACCATTCTCCAGCCCCATAGGCGAGATATTTCGCGCGCGATTGCGTCAATTTCCATCTCTTGTCAACTGCTGCACTATCGACTGGTTCTCGGAATGGCCAGAGGAAGCTTTGCAATCTGTTGCCTCTACGTTCCTTGGTGAGATCCACGAGCTTGAAGATTCACCATACACCAAAGGATTGGTACGTACATCATTGATATTTGGTGGCCGAACTCTGGTCTTCGTTACTATTTGTATGTCTGTACGTATTTTGGAGGTTGGATATTTTGATTTAATATTTTAAGGTGGACATGTGTGGCAATATCCACCAATCCGTAGCAAGAAAATCCAAGCAATATCTTGCTGAGCTATCTCGGTACAATTACGTCACTCCAACGAGGTAATGTGGTGGATAAACATTACTTCAAATAATGACAATCAAACGTACATAGAAAATAGGCAAATCCAGCCTTTAAGGATGGACTGGATTTTCCGTACGTGTGTATTGTCAGAGTTTAGAATAACGTCAGAGCACTGAATAGACAAAATTGCGGCATGATTGGTAAGCTTGTGAATATGTAAATGATCTAAATATATATTTCTGGATCTTTACTTTTATCATGCACAATTTCAATACGACGGTATTGCTGAAAATACTATTTTTCTTTGTATTGCTTTCATATAGTTACCTTGATTTGCTTGGCACATTTCAAAAACTTGTGTCGTCGAAGAAGTCTGAAATCGTCAATGCACGTAAACGTACAAAGAACGGACTTGATAAGGTAATTCATCATTTTTTGTCTCGAAGTATAACTTCAAATGTGCTGCAGTCGATCGCTCGCCATTTTAGTTGCTATCGACAGCTGAAGAAGTTGAAAAACTACAAGAAGAACTTGAATCTATGCAGCCGTTGCTCGCCCAGGCTGCCCAGGATACTGAAGAAACAATGGAACAGATTGAGAAAGACAGTGTGAGGAAATTTTCGTTTAATTTTTCCTGCTAAAGGCAAGGCAATATGTGTTGTGTAATGTGTGAGAGATGGTTGTGTGACAGTGACAGCATGTTGGTTGCTATAAGTGATATTGCAGCATGGTGGTCATAGTATTTATATAAAAGCGTGGTGATAATAGAACTTATATGACTGGATGGTAACGATACAAACTGATGCGGCAGCATGATGGCGAGGGAAAATATATGACAGCACGATTGTAACGGAGGTTTTATGTAAGCATGATTGTAATACAAGTGCAAAGACAGCGTGGTGGTGATAGAAGTGCCTTTACAGCATGGTAATGATAGAAGTGTTATGGCAGCGTGGTGGTGATAGAAGTGTTATGACAGCATGGGGGTGATAGAAGTGTTATGACATGGTGGTGATAGAAGTGTTATGACATCATGGTGGTGATAGAAGTGTTATGACATCATGGTGGTGATAGAAGTATTATGGCAGCATGGTGGTGATAGAAGTGTTATGACATCATGGTGGTGATAGAAGTGTTATGGCATCATGGTGGTGATAGAAGTGTTATTGCATCATGGTGGTGATAGACGTGTTATAACATCATGGTGGTGATAGAAGTGTTATGGCAGCATGGTAGTGATAGAAGTGTTATGATATCATGGTGGTGATAGAAGTGTTATGATATCATGGTGGTAATAGAAGTGTTATGATATCATGGTGGTGATAGAAGTGTTATGGCAGCATTGTGGTGATAGAAGTGTTATAACATCATGGTGGTGATAGAAGTGTTATGGCAGCATGGTGGTGATAGAAGTGTTATGACATCATGGTGGTAATAGAAGTGTTATGGCAGCATGGTGGTGATAGAAGTGTTATGGCAGCATGGTGGTGATAGAAGTGTTATGACATCATGGTGGTAATAGAAGTGTTATGGGAGCATGGTGGTGATAGAAGTGTTATGGCAGCATGGTGGTGATAGACGTGTTATAACATCATGGTGGTGATAAAAGTGTTATGGCAGCATGGTAGTGATAGAAGTGTTATGACATCATGGTGGTGATAGAAGTGTTATGGCAGCATGGTGGTGATAGAAGTGTTATGGCAGCATGGTGGCGATAGACGTGTTATAACATCATGGTGGTGATAGAAGTGTTATGGCAGCATGGTAGTGATAGAAGTGTTATGATATCATGGTGGTGATAGAAGTGTTATGATATCATGGTGGTAATAGAAGTGTTATGATATCATGGTGGTGATAGAAGTGTTATGGCAGCATTGTGGTGATAGAAGTGTTATAACATCATGGTGGTGATAGAAGTGTTATGGCAGCATGGTGGTGATAGAAGTGTTATGACATCATGGTGGTGATAGAAATGTTATGATATCATGGTGGTGATAGAAGTGTTATGATATCATGGTGGTGATAGAAGTGTTATGGCAGCATTGTGGTGATAGAAGTGTTATGACATCATGGTGGTGATAGAAGTGTTATGGCAGCATTATGGTGATAGAAGTGTTATGACGTCATGGTGGTGATAGAAGTGTTATAATATCATGGTGGTGATAGAAGTGTTATGATATCATGGTGGTGATAGAAGTGTTATGGCAGCATTGGGGTGATAGAAGTGTTATGACATCATGGTGGTGATAGAAGTGTTATGATATCATGGTGGTAATAGAAGTGTTATGACATCATGGTGGTGATAGAAGTGTTATGACAGCATGGGGTAATAGAAGTGTTATGACATCATGGTGGTGATAGAAGTGTTATGACATCATGGTGGTGATCGAAGTATTATGACATCATGGTGGTGATAGAAGTGTTATGACATCATGGTGGTGATAGAAGTGCTATGGCAGCATGGTAGTGATAGAAGTGCCTTAACAGCATGATGGTGATAGAAGTACCATGACAGCATGGTGGTAATAGAAGTGCCTTTACAGCATGGTGGTGATAGAAGTAATATGACAGGGGGGTTGGGATAGTGATGTGTGAGAGTATGGTGGTGACAAAAGTGAAGTAGTGTTCTGAGTGGTGGCAAGTCTGTAGTGTTTGTAATAATGATTTTTGTGCAGGTCATGTTTGTTGGTTTGCAGTCTTGTAGGAATTAGTGTTGCGTTTCTCATTAATAACACTCTTACAATGGTCAGAGATATGCTTTTAAAACGTTGTATACTTTTTGTATAGGTGGTTGCTAATGAGACCAAAGTTGTTGTCCAAAGGGAAGAAACAGAGGCAACTAAGAAAGCGACTGAAACTCAAGCCATTGCTGATGACGCTCAACGAGATCTCGACGAGGCCCTCCCTGCTTTGGTATTACATTTATTATATTAGTTAGTTACATCTCTTTATGCAAGTTTTCATATTGGTTGAATTTTAATGAACGAAGAGAAAAAGATTCAGTGAAATGTTTGACTCCTGAAACAATTTGGGAATTCGTATCCTTTTAGGCTTTATCTTCATTCAAATTTTACAATTTTTTACACAAATTGAATTCCCATGTACTGTAATTAGATTTTTTGCGTTTTTTGGCTGACTTTTTGGCGGCTTTGGAATTATAAACGACATCGTTAATTTAATTTAAAGACGTATTTGCAACGAAACTGATGTCACGAAAAATCTTCGGAGAAAAGTACCAAAAATAGAATGCAATGTTTTGCATTGTTCTTTATTGGTTATGTTGTAATAATTCGTTCACTCGTTTTTTAAACCTGAACACCAATGATTGGTTATTTATGTCCAAACACCAATGATTGGTTATTTATGTCCAAACACCAATGATTGGTTATTTATGTCTGAACACCAATGATTGGTTATTTATGTCTGAACACCAATGATTGGTTATTTATGTCTGAACACCAATGATTGGTTATTTATGTCTGAACACCAATGATTGGTTATTTATGTCTAAACACCAATGATTGGTTATTTATGTCTGAACACCAATGATTGGTTATTTATGTCTAAACACCGATGATTGGTTATTTATGTCTGAACACCAATGATTGGTTATTTATGTCTAAACACCAATGATTGGTTATTTATGTCTAAACACCGATGTTTGGTTATTTATGTCTAAACACCGATGATTGGTTATTTATGTCTAAACACCGATGTTTGGTTATTTATGTCTAAACACCGATGATTGGTTATTTATGTCTAAACACCGATGTTTGGTTATTTATGTCTAAACACCGATGTTTGGTTATTTATGTCTAAACACCGATGTTTGGTTATTTATGTCTAAACACCGATGATTGGTTATTTATGTCTAAACACCGATGATTGGTTATTTTTTTAGTTGGTTAATTTTTTGGCATAGCATCAAATTTGAAATATTTTCAATTTAGTGAACATTGTTTGATCGCAAACGCTCTTAAATTGTATAAATTTTTTGTGAATGTATTTGGTTGTCTGAAATGAACAAAATAATGAAGTCTCCTGTAGCTACATTTATTTTTCTGACATCAGCGACATTTATTTAGACCGAAGTTCTTATCAAACAGACTTTTTTTCTATTGACCTGTTTTTCTTTTTAGGAAGCGGCTCTCACTAGTCTGAAATCGCTGAATAGGAATGATGTTGTCGAGGTACTTAATGACCCCTAGTTCACATAGGTTAAGCCCACTGGGTGCCAGATTAACCTTAAGGGTCTATTATTAACTACCTTAATTAATGCTGATGTTCTATTACAATTTCATGACAAAATATCAACTTAGGTGCGAGCCCTTCAGCGTCCACCTCCTGGTGTGAAGTTAGTCATTGATGCTGTTTGTATTATCAAAGGAGTTAAACCGAAGAAAGTTGCAGGAGAAAAGGTATATTAAAACAAACAAACAAGCGCTACGCTGTTGACAGACACGACATTAATATTGTTTTTTAAAGGTTGGCACAAAAGTGGACGATTACTGGGAGCCTGGTAAAGCACTGTTACAAGACCCCGCTAAGTTTCTGGAAAGTCTTTTTAAATTCGACAAGGTATTCTGGTTTTCTAGAATTTTTGTTGCTGCATTAGAAATTACAACAAGAAGAAAAAACACAATTAAGAGCACATACTGTATTTAGTTCAACAAATAGGATCGGGCAGTTTATCGGAAATGTTGCCATTTCACCCCTAGGATAATATTCCTGATGCAAATATTCAAAAGATTCAACCGTACATTGATAATGAAGACTTCACTCCTACAGCGATTGCAAAAGTGAGTGTTGAGACGAATTGAGACATTGATTCGTAGCTTTCTGGTGCTTTGTCTCAGGTCCGAATTTTGTCCTTAGTATATGCATTTACATACATTTGTTTTATTACATAGGTTTCTAAAGCTTGTACTTCAATCTGTCTGTGGGTGCGAGCCATGCATAAGTACCATTTTGTTGCAAAATCCGTGGCACCGAAAAGGGTGAGGTTAATTGTCTGTGCTACATTGTCTTTAACTTCTTCTGTTCTAGGTTTTTGATCTTTTCAAGGGAATGGATCCACGATAATTTTATGTGGGATTGGGGTAGAAAAAGAGGTGTGCTATATATCGGATTAGATATAAGTGTCTACTTGTTGACGCATCTTTTTTTGTGCATGATTTTGTGATCTTTTTATTACGATTTGGAGATTTTTGCTTGTGTGCTGCAATTAGCACTAAGTTTTTGAGTAATTTTTCAGTATATTTATTTTTGTATGGAAATTAACGCTCGTTATGCCCCCTATTCAAAGGGTGGCATTTATGAGTGTTCAAGCTAGAAAGATGTGCACGCCTCCGAACACCCTTCCCTAAATCCATCAGTGCCATTTCACTATAATCATCGGACTAAGCAGCAGTGTATGTTTTCCTTTATGGCAAGTTTATGCTGGTAGTTCGTGCATTGAGCGTTCGTTGATATTGTTACAGGAAGCTCTGCAAAAGGCCACGGAAGATCTTCAAGAAACTCAACGAATTCTTGGAGAGGCGAAGGAAAGACTGCGTGAGGTTGAAGAAGGTATCGCATCGCTTCAAGCCAAATATGAAGAATGTGTGTCAAAGAAAGAGGAGCTGGAAAATAAAACGGAACTGTGTTCCGCTCGACTGACCAGAGCAGAAAAGGTACAGAATTTGGAAACGATTTATGATAACTGTAATTTTGACCCATCTGGAGAAAACTGTTTTCTTGAAAAAATTATACTGTTCTCTGGACAAAAACGCTTATACCTCACTTATAATTTCAAACTCTGCCGCATAAGAAGTAAGTCCTCGATTAAATGATGTGTTGTAAGATTGAGTTTACAGTAAATCGTGTGAAATCATTGCATGTGAGAGTGTTTTCTTTGATTTCCAGCTCATTGGCGGTTTGGTGGACGAGAAAGGTCGCTGGCAAGAATCTGTTGCGGAATTTGATGGTCAAGTCATTAATGTTGTTGGGGATGTCATCATATCGTCTGGTATTATTGCTTATCTTGGATCATTCACGGTAAATGACAATTGTTTAAGAAATCAAAGATATTTAGTGGGCTTACAAATTTTACATGTTTTACTTCGTGTACACTAAGGGTGAATATCGTACCGCTATGGTTAGCGAGTGGGTCGATCAGCTGACACAGCTTGGAATCCCTCGTTCTGAAACGTGCTCTCTTGTATCAACACTTGGTGATGCTGTGAAAATCAGAAACTGGCAAATTGCAGGCCTACCCAGAGATACTCTGAGCGTCGAGAATGGCGTGATTGTGCAAAATTCTCGGAGATGGCCGCTATTCATCGACCCGCAGGCTCAAGCTAACAAGTGGATTCGAAATATGGTAGGTTTTTATTCGTATAAACCATTAGCGCAAATATGGAGGAAAAATTTTCTGTGACCCAGAAATTTATTTCCACAAAGTTTGAATTGTTTGTATTGCTTAAGCATGTCTTTGAATTATGTCTCGGACAAATCGCGGAGTTTTTCCACGCGATATGAACTATTACCAAGTTAAGCAGAAGTATATTTAAGAAAAAAGAAATGTACTATTGTTAATGATAAGAATCTTAGTTTTAATCTTAGAAGCAATATTTCATTTCAGTGATTGTTCAGTTCAAATCTTATATTTTTCCTTTTTGGTGGGTTTTTTTAACATTTAAAAAGGTAGCGTTATTATTAGCGTTAGCTTATTTTAACAATGTAAATTTTTTTACAAAAATTCTCTTCTCCTGAGATTTTCACCATACACACTTTACTGTTTCTCGTTAACCATTTGACTATTATATCATTTGCAATTTTAAGGAGAAAGAAAGCGGAGTGGATGTTGTCAAGCTCACAGACAAAGATTTTTTACGAAGTCTTGAAAATGCCGTGAGATTTGGCAAACCTTGTTTACTGGAGAACGTCGGAGAAGAACTTGATCCAGCTTTGGAACCGATTTTGTTGAAACAGGTTGGCTCATTTTATCAAGATCTATCATTCAATGGTATAGTGTATCATTCAATGTTATAGTGTATCCTTCAATGGTATAGTGTATCATTCAATGGTATAGTGTATCATTCAATGGTATAGTGTATCATTCAATGGTATAGTGTGTCATTCAATGGTATAGCGCATCATTCAATGGTATAGTGTGTCATTCAATGGTATAGTGTAGCATTCAATGGTATAGTGTATCATCCAATGTTATAGTGTATCATTCAATGGTATAGTGTCATCCAATGGTTCAGTGTACCATCCGATGGTATAGTGTATCATTCAGTGGTATAGTGTATCATTCAGTGGTATAGTGTATCATTCAATTTTATAGTGTATCATTTAATGTTATAGTGTATCATTCAATGGTATAGTGTATCATCCAATGTTATAGTGTATCATTCAATGTTATAGTGTATCATCCAATGTTATAGTGTATCATTCAATGGTATAGTGTATCATTCAATGTTATAGTGTATCATTCAATGTTATAGTGTATCATTCAATGGTATAGTGTATCATTCAATGTTATAGTGTATCATTCAATAGTATAGTGTATCATTCAATGTTATAGTGTATCATTCAATAGTATAGTGTATCATTCAATGTTATAGTGTATCATTCAATGGTATAGTGTATCATCCAATGTTATAGTGTATCATTCAATGGTATAGTGTATCATCCAATGGTATAGAGTATCATTCAATGGTATAGTGTATCATTCAATGTTATAGTGTATCATTCAATGGTATAGTGTATCATTCAATGTTATAGTGTATCCTTCAATGGTATAGTGTATCATTCAATGGTATAGTGTATCATTCAATGTTATAGTGTATCATTCAATGGTATAGTGTATCATTCAATGTTATAGTGTATCATTCAATGTTATAGTGTATCATTCAATGTTATAGTGTATCCTTCAATGGTATAGTGTATCATTCAATGGTATAGTGTATCATTCAATGGTATAGTGTGTCATTCAATGTTATAGTGTATCATTCAATGGTATAGTGTATCATTCAATAGTATAGTGTATCATTCAATGTTATAGTGTATCATTCAATGGTATAGTGTATCATCAATGTTATAGTGTATCATTCAATGGTATAGTGTATCATCCAATGTTATAGTGTATCATTCAATGGTATAGTGTATCATTCAATGTTATAGTGTATCATTCAATGTTATAGTGTATCATTCAATGGTATAGTGTATCATTCAATGGTATAGTGTATCATTCAATGTTATAGTGTATCATTCAATGGTATAGTGTATCATTCAATGTTATAGTGTATCATTCATTGGTATAGTGTATCATTCAATGGTATAGAGTATCATTCAATGGTATAGTGTATCATTCAATGTTATAGTGTATCATTCAATGGTACAGTGTATCATTCAATGTTATAGTGTATCCTTCAATGGTATAGTGTATCATTCAATGGTATAGTGTATCATTCAATGTTATAGTGTATCATTCAATGGTATAGTGTATCATTCAATGTTATAGTGTATCATTCAATGTTATAGTGTATCATTCAATGTTATAGTGTATCCTTCAATGGTATAGTGTATCATTCAATGGTATAGTGTATCATTCAATGGTATAGTGTATCATTCAATGGTATAGTGTGTCATTCAATGTTATAGTGTATCATTCAATGGTATAGTGTGTCATTCAATGGTATAGTGTATCATTCAATGGTATAGTGTATCATTCAATGTTATAGTCTATCATTCAATGTTATAGTGTATCCTTTAATGGTATAGTGTATCATTCAATGGTATAGTGTATCATTCAATGGTATAGTGTATCATTCAATGGTATAGTGTATCATTCAATGGTATAGTGTATCATTCAATGGTATAGTGTATCATTCAATGGTATAGTGTATCATTCAATGTTATAGTGTATCATTCAATGGTATAGTGTATCCAATGGTATAGTGTATCATTCACTGTTATAGTGTGTCATTCAATGGTATAGTGTATCATTCAATGGTATAGTGTATCATTCAATGGTATAGTGTATTATTCAATGGTAAACAGGGACAAAAATTGAGATAAACACCACACAAAAAGAAAGTACCCCTCCCTATTGATAAATAGATAAGTGCTATATTAATTAATACCAACCAGTCTCTAAAAGCCCAAATGCGATTACCCTCTTTCGATAGAGTAATCTAGACATTCTTTAGACTGCTTTGCACGATGACGGTTACTAACCAATATATAATGTTGCTGCATTGTTAGTGAAACTGACGATCCTGCTTTTTAATGCCAATTTTAATATCAAGAGACGATACTTTCTTTTCTAAAGCACGAGTGATCCCATTCTTCACGTTGTAGTTATCAAATTACTTTAAGTCTAAGTAGTGCTGTGTTTAATTACATATTTCTTCATTTAGATACAATAAAAATAACATCGGGGGAAATTTTCTTTTTGAGTTTTTTTTTAGTACAACTGCATTCTTTAGCGGCAGTTTGTTTTTCAAGCAATATGTACAAACGTTTTATGGCTAACGATCAAGTTTTTTGACGCTTAGATCATATATGTAACCAACCGATAGACTTGGGCTATTGTAGAAGAAGTATTTTGCCTAGCATCAAATCTGATCTGGATAACAGAATCGAATTTTCAATTTAGACATTCAAGCAGTCGGGAAGTACCGTGATCAAACTGGGCGATGCAATCATCCCGTATCATGATGACTTCAAGTTTTACATCACAACTAAACTTCCCAATCCGCATTACACCCCCGAGGTCTCTACGAAGGTCACAATTGTTAATTTTACTCTAGCACCAAGGTATTGTATGAAATTTTTAGCAGTTCCTGAACAATTTAGACCTTTTACCACTTCATGCAAACGACTGTTTTCCACGTCACACATGGTTTGCTGGTCCCTTACACAAGAAGCGACCAGTTAATTCAATTTCAAATAGATTTGGTTTGCTTTTGTAAATAATGGCATGACTCTAAAACTACTAAATCTAATGACTACCTCCTGTAACATATGACTTACAAAGCCCTTGGCGAAATATTTTGGGAAAACAAGATTTATTCTTCGAACGTGATTTGCATTATTTCATTCGGCAGGAAGGATATTTCCCAAAAGCTCGTCAACATTGCTTTTTTTTATCGTTTGTTTGATGAAGACATTTGCACACGCAAAAACAAAACATATAATTGTAGTTTTAGAACAACGAAGATATACTTGTTAAAAAAGGATCAGCAAAGTTTGACTGGATCGTCATTTTAGTTCATGACGACTTTATTTCGCGCACATAGATGTTTTGAATATAGCGAACCAAACTTTTTAACGTCTTTAATAAACTATTCATGAAAAGTATCTTCAACGAAGCCATTGTCTCTGTGCTCTCCATTTCTTTTCTCTACCCTAGATCTGTAGTTGGTAAGGTATGACGTTCTGAAATTTTAGTGCTATTCAGCATGAATTGCAGCGGTATGACCGTCTTAGCAATTCGGGGAAGTTAGAGTCCCACGTGAGTCCCACGCTATGTTCTTGCCACGTGCATTTAAAGTATACCATTCATTTCCTTGAGTTGGATGAGATTGATACTAATTTTAGCGTGTGCATTTTTTGCTTTTACCAACTAAGCCGTAGTATGATCACCCCGCGAACTAAATGTTTGTAGTATGTAGTTAAACACGTTGCTATAAGTGTTATTTCCTTACGTTTAAGTGGTCTCGAAGACCAGCTACTGGCAATCGCTGTTGCCGAGGAACGACCTGATCTCGAAGAAGCAAAGAACCAGTTGATCGTTAGCAACGCCAAAATGAAACAAGAACTTGAAGAGATCGAGAACAAAATACTTCATAAACTATCCGCATCTGAAGGAAGCCCTGTTGACGACGTGGACTTAATTCAAACTCTCGAAGCATCGAAAGTGAAAGCTGCTGAAATTAAGGTAAAGAAAGACACGAAAGTGCCTCTTCCAGCAAAAAAATTATTGGTGATATTAATTTTAGGTGTAATTTCTAGCGTATCAGTAAAAAAGGTTTATAGTTTGGTGAAAGAATCGTTCCATTTTTATGCCGGTTTATAGTTGGCAGAAATGCCCTTCATTAATGGATCTAGTCCGTCCACAGAAAAGTCTTAAACGACCTATTTTTATGACGTCATGCATTTTGTTTTGCTAAAAATTGGGGGTAAAATGTTTCTTAAAGGAGTGAACAATTTATTTAGGGGTGTAAAATCTAATGTTTGGTTGGTGGCATCCCCCTGCACCCCAAGTAAATCTGACCATTAATTGTGATCATGATCACTCCTATGGTTTTAATTACACCACGCCGATAATTTTTGTGCTGGCAGAGACACTTTAAATCTGCTCAATGTAAATTATAGCTATTTGTTCAAATGCTAATGGAATTTTATTTGAACGAATTTTATTTTTGGTAACGTACGGCACGTTCAAAAAACTCGAGCTCATAAACCCAAGCCTGCATATTTCAAAAGATGCCAATGACTCATGTTTTCAATTTTATAGGCTAAAGTAGTTATTGCTGAGCAGACGGAAAAAGACATCGATGAAACCCGCAGTCTTTACATTCCGGTGGCAGTGCGAACGCGAATATTGTTTTTCTGCACGTATGATCTGGTAAGACGTCATTATTTTTATCCATAAGTGTCCTTGCTCCCTCCCGTACGACGAGAAACACTCTTATATGAGTCAATTACATTATTTTTGTTGGAATAGGAAATTAACTGGAATTCATCTCTCTATATCTTATATAATCTTCTTTTTGTAATTTGCTCAATATTAATGTTAGCTTTGCTACGCGGAGTATGTGGTTTGTATGTTATGTCACGGCCGCCATGTTGGTTGAATTTTACAAAAGATTTTTCTTGTTTACAATGCAAATTTTAACCAACATGGCGAATATCTCTTTGTCCTTTCTCCTTTGACTTCTTGGGGGTTGCAATCCACCAGTTCTGTCTTAAAGTTGCATAAGGCTGCTTTTGTTCGTTCTTTAAACGATTTATTCATCGATAAATAGGGGTGATCATATTCATATATTCATGGTATAATCTGTTGAGAACAATGAGCTTCAAAGGAGCTTAACGCTGCATCTTCATGCATTTATGAATATGAGTCCATCCTAATTATCGATCTTCCTACGCCCATGGATTTATTGAATTTAAACAACTCATGCTGTGTTGTTTAAATTCATTGAACATTTTGTATAGGTATTCACTTATCAGGATTTATTTTTTCAAGAAGCTACACAAAATACAATCTGATATAAGTCGTCATATCTTAAATCTTTTCAGGCCAAAATTGATCCCATGTACCAATATTCTTTGGAATGGTTTATCACAATTTTCTTGAACAGCATTGCAAACGCGGAACAAGCAGGTAAGCGAGTTACACTTTATGTTTTTGCTTCATTCAACGCGTTTCTCAAAGTCGCGTATGTTTAAAACAGTAAAGAAATTGCCTGATCTCTCTTAAAATGAACTCAGAATTTTCCTACGTTGCTTGATCTGGGCCTGTTTCAATCTTGTTTACGTAAATACTGAAAAATCGGACACAGCCGTATTGTATTGACATACGTTGCAATTTTCTTTACTTTATTGTAATAATTAAATTTTAGTGTGGTTGTCGAGTATGATTTTGAAAAGAAATGATCTTATTCAATTTGATTTTAACCGCATTGTAACATATTGTTTACCATTTTCTTTCGTATGAAAATCATCAGATCCATCATCATGTCCAGAAAACAATTTCATACGATTGAAAAATCAAAATATTTCTCAACCATTGCTCAAGTAAACACTTTCTTTTTATTTTTATGTCAATTCGTTTTCATTTTCTCAACAGATAACATCACTCAACGTATCGAGAACGTGAACGAATATTTCACGTTCAGTTTATACAGCAACGTTTGCCGTAGTTTGTTCGAAAAAGATAAGCTTCTCTTTTCCTTTCTGGTGTGTGTAAGAATACTGCAAAATGACAATAAAATTGATGGTGTAAGTACAGAAAAAAAAATCCGAGCTACTTGTTTCACGAACACGTCATTTAATCATATTGGAAATTGTACGAAAAATTCCCTTTATTCTCTCGAATTTAGGATGAATGGCGGTATCTCCTTGCGGGCGGAACTCTGGTTCCGGAGCAAGTACCCAACCCGGCAAAAGACTGGATCTCGGAAAGAGCCTGGAACGAGATTCTTACTTTACCGGCGCTTCCGAAATTTGCCAAATTCGCAGAAGATTTTTGTCAGCACTTGGAAGGTTACAAAAGAATTTTCGACAGTACAGAGCCGCACAGGTTAGGTCAAAAACAGCCAAAATGAGTAAAGTTTATCATTTGAAAGTATTAAGAAGTGATTTAAAACAGACGAATTTAAGGAATGAGTGTCACGGTAATGCTTTGCGCGCTTTGCGGGGCACCCTAAAATGGCGCCACATTAGTTTGGTTTATAGTAGTTTTCACTACAGCTTGTTCTTCATGATCAGGTTGTTGAACTGGTGATCTGTAATAGTTTAAATCGTCTTCATCTTTCTAACGCAACACCGTCAAGTATGGATCTTATTTAAATTCGACATTTTTGTGCAATGTTGTAGTTAATTAATTATGCAACACTGTGTTCCATAATTATAGCAGAATTTCATTAACAGATGTAAACACAAGCGCGCAAATCATTATCGTGACACTCATTCTTTAAAATGTTTGTATTGCTAAGATTATGAAATTTTATTAGAGAACCTTTGCCCGGCACTTGGGACAATGATTTGGATCATTTCCAGAAGATACTCGTACTTCGTTGTTTACGAGCAGATAAAGTCACCAATGCCATGCAGGTAAGAAACGAATACGACACATTTACGTTCAAAAACTTTATGGTAAAGTTATTTGTACACAACACGGTAGATAATCAACAAAGAGCAATTTTATTTTGCTCAAAGTTAAACCTCGCGTGCCTTATCTTATCTGCATGCCTTTTGCTGATCAACCGATAGCAATACTCTGGTCACACATTATCTAATCTATTGTTCTTACGATTAAATGAGCTTTGTGCCTCGCCGCAATCTGTGTCCTAAAAATATGTACAGAAAGGTAAATAATGGAAGACCTGATCGCAGAAGGAAAGCCAGCCCTCAAGTTTTATTCCTGCTTTGTAAATTTCTGATCAAATTTTTTTTATTAATTTCTTTACAAATCTATTGTTTTCACTGTGAGAGCAAACACAAAAAGATTTACGGAGTAGGACGTAAATATTCGGGCTGATATCGCAACTCCCTCATACATCGCTTATCGTATATTCTCATCCATAGGATTTTGTCGCTGAAAAACTTGGTCAAAAATTCATTGAGCCGCAGGTATGCGCTTTCCCTTGTAATGTTTTTAATTGAGTTACGGAAAATGACCCATTCATTGCTGTTTCTGAGTGCTTAATGAGAAGTTCATGCGCATATGGTAGAATATTTTTATTACTCATTCAGACTGCAGATCTGTCATCAGTCTTCAAAGACTCGTCTACAATCTGCCCACTCATCTTCGTCCTATCGACTGGAACAGATCCGGCTGCTGATCTTTATAAGTTCGCGGAAGAGATGCGTTTCTCGAAAAAACTAAACGCGATCTCTCTCGGTCAAGGTCAGGGGCCTAGGGCCGAGGCCATGATGAGATCCGCGATGGAGAGGGGTAAATGGGTATTTTTTCAAAACTGTCATCTCTCGCCTAGTTGGATGCCCGCCTTGGAACGACTCATTGAAAATATTGATGTTGATAAGGTATGAAATGTACTTTTAAGAATTCCTCTCTTATGTTTGAGTTATATCGTATATGAGATGTTTTAAACTCGTTTGTTTCGATTTCATCATCATTTCGAACTTTTTTTATTTTTCTTGAACGATATATTTCACTGTATTTACCTGTCTTATGTAACCAATGTGAGAGGATAAGGTCTTATTAGTTATTAGGTCGTAAAATTATACGAAGAAAACGAACACGACTTTTGAACTTTTAAAAAGATTAATTTCTTATATTTGTTGCACAAGAATTGTACACCCTGCAGTTTATGCTACTTAAAGTAAATTAGACTGAAATAATCATATTCGTTACATTTTTTATCCGTCATCCTTGTATGTGCGGCATTGTCACAAAATTTACTCCAAATAAAACACACGTCTAACATAATGAAAGACTTAACTACGAGCCTTCTTTAACACATGAAGACAAGTCTAACGCAAAAAAATTGTTGCTTACCTGACTTTGCAGGTCAATGATACAATATTTTTTTGAATTAAAATTTTTGAACGTTTAATATCAATACGTTGCAAAATATATATTTACTAAGTTGACGTTTACCTACAACTGCTGTTTTTTTTCACCCTGCAAAGAAAAATGCTTGAGATATAGATTCACAAAAAAGCTTCAACTTCATGTCACGTGTTCTTTTGTTTTGTTTCTATTATTTTGGCTTTAGGTGCATCGCGATTTTAGATTATGGCTGACCAGCATGCCCAGTCCTAAATTTCCAGTATCCATCTTGCAAAATGGTTCAAAAATGACCGTGGAACCTCCCAGAGGAATAAAGGCAAACCTCATGAGATCATATGCGGGATTTAGTGACGAGTTCTTCGCCGCTTGTAAACGGGTAAGACTTCTCACAAATTTCATATGCTCTTCTTTTGATTTCGAATTCAAATCTTACTTTTTCCTACTGCGATTTTCTTTGCTAAAATGGGAATCACAAGGCGTAAAAATTTTTGAAGTAATATTTTTGAAAATAGTGCGTGGCGTCAAAAATATCAATTGAATGAAGTAAGCGACGTTTTGTCTTGACTCAAGACATCTTCAGAGTCATTAGCCACAGATATTGTGTGTTTTCAACTGGTGTATATTAAATCAAAGGACTCGTGGCTTTTTTAGGAACGATCCGTTGTGTTCTAATCTTTTTATTAAGACACGACATTAAAGTCAAGATTTAGGCATTTTACAAAGTTTGTAAGTATTCATTCGGAGTTGCCTATTTTCATGCTCTTTCAAACAACTGTGACCATTTGAAAACACCGTAGCATGTGCACTTGAAAACACGGAACGATGGTATTTTCAAACGCTTTATCTAGACTGAAGATTTCAAGTATTTGCTCTTCTCACTATGCTTGTTTCATGGTGTAACTCTCGAGCGTCGGAAGTTTGGACCACTTGGATTTAATATTCCATATGAATTCACCACTGGAGATCTGAGGATTTGTATAAGTCAACTGAGTATGTTCTTGGATGAGTATGAAGGAGTACCTTATAAGGTAGGGTACACAGGAGGTGACAAATGTACCAAAGAGAAAATTACTCTGTCGCGGTCATTGTTAATAGCCCGTAACTCAAATCTGTGGTCTTTTACTTATTTAAGGGAGCTTGATAATTTTTTTTTATTGCTGATTGTGATCTCATAAGTCAAAAATTTTGGGTGTCATTGACGAAAATCTAAGCTTTGAAGCTGAAATCATCGAAAGTGCTCAAGTGAATCTATATCAGATAAACCAATATCTGCTGATATAATATATGTAGGCAACACAATTCTTGACCAGAATTTGGTTTCTAGAACAGTCTTACAATTCACTACAGTAAGGCTTTTCACTTAATATGTATTGATGGTTTGGGAGTACTATAACGAGGAAACCAAAAAAATTTTAGTATTGAGTTTTTACTATTTTACGAATATAACAAAAATTTTTATTGGGAAGGAGCGGCACATTTTTAAACTCCATTTTTGGTGAGTGAAGATTTTATTGTAGAATTTGCTCATTGAATTTTTATGGTTCGATTTTGGGATGCTCTTTTTTGTAAGAACTCAATGTTTAGACGCTGATGCGGAAGTGGCTTGCTTTTATCATAGATACTGATCACTTGCTAAAAATGTGTGACTAATTAACTAGTGACCTAGAACCCAATGTACTAAATACCTGGAATTTTATAGTTACAAGTGAGACCAGCCGACATCTTGAAAGGTTGCAAAACTGACGATAGCTATATATGACTCAAATCTGCTTTTTCTGCGTCGATATGCAGTTACAGAATTGATATTCTGGGCTCAGTTTTTAAAATGTTTTATAGGATTGGTTTATTTATACTTTATTTTTGGCGCTCTTGTCTCACCCTGACGTATAATTAGACAACTAGGGAAATGGGTTCTAAATCATTGTAATACACATTTTGTTCACAAAGTATATTTCCCTTGTCTCGTACAGTGTTTCGCCACTTCTTCAACTCTTTCCGCCCTGTTTAATGCTTTCCCCCCAATGCTTGTGCGCAGTAAATCCTTCAGATTGACGTAAAATTTTCCATATTTTAAGGTATTGAAATACACCGCGGGTCAAATCAATTACGGTGGCCGTGTCACAGATGACTGGGACCGTCGATGTATAATGACAATTTTGGCCGATTATTATCGTCCGGAAGTTCTTGAATCTGGTCACAAGTTCTCTTTAGCTGGCGTCTACAGCCAATTAAAAGGAGAAACGCCGCACGAGGCAAGTAATAAATTATACTTGCTAATCCAAGTTTCAAGCTATAATTTTGAAGCGTTTTTTCTTTAGGTTTTGATGTATACATATACTCAGTTTCTGTTGAATGGCATCCTTTTTTTGAGATGTTTTGCATTCGTATTTTATTCGTGAATCCCCGTGAAAAACTCTTCTTATTTTGTTTGGTGGAGGGCAGAGTAGGGTAAAAATGGGTATAAAGTAAAAGGTGTAGTCACTGAGATTAGCATAATTTCAAAGATGGCGGCCAAGAAATTTACGGAAATAGATTTTAATAAAATACATAACAACGGTAACGACAAATAACGTAAGCATTTTCATTCAACGTTTCGACTTTATTTAGTCATCATTAGGAATGATTATATTACATGTGTATGCTGTATATATAGACTCTATGTAATTTGATATAGTTAGCAAAAGACAGGTTGTTCTCTCGATGTTTCATTGAGTTCCGGTTTTCCTACAGATGGGGAGTTCTTTGAATAGAAAGTTTTACCAATGCTTGGCTCTAACACTTCAGTCTTTCTTGATTTGTCTTACATCAATTATGGAGAAAGTTGTTCGCCATACAAAATTATTCCACCACATTATCATTTGGCCAATCACACTTCACAACGCAAACCATAGTTTTCTCTTTTTTCCTCTAGGGTTATCTGCATTACATTCGTGGCCTACCCATCAATGACACACCGGAAATCTTCAGTCTTCACGACAACGCAAACATTACCTTTGCCCAGAACGAGACGTTTGATCTGCTTCATGGAATACTGAAAATGCAACCAAAAACAACTGCGGGCGCAGGAAAGTCACGTGAAGAGGTTTGTGCCTGGGAATGACATATAATTAGTATAGGGAATAGTATAGTTTTTCATGTGAAACAGCATGAACAAAGTTTTGCAACGTTTTATAATTTTTCATTTTTTAAATTGGTGTTTTTAAGTTAAAGTTTTTAAAACTTTGTAATTTTTTAAATTAGGGTTTTAAACTAGAGTTTTTAAAATTTTTCAAACTGTAAGACGGTCTTTGGAACAAATATTTGTATTTTCAAACGAATTTCGTTAGAATAGATCGACAACACTCGTGAAAAGACCATAAATTTTTTCATTTTTCTTAGATTGTCGAAGATATTGGTCGTAGTATACTGGAAAAGATTCCAGAACCCATTCCCATCTTACAAGTAATGAATAAATACCCTGTAAAATACGAAGAATCGATGAACACAGTACTGACACAAGAGGTTATACGTTACAACAAGTTGCTCACTGCCATACGTGGCTCTCTCAACGAGATGCTCAAGGCTCTTAAAGGTTTAGTCGTCATGTCACAGGCACTTGAGACAATGGTCGACAGTCTCTTTAAGAATGCTGTTCCCGAATTGTGGGCAAGTAAGGTAGGTGTTTAAGTGATGAGACAAGGTCCTCTTCATACAGGTCAAAAGTTCGCTATATCAATTAAGAAATAAAAGATGTTTACTGTGTTTCACCTTTGAGAGAACTCGAGAACAGATCAGTGCAAGCCTGAGACCGAAACTCGAGGGTTGCACTTTCTCGAGAGCAAATTCTCTATGAGTGATTGATTGTTTTGATTGATTTGACTGGTTGATCTCAGATCGGTTTTGCATCAGGGATGTATTGCTATCGCTAATTGGGGGCTTTTACTCATATATGCATGTTATAAATCCGTAGTTAACAATACATTTCAAAAGATATTAATTCAGCATATCATGCATATATGAATAAGAGCTCCCCCTAATTAGTGATAGCAATAAATCCCTGTTTTGCACTGGCTAATGCAAACACGACTTTTGACCAATCACTGCACGCGTTTTATTGTTGTTATTTTATAACACGAAATATTGCTTAGCAGAAGTAAAGAACCGATGTTATTCATCATACTATAGAGTAATTTTGAGAGAAAATTGACATACACAATATGAACACAATTTTTGAAAAGGCAGGAGGTAGAATGCCTGTCTCAAGTGAACTTGGTTGAAAAATCAAGGCGACCAAATATGTTCATGCTTCTGACTCGTCTAGAAAAGAGGAGGTGTGTCGTTTTTACGCACTTTCTGACGATCGAATAAATGCGTCACATAGAATATATTTATTTCATGTACATATAGTGGACATATTTAGATGTTACCAATAAATCAACCCCTCTGCGCAAAAATCCATCAGAAATTGTTTTAATTACGTTTGGATAGAGAAGAATTTGCGATAATTCAATCCTGTTTTTGTAGGTTTTCGTGGAATTTAAGTATTATTTATGACACTATCTGCGAGTGCTTTATATAACTTAACAAACGTCTCAACCAGGTCTTCCGCATTGATATTGAAATTTGAAGATACTTGAAAAGAAACTGATTGAGTTTTTTTACATATTTTATACGTGAATTAAGACATGAGAAACGTCAAATAAATTACAATAACGAATATTTCGTTTCATTCTGATATTATTTTCTGTTTGCATAACCAACCATTTTGATATATCGTTTACATTCAGGCGTACCCTTCCTTAAAGCCTCTTTCATCGTGGGTGACTGACCTCATTGCAAGAGTGACCTTTATTCAAAAGTGGATTGAAGATGGTATACCTTCGGTAAGTTGAGCACAGTGAAGGAAATTTCTTCACGCATGTGATAAGATACCTGTTGGTGAAATATATAATAATCGTGTATCGGGAATCTCGTGCAAATTTTTGCTGAGCAGCTTGAGTTAGAAAAAGAACAGGTATCTCCATAGATTGCGTAATCTATTGCAACACTACCCTATGATGTTGTAATGTGTAATATATAGCAACACTAAACACGGTGCAATGTGTACAAGTTTTCTGATTGGATATAATTAGTTGGCAAATTTTGTGATCAAGAACTATCTCCATTTTGTGTGTTGTTCTTAGCCATAGGTTAGATAAGCTTGAAGACTATAGAGAGGAATCTCACGGCATTTGCATCGCTGGGAAGGAAATTGGGGCGTTTCTCCTCCTCTCCACCTCCCCTCCTATTTTTCCTAAAGACCAATTTTGAGATTTTTCAAAGTGTGATGAGAAATTGAGATGAGTTGTACAAATGAATATAACAAACAACTGTAAAGTGAATGTAATATACGACTACCTTTAAGCGTGGGTATCCCATAAACGTCTTGAAATTTAACTTCATATCAGCATAGAAAGAGACATTGTAGACAAAATTGAGTTGAATACCCCTGTTGACAAGTTTAGATTGCAACAACAGGAAGTTGCTCACGTGAAAACTTCTTGACTTTGACAATAATTGCCAATGCGTGGCTTTCACGTCATCGTAAAGTCTCCCTGAAAGTGTGGGAAATATCGTGTTAGAGATGTTACACGTCTCCAAGACGTCTGGCACCTTTGGCTATAAAAACTTCTCCACTCTGTACAACCTGGCGACCCATTAACTCATAGGCCTGAAGAAAAAACAAATCCACAACATTAAATGCATTATAAATGGTCACAATATTTACAAACATACACGTGCTTTCTCGGTCAAGAGAAATTTATTATAACGTACATTTCTCGACGATTTGACGTTTACAAGTTTTAATCTTTAGACACCTTTATTACAAATGATGATTAATTTTAAAAATTCACAGGTCGCTTGAAAATAGTCTAATACCGTTAAACGTTCAGCTGATTTCTCGATTTTTATTATATTCGCAACTTCAGCACAGCTTGACCATTTTGACCGAAAAACTGCGTTCGAATTATACCAATGCGCATGTGCAGAACAATATCAGCATGATCGCAATCTCAGACCGCGGTAATATCATCCTCATAATATGGCACTCTGGCTAACTGATATTGGAATGTTTTCTTTTCAAGGTGTTCTGGATATCTGGATTTTTCTTCCCTCAAGGTTTTCTCACTGGAACTCTTCAAAACTTTGCAAGATCTTCATCCATATCCATCGACGTTATAACGTTTGATTTTGAGGTGAGTTTTTTCGCGAATCTTTGCTCACATGTTTGACGGTGAAGTTAAATACAATTTTTTGCTGTTATTGAATGAAAAGCCGCTCTATTTGTTCAATAATTAAGTGTGGCCTGTGGGCTCTCTTGTCCGCAAAGTCTTTCGTACTAAAAATGTTCGAATATAGTGAATGCGCTCAACCAAGTCTGCGAGCAGAATTTGTAATCGTTCTTTCAGTCTATGTATGTACATGTGTTCATACTGGAGATTGATCCACTTTTTTTTGCAGGTTTTACCTCGGGCATCTGCGCCCACGTCAAGACCGGTAAATGGTTGCTATGTACGAGGTTTGTTTCTAGAAGGGGCTCAATGGAGTGCAGATAAACACGAGCTGGCTGAATCAAAGCCCAAAGAGCTTTACACTGATATGCCAGTTATTTGGCTAAAACCGACCGCTAACCGTGTAAAACCAGTTACTGGTATATATGAGTGTCCCGTTTATAAGACTCTCACCAGAGCAGGTAAACAGGAAACTTTGTGACAGCACTTTTAGGACATAAGCCTAATTCTTCATAAACATAAAGCTTTATGAGCATAGCACCACTTCGTATTCTTCATACCACTTTATAATTGCTATACCACTTAATAATAATATTACTAATCTAGTTCTTCTTCATAATCGCAACACTTCTTCATAAGTATATAGATTTATGAGCATAATAAACATGAGAAATCATGAGAAATTTCGAAAATTGGAATCCTTTAGGCGGTTGGAAACGGCCATTTTAGTTAATATGGCCTTCTTCACCAATACGGGTTATAAATTTTTTACACAAGCAAAATTTTCAAAGTGCAAAGAAATATTTAGTCATGTTTGTAACTTTTTAAAACACACTCGACGCAACTAAATTGAGGTTGAACATAGTGTGAGGATTGCGATCCTCCACACCCCCACTTCACACAAACACACACACCTGGCTTTCATAAATTTAATAATGAACATGATACCTGTTAATATAAGTAAAGTATCACGAATTTGTCATTGCTTATTTTTTGTTTTCAGGTACACTTTCGACAACAGGCCATTCCACTAATTTCGTTCTGTCTATTGAAGTACCCAGCAGTCAACCTCAACAGCATTGGATTAAACGTGGAGTCGCATTGATGTGTGCCCTCAATTATTAATGCACGCTTTTATTTCGGCACTTAGACGTGAAAGGTGCTGTGTTGTTTTCTGGCCGAACGTTGTCGTCGTTATCTCTTCATTATTATTTTTAATGTGAATAATCAGTTTTTTGTACATTTTTATAGTAAATATTACATCACGAAAATGGTTTCGACACTCATTCAAAATCAAATTTACTCCAGCTATGTAAATATTGAACATTACCGCGAGTCAACCCTTTGAAAATCTGCTGTTTTTACTATCAGTGAATACAAACAATTTGCATAACGGGAGTAAAAATTCGGGCTGACTGCGATATTTTATACAGTAGGGAAGCTAGGCTGTTTTTTACTCCTACAATGCAAATATTTTTGTGCTCAATCACTGGATGGACAAAAAGTTGAACTAAGTATTTGAAGAAATGACTTCTAAATTTGGCTGAAATATTCAGTAGCAGATCCAGCGTTCGTCAAAATGAATTATAGTTGCTCAACTTTAAATTCAAAGTACTTTCCGAAAAACACGATTGGTTTTGAATTTTTAAAGAATATAATTTTTCCAATGGATTTGCCTCTAAGGCACTTAGAAATGTAAATAGATGTTAAAATGTGCTGCAGTTATTTATTTTGACTTACCCTAGATCCGCCACTGGAAAGATATGCATTGTAGGTGCAAAGATCGTGCTGGCTTTGTATATTGTTCTCGTTGTAAAGTCTAGACTGTCTACATGCTTTTTGAGTCAAAATACATTACAGCTGAGGTTATTGAAGTGCAGTTTACCCACAAACGGTTTCACGTTATTAAGATATTTTGACTCGAATTAATTCAATGAACTGTAGGAATATTCGAATATAGTTTACGTAAGTAGTCATCATGAAATTATACACACGTACAATGTCCGCAAGCAGCAAACATATCTGACTTTTAGAAACGAAACTAAAAACGTCACTTTCTGTTCCTTTGAAGATCAAGATCAGCGTCAGTTTCATCACTTCAGAAAAAAGCTTCCAGTGTGTGTTCAGTTTTCTCTTCAGTGCTTCAGTTTTCTCTTAATTTAAAGTACTGCATAAAATTATATACCCCCATAAAGTCGTTGGCTCGTTGTACATTAGAATATTATAACTAGCTGTTCATCAAAGGCGTCGAAGGCTCAAGGCTACGGTAAGTTTTTAATATATCTTGGGTATGACAAATATGGTGGTTTAGTGTAAAACAGTGAGAGTGATGACGGTGAATGATTTAGCGTATGAGGACTACCTAGAGTCCCACTGATTTCCATTCAATGTAAGATTTTACGCCATTGGCCTTTGACGATTTATTTCTCTTATAAAGTACACATTTAAGTGATGAACGTTAATTGGGGGGAGGGTCTTTCCCAATATACCAGTCCTGCACAACTGAATATATGAATAAACATCTCCCCTTCAATTGACGTTAGAGGGACGGTCCTGATTAAAGTGCAACCATAATAATTGTAAACACAATTTACCAAAGACAAGTTAAAAATTTGATTGCGCGACCGGACAGAATGGAAGTCATCTAGTTAATTATGAGTGCGTTCACGGAGAATCCTCCATCCACACTTGTGGTGCGCGGTATTTCCGGGCAACTAACAATGACGCATTTTTATTCGCAGCATCGTTACAAGAGTAATTATTCGCACTATGAAGATATAATCATATAATTGATATAGACATATGATTTTGAAGTCTTTAATAAGCATCTAGGAACGTGAAAAGTAATTTGCAAATTTGGGGGTCATGCATTAGTTATTCAAAATGGAGTCAGGTTGGAAAGAAATATTAGCAACGTCTTGACAAAGCTTTCTTGTTTTCATTATGACTTACCATTTTTGTCTCATGATTATTGAATGCGTGGTGACTGATAAAGATAACAATGTCTGATAAGTCGGGAATAATGTATTCTGTGGTTGAAAATTGCAGCTGGTCCTGATTTGAACTTTGCTTAAAGTAAATACTTGCCGATTTGCTCTTTACATGGCAGAGAGAAAAGAACAAGTTCACGACCTCCAAAATGCCTGGAATTGTTGTGTTCAATCGTCGATGGGTCGTGGGAAGCGATGACTTCGTAATACCATTTGGTATCGCGTTTGTGTTACGATTGACATGGTATGTTTAAATCATTTTAACGGTGCATCAATTACTCCTGGAGAGAGTTTATTTATTTCTTCTAAAAAGTTTAGTTTTTTTTCACTATCTAGGTGTTCTCTTTAGTGATAATCTTCGTTCCAAGTATTTTATTTAACTTTATTATTTGCACTTTGAACTCGGGTCTCGGGCAGACAGGACAGAAGGCTCGAAACGTAAAAGCTATCTTTGAATAATTTTAACGGTTGTAAAAAGATGAGGTCGACTTTGATATACGAATGAATTATCGACCACAGTGTTCAAGATTTTGATGAGACGAGACATGTTTCACATAAATACTGTTCAAGTAAATTTGAAGTTTATGCATCTATTTTAAATCAAACTGCAGACTTGTTTTCACAGTAGAATTTTCCATAACTTCTCGTGCGCATTTAATTAAATTGTAACAAATACAATGCTTTCACCAGGATTGCTAATTACTGAATACTGATTGAGACAAGTCTTAGCAACTTCATTGATTCAATATTGCAAAATAACATTTAGCTCATCATCATTTTCTTTCTACATTAGCTTCAGAATAGTTTTCTTAATATATCTGGTAAGCACTTAAGAAAAAATGCACAATTTCATCAAAGTACAAAGAGTTTAATTCAAAACAGGTATTTACACTCCTAAGAGGGAACCAGATTTTTTGTCATGGACATTCATAAACAAATTTTATGTTTCAATATCGTACCTGCCTCATATTGTGAAACAATTCGGTTTGGAAATAATGAATTATGAAACCATACAAGACATGTTATTTTTAATGCTTAGTAAATATTTTTTAGTTTAGAAGTGGTTAAACCAATGTTTCTTCTATGCAAAGGAGGTTAGCAAATATTTTATTCATGCAGACGAGGTTAGCAAATATTTATTCTAATGACGAAGAGGATGAAATATTTTTTCTTAGTAAAGGGATTCCTGATTAGCTAATATTTTATTGATGTAACAGAGATACCAAGTATTTCATCTCAGACGAGATTTCCTGGCCAACAAGCTAAGGATTGAGACTAACATTACATGACTAAAGCTTTAGATAGTGCAACCTCTGGCAAAAGTTTTGGTGCTTTTTGCCATATTCTCTTACAACTGCTCAAATCTTTGCCATTATTACAGTATCACCTAGAATTGTGAGACTTGCCAAATTTCATAATAGCTACATCTCCCCCTCCCCCCCTCCTGCCTCATAAGTCTGGCTCTAGCGATAGCAAATTTTTTTTCAAGACAGAAAAGTTAAGCAAATATTTTTTTGACAAGTAGAATACAATGTCAAGTGGCTGAAAGTGAAACACCAAGTTATATTTTTCATCACTAAAGCATGGAAAGAACAATTTATTCAGCTAAATTTGACTTTCTCATGAAAGTAGACAGATATACATATTTGATGTATAGTATGATAGATTAATAAAAATCATCATAGCAGCTCAAATTTTACCCAGCCAGTTTTAGTTGTAATATGTAAAAGGTATTTCATAAGTCTCAAATATAACAGTAAGATAATGTATTTTGACTTCAGGCAAGTTGATAAATTGTGGCTTGCCACAAATTATTTTTTTCATATTATCAATTTTCCACAGCGTCTATCCTAAATAAAATCCGAGCTGTTTGCGGACTACCTAAACTTAAATTTTGTGGCATCCTCTTGACTTGAATAGAAGACATTAGCGAAGTAATTCAGTTTTTTTCTCCAACAATCTAAATATTTTCGTATTCATTCTCTGAAAAACAACGAATGGAATCAATTTGCTGAAGAAATGCAAAATTATTTTAGTGAAAATTTAGCATCGTTGGAGTATAAGTTCGAGCCTCCACCGCAGCGAATACTGTGTCGAATTATCTCAAGAAAATTTAATTCGAATAGGCTCTATACGAAGGATACAAGTAGCCGCTTCAAATTTCTTGCTGATAGTCACTATAGAAAACCTACTCAGAGTTAACAAAAATCATAAATGTTTAATAACCAGATAAATTTGTGCATATCGTTGAATAGTTGTTATCTTGGACGATACGTTTTCTGATGTCGGATGTACTTAGTGAATACGTCAGATGTACGTAGTAAATACGTCCGATGTACGTAGTAAATACGTCAGATGTACGTAGTAAATACGTCAGATGTACGTTATATATATTATATTTGCAACAGTCTCAAAAGAGGAGTGAACAATTTTAGTGAACTGCAGTACGTTCAACTCTGTTTACGAGAGGCCTTTTTAAACATTTAAATATTTTAGCCATACTTCAAGCTGTGTCTAATCAAAATGGTTTCTTTTCGCTCTTATTTGGGAATGGCAGCTTGGTTTCTGCGTTAAGTACTTCATAATCGTGATTAATATTTTAAAAACTGCTGTGAGCTCATGATTAACGATTATATGTTCCGTGTAAATTTTCCTCCGAATAATAGTATGCTTGCCTTGGCTTCTTTCGTTTCAGTTAGGATTGTCACTGAAGTAGTTTGAGTCATGTCTGTATAGTTTATTGTGAATTATCAACAGGCTTTTACAAATGATATTATAACAAGAGAGCAATGTCAAGAAGAGTAACAATAGGTGTATTTAAAGTAAATGTCATAAAGTTAAGTCATTTTAAATGAACAACAATTATTTTAAAGTGCCTTCTTATGCCATGCTTATGCCATCTTCACTACAGAGGAATGATATAATGATTCAATTTAAAGGTGTATTTATATTGCATTTGTTGCACAAGATCTGGTGTGTGAATTTTCATGTGTGGGATGTTATTCTCGTTGTATTGGTGGGACAACTCGCCATCTCTCCACACGCATCAACGAACACACAATCTCCGACAAATACTCACACATTTACAAACACCTCCGCCCTTCACCACAAAGGGAATCCAACTACAACCATTCATGTTGTTGCTTCCTAGACACTACTTAAAGAACATCTCTATAATATAAAATTCAAATCTGAACTTCGCAAACGAATTCATCACATTAACACCATACTCAGCTTGTAAATATGTGTAAATTTTCCACCAATCTAATGCCTGTGACATATGTAGTATAAATACACCTGTAAATTGAATCATATCATTCCTCTGTACTAAAGATGGCATGAGCATGCCGAAACATGTTAATTTTAACAAAAATTGCTTTTCATTTGAAATTCTTATTATTTATTGCGATCTACAACAGTCCTTCTGAGGACTCTACTAACCTGGACGAACTTCAACAGTCCTTTTGAGGACAGCTACTAACCTGGACTATCTACAGCAGTCCTTCCGAGGACTCTACTAACCTGGACGATCTTCAACAGTCCTTCTGAGGACTCTACTAACCTGGACGATCTACAACAGTCCTTCTGAGGACTCTACTAACCTGGACCATCTTCAACAGTCTTTCTGAGGACTCTACTAACCTGGACGAACTTCAACAGTCCTTCTGAGGACTCTACTAACCTAGACGATCTACAACAGTCCTTCTGAGGACTCTACTAACCTGGACGATCTACAACAGTCCTTCTGAGGACTCTACTAACCTGGACGAACTTCAACATTCCTTTTGAGGACTCTACTAACCTTGACGATCTACAACAGTCCTTCCGAGGACTCTACTAACCTGGACGATCTACAGCAGTCCTTCTGAGGACTCTACTAACCTGGACGATCATCAACAGTCCTTCTCAGGACTCTACTAACCTGGACGATCTACAACAGTCCTTCTCAGGACTCTACTAACCTGGACGATCTTCAACAGTCCTTCTGAGGACTCTACTAACCTGGACGATCTGCAGCAGTCCTGAGGACTCTACTAATCTGGACGAACTTCAACAGTCCTGAGGACTTTACTAACCTGGACGAACTTCAACAGTCCTTCTGAAGACTCTACTAACCTGGACTATCCACAACAGTCCTTCTGAGGACTCTACTAACCTGGACGAGTATTATAGAGACTACCAGTTCTGGCGCAACCCCGGCGATCTACAACAGTCCTTCTCAGGACTCTACTAACCTGGACGATCTACGACAGTCCTTCTCAGGGCTCTAAAAACCTGGACGATCTACATCTACAAACATGTAACGATACTCCCGGGTTCAAACCATTCACTTTGTAAAGAATAGATACTAATCTATTATCTGTATTTTATGGGTTTCAAGGTTTTGATTGTAATTGATTGTGGTCACAAACCATGTACTATATCTTATATTAAGAAACCGTTCGAAATCAAAAAAGTCTTCCATCGACGATTTAAGTGTCTCTAGGAACGCTCGTAGTTGCGTTGGTGGTACAATCGCATGCAACCCCGCAAGGAAACGCCCGTTTTCATATACTCAAATGCTTGATATTCTCAAAACAACAGATGACCCAAAGTATTTTTTCCCCTATGAATCGTTCGATCCTTTATTTTAGGATGATTTCCCTGGGAATAATGCTCGCTCTCCATCATTCCTTTCAATATGACATAGACTCTCCCAGTGACATTTCTCGCAACGTTTGTCAATCGACGTTCGACTATTTCACTAGTGGCTACATCGTGCTGCTTTTTGCCACAAATCTTTTGGAATTCTTGGTCTCATGGCTCAGTAGCAAAGGTACATTACATGTCGGCAAAATAAATATGAGAACCTGATACCGGACGTTTGAAACAACTGGAATTTTCATCTGAAGCGCGTGGTATTCGGACTAAAGCCAGTGTTTTACTGTGTTGTACTGTATCGCGTCTTTTATTGTGTGAAACTCTTTATATGATTCTTTTTATTATTATGGCAAATAGGTTATGTGAAATTATTTCAAATTCGTCATAAAAGATATTGTGTTGATGTATATAACATCGGTCAAGCGAACCCTTAAATTGCCTATGAAACGAAAATTTTGCTTCTTAAATTATGTTTGCAATGACCAGAACTTTTGAAATGACAGTGTACTTTCTAAAACAGTTCATGCATATCTCTTTACACTCGTGATTTTCACGTTTTTGTTATTTCCAATTTATCCAAGTTGTGACGTCATATTGCATAATGAGTTCCCACAATGTTTCAAATCCTCTTTAGTTTCCTGACAACTACAAAATTCATTATGCAATGTGACATCACAAGTTAGATAAATCAAACAAAGCAAAAACCTCAATATCTCAAGAATTAAAAGTGATGTACATAAACTAGCTTGGGATGTCTCATGTCATTTTGAAATATCTCTTCAATAAAAGTATTACTCGGATAGCAAAATTTTCGTTTCATAGGCACTTTAACATCGGTGCTACAACATTAACTGAGGGGAGAGGGTATATTCAAATATTCAGTAGTGCCCACTGATTTCTTTTGAAAATGAATTAGCTTTATAAAAAAGAATCACTCACATTGGAATATATGAATATACACACCTAAATTTAACGTTTGCAGTAATAAGGCAGTATTTGCACTTTTTGGTTTTTGATGTGGTTCACAGAAACTCGTTCGTTATTAGTTAAATTATGTTTAAGTGGTGTTTTTTATTGATTTATTTGAAGATCTTCTGGAGTTAAGTGGAGAGGGCGAGTGCAAAAATTTTGCCGCCATTTTGAATTTTTGAAATTAGTCCTCGGGCGTTTTTGTGGTGCCCAAATTCGGCTGTTGATACTCTCTACCACCACCACCATTAAAACATGCTTCGTGGTCCCTGTAATGTTATAAAAAACCTGCTGTTATTGTAAAGTGGACCTGTAACTGAGACTGGAAGATCTTCAAATAAAACAAATATGAAAGTCAATGAACTCAGATTTAAACCATTCGAAAAGAAATGTTTTTCCAACATAGGCACCATCATGGACGATGAACCTCGTCAAGCCATACCCGTAGTACTTTATGTAAGATTATGTTTAACTCTTACCGAGTTATTATGGCTGTCGCTTGGCGTGAAATGGATTTTCATCGACGGCGACCATTGTGAGTCCACATCCAGTTGGAAAATTTCAAAAGGAATCGTCATTTTCAATTGGTTGTTTTTGATATTTGTCGCACTACTGGTGTTTTGCAGTTTTGACTCGGCTGGTAGAGACTGGGTCCGAATGGTCGAATACGTAAGGACCGAGCGCTACGATACAATACGAACGCAGATTTCGGATCAATACATGAGGCGATGGAAAGATTATTTTCGATGTTTTTGTGCATGTTCCGGTGTAGGTGATAACGCAAGTGATCATTCAGTGTATACATTTATTGGAATGTAAGCACTTTATACAAATTATGACTTATGGATATTATACATTATAAATATTTGAGGAGAGAATTTCTTTTTTTGCTATTTCACGTGAACCGGTGCTTCCGCTTGACAGGAAGGCCTTCTTTGCATTTTTTGTGTTTTTCTTCATTTGATGGCTTCACAGTATAGGTATTATACAGTATGCTCACTCTCGGCAAAACTTGTCCTCGCGCATGTTAGTTTGCGCATGTTGGCCGCCATGTTGTCAGTAAAGAAAGAGGAGTAAGAATATTAAGAAATGTATTACGGAAACGTAAAGTTTACCAACTAATTGCAGTCAATATTCTTCGATTTTCCCCCATCGATCTGCTTTATCTTTGTACAAGAACTGCTTTGAGAATAATACTGCGCAGTTTCATAGGTGCTTGGAGAAAAATATAGAACTAAGATTAGGACAAAGCAATATATATCCTCAAAGCAGCTATTTTATTCAGCTAAACCCAATCGGTGGACAAAAACGCAAAAATATCTCCATTTAATTGTGAAAATCACATTTCTGTAATAAAAATCTCAGCAATCTCACTCCTCTTTCCTTACTGCCAACATGGCGGCCAACATGCGCGAGGTAACATGCGCGAGGACAAAAAGTTCAAAGGTTCCGACGAGAGAGAGCATGCTGTATGATACCCATACTGTGATGGCTTTTTAAAGGATTTAGCAATTCCGTGAACTATGATTACACGAAATTTATCCTTAATCCAATCTCTAACCAACATTACGGCCATAGTCTAATGCTGTAAGATAAACGTTTGGGGTTTTGAGGTAAATTTCGCTTGTTTGTAGAATACGGAATTATTCCCTAATATTTTCAGCTGAGCAAATTTGTTTCTGCACTATCCCTTCCCCACCCCTTCTACCCTTCCACTTCCAACATTGACGTGTTGTCCATACACTCATCAGGATGTATGTTGGCGAAGGGGACGACAATATTCTTGTCTTATTGTATTTGTATTTAGATATTAAAAAATTTTAGGTTTAAGTTTTAACCCGCTGTTAATTAATTGTTTGCGTCTGAAATTTGTTTTTGATTTGGTGCTAGGCTAGGTTGTTTTTGACCAGTGGCCACGGATTTCTTTCTCACACTGTTAATGCATGTTGAAAACTCGAGTTTTTGCAACTGTTTAAACATATTTCATTGTTACTTTGGTCTACTTCAAACTAATATTATAAGTTAAGATGAGTAAAATATTAAGTAAAATTTAAAGACGATCAATCTATTACCACAGAATAGATATCTAGCAGAAGGCCCACTCGGCTAAGATCGTGGCGTATTTTTTCACTACGCATGCGTGACTTCCCAAAAGATACTTTCGCAATATTAATATGGAATAGAATTGCACGAGAATGCTATTTTACTAATAATTCACATTTAAAGCAAAAGTTTGCCAAAATTTTTATAAAGAGTTATCATCTTGCAAAGAAGATAAGGTTCCAAGCTTTAGTTGTGCAAAACAATATATTTGTAAAAACATCTATATTTTGTATTGCAATCTAGCAGAAGTATCTTGTTGGAAGGCGTGTCTCCTTAGAATTTGCTTCAGAAAAGTAGGGGACACTAACATCAAAGATTCCGACACGAGTGGACCTTCTGTTAAGATATCTATTCTGTGCTATTACATCTTATGGTGTCATACTTATTTCTCTATGCAGGATGTTGTCGGATTTCTTTCGCAATTTGGACGTAGTGCCCAGTGACATTGCTGCAGGTCTTGTTCTACTTCGCCAGATTCAAAAACGAGTGGAAAACAAGAAACTCAGTGAAGCACTCGAAGGCGCCGTACCGATCAAAAGCAAAGTAAGAATAAGTCAAAATGTGTTCCACCTATCACTTTTTAATAGTTTGGTTCTGGTGGGTTTTTTCACTTCAAATTTGGTGAGAATTTTTGAGAATCTGACGCGTGCGTATGATGTTTTCCTTGTCGGATGTTATCCTTTATTTCATACTTTTAGTGCACATACACAGCCCATACGCAGATGTTATTCTTTATGACTTGCCATGAAGAATTTTAAAAGAGAAAGAAAATGTTAAAGGCATGCGTTTGTTTGCGAGTGTAAATGTTGAATTGCGGCAATGGTACCGTCGGCTCGGGTGATGTGTCGACATTGTTATTTTTTTTTAAAACATTTCTCCAGCCCAAAAATCACTTTGTCTTCAGTGTAGTGGCGCCAGCTGAAAATTAATTGGGGGGGCAAGACTATAACGTCTCTGTGTACAATTTGGTCGTTTGAAATCTGAAACAAGCGGATAACCTTTTCGTATCTCACTGAACAATATTGAGAAGGAAATATCTGGGGGGGCAGACCATAAAATTTAAAGGAATCCCCCTTTCTGCCCCTCGCACTTCCACTGTTATTTAAGGTTATTTGAGCCGACAAGCGACTTTTCTGACGTTAATGCAATTATTTCATATTGTACTTAACAACGAAAGTTATTCGTTTTTTTTAGTCAGGTAAAAGAAAAGTAACGAACAGCTTTCAGAAGACTAGGAGTGCTCGAAATTTTGCGCATGAAGACTCGGTATGTGCCGTATTTTCACGTTTTTCATACCTAGTTGAAATGCGAGACATTTCAATCGCTCACGTAGGGCCAGGGACATTACGATCTCTGGGAATTGTTACAATTCATTGTAGGAAGAAAGTCATCTGCTGGAAGACGTTGTACATTTCGCTCATTATGCTGTTGGTGCCTACGGTTGGCCTGTGTACTTGCTGACCGATCTCAAATGTGCTTGCTGTTCTTTGGTCAATACCATGAGGTAAAGTATGCCTATCTTCCTGAGAGGGTGCAGCAAGTAGCCAGCAGGTCACAGTACTCGACTGGCATGCAACTGACAGGGTATATTTTACTGAATTTTCAACTGAAAATGTCAATAAGACCTAATCTCTTCGCACATGATCAATTCATGCAACGCTCACTAGGTAACTTAATGAAGTGAATGAGATTTTACGTCCAAGTATTGTTACTGTAGATAGTAGATAGTAGATAAATCAACAGTAGATAAAGCAATAGCAGATAAAACAATAGTAGATAAAGCAATAGTAGATAAAGCAATAGTAGATAAAATAATTGTAGATAACGCAATAGTAGATAAAGCAATAGTAGATTAAGCTATAGTAGATAAAGCAATAGTAGATAAAGCAATACTTATAATATAATTGCTTCAGGAAGCTGAGTCGAGACTCGGGTTGTATATAATATATTAAGGCTGCCGCTAGCAGTGATGATAGGTTTGCTCAAAACAGCTGCTTTTGTAATAAATGATTATGCATGGTTTTGCCGGGTTGTTTTGTTGACGACAAAGCTGAACATCATCATCACCATCACACTCGTAAATAAAACACGAATAACACCAAAAACTTTTATTAAAAGTTTATCAAATCTGCTGCACCAAGTTTAGCTATCAGCTACAAAATCAACCTCAAATTGCCAGAACGTCAACAATTTCAGTAACAACACCGACAATACCCGGCAATATTAGCAACAACAGCACCAGCAACACACACTACAGCAAAAGAAACAACACACGACAAAAACAACAGACAACGAAAACAACACAACAAAAGCAACACACAACAAAAACAACACACAACAAAAACAACACACAACAAAAACAACACACAACAAAAACAACACACAACAAAAACGACACACAACAAAACGACACACAACACAAAACAACACCAACAAAAAACAACACACAACAAAACAACACACAACAAAACGACACACAAAAAACGACACACAACAAAAACAACACAACAAAACAACACAACAACAAAACAACACACAACAAAACAACACACAACAAAACAACACACAACAAAACAACACACACAAAAAACAACACAACAAAGCAACACACAACAAAACAACACACAAAAAACAACACAAATAAACCAACACAACAAAAACAACACACAACAAAAACAAACACAACAAAAAACAACACACAACAAAAAACACACAATAAACAAAACAAACAAAACAACACAACAAAAACACACAATAAAAACAACACACAAAACAAACAACAAAAACAACAAAACAACAACAACAAATAACAACACACAAAAACAACACACAACAAAAAACACACAACAAAACAACACACAAATAAAAACAAACACACAAACAACAACACAAATAACAAAACACAACAAAAACAACAAAAATACACAAACAAAAACAACACACAACAAAACAACAAAACAAACAAATAACACACAATAAAACAACACAAAAAAAACAATAAACAACACACAACAAAAACAAACACACAAAAAACAAACACAAACAAAACAATAATACAAAAAAAAACACAACAAAAACAAACACAACAAACAACACAACAAACAAACACAACAAACACAACAAAACAAACACAAAGCAAATACAACAAAAAACAACACACAATAAAACAACACACAACAAAAACAACACACAACAAAAACAACACACAACAACAACACAACAAAACAACATACAACAAACAACAACAAATAAAACAAAAACAAAACAGCAAAAAACAAAACAACACACAACAAAACAAACAACAAAAGCAACAATATAACAAAAACACACCAACAAAACAACACACAACAAAAACAAACAACAACAAAACAACAACAAAAACAACACACAACAAAAACAAACACAAAAAACAACACACAACAAAACAACACACAAACAAAACAACACAACAACAACAACACAACAAGAACAACACAACAAAAAACACACAAAAAACAAACCTAAAAAAACAACATACAACAAAACAAACAACACAAAAAAACAACAAAACAAAAAAAACAATACACAACAAAAACAACACACAACAAAAACAACACACAACAAAAACAACTCAACAAAAGCAACATATAACAAAAACAACACACAACAAAAACAATACACAACAAAACAACACACAAAAACATAACACAAAAAAACAAACAAAAAAACAATATAAACAAAAACAAACATAAATAAAACAACACACAACAAAACAACACAACAAACAAAACAACAACACAACAAACAAACACAACAAACACAAACAACACAACAACAAAACAACACACAAATAAAAACACACAAACAAAAAACAACACAACAAACAACACACAACAAAAGCAACACACAACAAAAACAACACACAACAAAAACAACACAACAAAACAACAACACACAACAAAACAACAACAAAAAAACACACAAACAAAACACACAACAACAAACAACACAACAAAACACACACAAACAAAACACAACAAAAACAATACAACAAACAACAACAACAAAAAAAACAACACACAACAGAAACAACAAAACAAAACAACAAAATAAAACAAAAACAATACCAAATAAAACAACAACATAAAAACAAAAAAATAACAAACAAAAAACACACACAACAAAAAACAACACAAAACAAAAACAACACAATAAACAACACACAACAACAACCACACAAATAAACACAAACAAAAAACAAACAAAAACAAACACAACAAAAACACACAACAAAAACAACACCAACAAAAATAAACACACAAAAACAACACACAAAAACAAACAATAAAACAACACACAAACAAAACAACACAGCAAAATAAACAACAAACAAAAAAACAACACCAACAAAAACAACACACAACAAAACAACACAAACAAAACAACACACAACAAAACAACACAACAAAGAAACAAACAACAAAAAAACAACACAACTAAAACAACACAACAAAAGCAACATACAACAAAAACAACACACAACAAAAACAACACAACAAAAGCAACATACAACAAAAAAACACACAACAAAAACAATACACAACAAAAACAACACAACAAAAACAACATATAACAAAAACAACACACAACTAAAACAACACACAACAAAAACAACACAACAAAAGCAACACACAACAAAAACAACACACAACAAAACAACACACAACAAAAACGACACACAACAAAAACAACACACAACAAAAACAACACACAACAAGACTCTATTCACTTCTTCGACAATAACATTAGGAACACCATAAAACAAAATGGTCACAATTTGTCTTTTTTTTCCACATACTATCATTCGTATTTTTATTTATATAGATGTTGTTACACGTGTCGTGCTCCAGATCCTAGATACGGTCAAGTACTTCAAGATAATTGTTGTCAATGCAATTTTTCTGCTATAAAACAAACTCTCCACGAATTTTTCGATAACATCGACATTGTTTACACGTCTTTCGTCGACGAGGTATGTATGTCGAATTTTTGAGACTCTTTGTTTGCATGACAATAACATTTAAAATGTCTGACGATTGAATTTTGGAAGATCGATGAAAATATTCTGATAAGCAAACTGGAAGCTTGGCTTGAATGAATAGAAGGCCAAAACTATGTTCTCGACATGGTATCGTAGTGAAGACTTGAGTTCTAAAATATTGGAATGGTTCACGATCCTTTCCGAGATCCAATTATATTTTTTTTGAACTTTTTTGAACACTGGTTTGAAACGTAGAAAAAAATTTAGTACTACATGGGTTAGCTTGCCAATAATATTGGCGAGAAAACTTGTAGTACAAATGTTTCAGATAAATGTTAGATGTGGCTTGGTAAGCACTTTTTTGTTTCTTTAGCCCACCAGGTTTATAATTCCGTTATGTGCCAAACGCGAAATTTATCCCTAATCGAATCCTTAACCAATACCTCGGTCATATAGCCTTTTACTAAAAGATGAAGTGTTCGAATTTAGGAACATATTTGCGTATTTGTACAACATGGAATTCTTACTCTCTCCGACAAACTTGGCATTCTTGTTTTTGGTTACAGATGGCAAGGCATTCGTATTTTCCAAGGCGATTTTGCTTGTATTTCTAATTGCATGCGAACTCTCCTTTTACTCTGCCGTCGATTGATGTTTTTGTTTTATCATTCAGCTGTACGTGAGTCCGTTTTTTGTTGCTGTGGACCATGGGAAAAGATCAGTGGTAATATCCATACGAGGAACTCTTTCATTACAAGTATGTATCGTCTTACTCGTGGTCTTAATCGCTAAGGACATCAAATTCATCATTCGCTGTCATGACGAAGATCTTTTATTGTCCTTTTGGTTCCAGTCCTTGTGGCGGACACTTTACGAAATATTTGTGGGTATGTCCCCCAAAGCACGTGATTTTGTTTTTAGAATATTCTCCCCAAAAGTCAAGGAGTTTAAATGCTCGTGTCGAGACTTGCACTGTGCTGAAGTCTTTCAAAACGTCGATAACATTTTATACGATAAATTATTACTCGTGCTCTGGAGGGGCACGAGTAGAGGTTTCGGCTCGCGTTGTCGAGAAATCGACTTTGTTGACCCAGAATGCATTGCGTTTTAACAATATGGTGACTGCAAGGAGTGACAAAATTTAATTCTTCAACAATACAAACATTAAAGCTATCCTTTTACAAATAATACAAAGGATGCGAAATATATATGCACAAAAGACAAAGCAACGGTACAACATAATGCATGGTGTAATATATAATTTTAAATTCTATCCCATATGGTTTTAATTCCTATATGAACGCAAGAAATATCATCAATATTTTGACTTTATTTTTTACAAATTTTTACAGCTTCCTTTGCTTGAGAGATTACAGTACTGCAATTTGGAATTTAAAGTGTTTATATTACGAATTTTAGCCCCCCCTTTTTTATTAGCTAAATTGAAAGGCCTTGTTTCAGTGATTTAAAATCTGCAATTATAATTGAAATTGGATTGTGAAAGTGATTTTACGGACGTTCAAAGTCACGATTTTCAGCATTTTTTTGATCGGTATGCTAATGACTTGTGACGTAGAAAGTTGAACACAAATATCAACATGGCGTATTTCACTAGTAATCTTAATAAGAAACGCGGAGGAAAACGCTATGTTGCTGGCGGACCTAATCAAATTAGTTGCGCCAATGATTCAAAAACCGAAGGAATGTCGATGTATCTGTTTCCTAAAAAAGAAACAGAGCCGCAAAGACATAGGAAATGGGTAAATTTTGTGCGTAAACATAGACCGGATTTTGAGGCTTCCTCTACCTCGTGTCTGTGTTCTGCGCATTTTGAAGATTCTTGTTTTGACCTTAATTTGAGCGTGCAAGTCAAGCTCAAACGAAGGTTGAAGAAAGATGCTATCCCAACCATTGACGTGGCTGAGATTCCTGAACCATTACAGGACGAAATAACCGATCGAAAGCGAAGACAAGTAAGTTTGCGCTTGTTTATGTTAATTTTTCTTTTGTCATATGTAAATTCGATATAAGTTTTGTAAATTATTCGACATACTCTCCATAAGCCATCGCTGAAGGAAACATGTTCTCTCGATGAGGAAGTACCATCTACTAGTGATGGAGCTGAGCATGTTGAAGTATGCACTGGAGAAGCAAACGATTCGCCATTTGAAGAAGAACTACATGCAGTTGGTGAAGATATTTGTGAATCCCAGTCTCCATGTAAATCGTGCCATCGTCTTAAGAAAAAACTTACATCTTTACAAAAGACTTTAAGCTGGTATAAAAAGACAAAAGCATCTTTGAAGAAAAAGGCCCAGAAATTGCAAAATGAATATCGAAGCGAAATCAGGGAAAGTCGTAATACATCCGTGGTGACCAGCATTAATATAGACGATGAAATGCAGGGGAGTGCTGAAGAGCTTTTCGAAGGAGAATCATACATGGACTACTACTCTTTCGAAGAGTCTAATCAGAGTGAAGATTTAGATGAAGATACCACAAGTAAAACAGTCAGGTATTTTATCTTATAAAGAACTAGATCTCTGTTGTAGTTCATAATAATGAATTTTCTTAATCGTGTTACAGAATTGATGAAGGAGCAAGCTCGCATGAACAACCTATGTTCATGGTATTTCACATCTCATTGGTTGAGTTATTTGAAAAATTTTGCTTTAGCTACAAGGCTGAAAATCCAAAAGTACACATTAAAAATGTTGGTTCGATGGCCATTGTAGAGCAAAATTGTGGTAAATGTGTTGAAAAGAACTTTATGTGGAGAAGCCAACCTACGGTTTTGGGAAGATATCCAGCTGAAACGTTATGACTAGTTTTGGTATATTGATGTCTGGTATCAGTATAAGTCAGGCCATGCTGATGTTCAAGCACATGAATCTCTCAGCAAATAGTGTGTCCACTTATCATGTGCATCAACGCACCTTCTTGTTTCCAGCTATTCTGAAGCATTGGGAAAGCTATCAGTCAAAGTTAATAGAAAATGTGAAAAAAAGTGATGCGACTTCCAGACATGGTCAGGAGATGTCATTTTCTGCAAAGCTGGTCCTATTTCCTTACAGCATCTGTACTCTAATAAGCCTTCTAACAAATCGGTATGACAGCATTGACAACTACACCTGAAACGTGGGAGCATTGTGGTTTATAAAGTAACTTTATGTATATTACAAACAGGAGAAAACAACAACTTACCATTCACCGAGTGGAATTACGCCATCACTTCGTTGTTCTAATGTCGCAGGGAGAATTCCATCGGGATCATCTGGAGTATGCACTTCATCACCATCTCCTGCGAGCGGTTCATCGTCATATGCGAAGTCGTTTAAATGCTCGACATAACCCACGGATTCCGAGCTCGAATCAGATACGCATTCAGACATCGAATTCGAATTATCTGAGCACTGATTTGAGGCCATACTTTCCGGAAAACTTGTTTTTTAATATTTTATTGAAAATACTGTCATTATTTGTTTTTAAGACAAGAAAAACGACTGCAAAATCACCTCCTATAATATAATATTATATTGACGGAAACAGACTTGTTCAACTATCTACGTCACAAGTATCAATATGGCGTCGTATCAAAATTAAGGAACTTATATTCATCTGTTTAAGTCCAGCGACATGTCATAGTTCTTCAAATAATCCAAATTTTCAATTAAGCTCATAAAAAAAGGGGGGCTAAAATTCGTAATATAAGCACTTAAAGGGGATTTAGCTTTCATACTTTTGCTAATAGTACGTGTAACACTACTCTGTGATGTGTGATCACTTAAATCCCGTTGGCCCGATCCAAACACATGAGAATATTGCTCGAATTAAGAAACCGTTAAAATCACACGCTCTCGGCATCTTTTTTCCCACACTCTTTCATGTTTTGATCGGATCATCAAAACGGAAATTATTTGATCACCAGAGCACGAGTATACGCCTAAACAGGCGTCTTGTATTATATTGAGTTAGCTGTGATTTGTGGTATTTGGTGCTACATTTATAGTTTTTCAAAAACTGTTCCTGTCGAGAGCATACAATTAAAAAGAAAGTCGCGCTACAATTTTCACTGAATGGAAATCAACCTTTACCCGGTAGTGTCCGCCATTGCGATACTCTTTTGCGTTGCCCTTCGTCTTTTCTCGTTATTCTCTTTCTTCAATATAATTTTCTTTCGCTTCTTTTAAGGTACCGTTCTCTTTCTCATCGTTAACATGTTTTGTGATCATTTTATGTTGTAAATATTATATAGATTGGATTGTCATGCATTATATTTCCATTTGCTGTAACTTCATTTGCTGTAATTGTCATGGATAATTTGTGATTATCGTATGTTGAAATAAAGACGATTTCATAATTTTCACAGAATATTTTGACGGACATGATAGTCGAACCGGAAAGGATACCCAGCCATCAAAGTCACGAGCATAAAGATTGGTTTGCGCATAAAGGGATGTTTATGACGGCGATGAGTATCAAAAACGTGCTTGACAATAAGGGAATTTTGACACAAGCTTTTGACAAGTGCCCAGTACGTATAAACAATAACAGTTATGTTTAATAAAGTGAATGGTTTGAACCCGGGAGTATCGTTACATGTTTTTTAGATATAAATCTTCCAGGTTAGTAGAGTCCACAGAACGACTGTTGGTGTTGTTGTTGACCGACGTTTCGACAACCTTAGCAGTGGTGATATTTAGAGTCAAATGAGGAGTAAATGTAAGGTTCGACGCCGGTATACTGACCTGGATGATTTACATCAATGACAACCTAAGTGTCTCAAAAAACCTCCAGCGATTGCCAAATTTGAACTATTATTTTGGAAAACACCCATTTTTGAGGCAACCTTAGCAGTGGTGATATTTGGAGTCAAATGAGGAGTAGATGTAAGGTTCGACGCCGGTATACTAACCTGGATGATTTACATCAATGACAACCTAAGTGTCTCAAAAAACCTCCAGCGATTGCCAAATTTGAACTATTATTTTGGAAAACACCCATTTTTGAGGCAACCTTAGCAGTGGTGATATTTGGAGTCAAATGAGGAGTAAATGTAAGGTTCGACGCCGGTATACTGAACTGGATGATTTACATCAATGACAACCTAAATGTCTCAAAAAACCTCCAGCGATTGCCAAATTTGAACTATTATTTTGGAAAACACCCATTTTTGAGGCAACCTTAGCAGTGGTGATATTTGGAGTCAAATGAGGAGTAAATGTAAGGTTCGACGCCGGTATACTGACCTTGATGATTTACATCAATGACAACCTAAGTGTCTCAAAAAACCTCCAGCGATTGCCAAATTTGAACTATAATTTTGGAAAACACCCATTTTTGAGGTTGTTTTTTTATGTTTTTTTTCTGCTCCAAGACAGCTAACAATTCCTCAAAAAAATTCAAGGGTAAAATTAGATAATGCAAAAAACTATTATTGTGATTATTTAACTCTTGGCGTGTGTATGTGTTTAAAGTTGAATAAATATGTTTCTTGTTTTAATAAGCGAGTAAAACTTAAATGTTGAACTCAGAGTATTTACTGAGACTAAGGACCTAGGAAACAGAAAAAATCGATTTCCAGTTTTTCTATCATTCTTCGTTAATTTTGGCAAAAAGTGACCGACATTAGTCCTCGAAATAAAGTAAATGGTTTGAACCCGGGAGTATCGTTACATGTTTGTAGATGTAGATCGTCCAGGCTAGCAGAGTCCTGAGAAGGACTGTTGGTGTTGATGTTTACTGACGTTTCGTCTTGACTCTGAAGATGACTACCGCTAAGGTTGTCGAAACGTCAGTCAACAACAACAAAAACAGTCCTTCTCAGGACTTTATTAACCTGGACGATCATCATTTACAAACATTACTCCTCGAATTATAAAATTTCACAGAGTTCCGCAAGTTGCTTTATTCTTTATTGTACAGTATTCCAATGTTGCATTTTGGCATTTTGCAAAAAATTCACGCATGATTTTTTTTGCTTAGCTTTTCTTTGTCCATAAAGAAAATAACATTTTTACTTCTATACCTTGTTTTCGTTACAGTTTGATTAGTAACTCTACACAAGTTGAAGTATGCCGTCTTACAAATTTATTTTCCTTTTTAGACTAGCGAGAGACACAATTATCAACTAATCATCGTTGGTCATTCACTCGGGGCTGGAACCGCATCTGTTTTGGCGATGTTGTTACGAGATCGTTACCCAAACCTTTTTTGTTACGCCTACTCACCCCCCGGCGCGACATTGAGCCAAGATGCTAGCAAATTTGCTGAAGATTTCATTCTTTCTGTCGTGATAGGAAAAGACATGATCGCTAGGTTGGTTTATGATACTCTTACACCATATGTAAAAAGTTTGGAATTGCATGTAATGAATTTTTGGAGTCCACGTATGATACGCTTGTATGCTGGAGAAGTAATGGCTTTTTTTGCTTCTCACCTCATCTGAAGTCATTAGAATATTTCAATTGGGATAATTGCAGCTTAGAATTACATGAAGCTAAACGCGTGTTAAACGGAGCATAAAAAGTGTAGTTTTTGAACAAGACGAACATTGAAACAGTTTTCGGACAGTATTATCGAACAAGGAAGTTTGTAATTTTGTTGTATTTGATCTTTACTCAATCTTCATGTTAAATGTGCAACTAACGCAATAACCTAGAACCCGATCCACCAGATACTTAATTCCGCCGAAATTTTCCAGGTACGAGTGAGACAAGCCTCCATCTTGCAGGCACGTAGCCAGAACGATGATTGGGGGGGGGGCATATTCATATATGCAAGACATGCCGTATTAGTTTCTTTTGTAATCCATTGCTTTTTACGGATTATAAAATCAAAAACTGACGATATATACTACTAATATCTACTACCTCTGCGTTGATATGAGTTGATAGTGTAGGTTTTTGTTAGGATTGGTTTTTTAACTCTATTTTCAACCGAGAGTTTTGCTTCCTGCCATTATTCAAGATGGCGTTCTTGCCTCATTCTGTCACGGTGGTTATACCCAGTGAACTCTACAACAACGTTGTTGTAAAGTTCATTGGGTTAAACCTTTAGGGGATTGGGTTCTAAATTTTTTTGAGCATGGAAAATCACTTTTACAGAAGAGTTAGCCTAAACAATTGGATTGATGCAGTTGTCATTACATTGAAATTCAAAACATTCGCGGTGATGTTTGTGTGTATTTTTATTCTTGACTATTTTTATCAGGTTAAGTTTAAACAATCTGAAAGACTTACGCGATCGAGTTATGTTTCTTGTTTCCAAGACGAACAAACCAAAGGTACGTCGTTTTTAAAGGTACAATGAAAAATTTATCAGCTTTGAGGATGTTGCTAAAATTTATTGCTTTTGATGATGTAAGGGGAAATGTTGGTTTGATTGATGATAAAGGAATTATTACCTCGGGGGAATTCGGGGGAAATTATTACCTAACACGTGGAAATTTAGTACTTTTGATGATTTAGATAGCAAAAAGTTAGAACCTATACAATCTCTTTACTTGTATTTAGTAATGAAGTGATGTTTAATTTATCGTGTAGTGGAAAATTCTTCGCCAATGTGTGTGGCGGTCAACAATGTGCTGTTGTTGTGGACCTACTCAAGCAAAAGGGGACTCCATTCATGATTCTGATCTCGATCATCTCGAGAAAAAATTTGATGAATTTACTAAACGGGCATCGACAACACCCGACTTTTATCTCCCCGGTAAAGTACTCCATTTTGCCAAAGTGAAATCGTTCAAAGGGTAAGTTCATAGTAATGGTCACTTTCGCACGAGGGAATGTGATGTGCAGTTTTTATAGTGTGTGTATGAAAAACTGGTCATCTTTGAAATCAGCCGATACTTAGAATTTGCGTTATTCGGCAATATTTTATCTCCAAAAACCCTAAATGTATATTGCAACTACTGCACATTGCTGATCCTAGGCAAGAAATCCAGTTCAATTTGCGTTAACGGCTCCTTAGGGATCAATTTTTGCTAAATCGTGGAAATTCTAAATATCGGCTGATTTCAAAGATGAACTGTATTTTGTACATCCAATGCAAGCTGCACCACGGCGAGAACAAAACTTCAGTTCTCTGCTATAATATTTAACAACTGAACTTTTTGTTGATTTTACAACGAGGAAGTTTTTTTCACCCCGATTTTTTTTCCTTTCAATGGATCTCAAATGAGACATGCGCAATGTATCTCTGTTTGGAATTCTTTTTTCTGGGAACTTTAAAGGTTTTAGTACGAAGTTAGTTGGTAAACAGAGTTGAAAAGGCATGCAACTTAAGTTTATAAAATGAAATTTACTGCCATGTACATTGTGTACTTTTTGATGTAACATTTTTTCATTTTTGTGTGAATATGGCCAAGACTCCACCACTTGTGTCGAATTTCAACACAAGTTAAAGGATCTTTAAGGGTCATTGTCAACAAAAAATTTTTCAAACACAGTTATAAAGTGTTATAAGCTGTTGCACATATACCAACACGTTTATAGAATGTTATAAATAGCCGCACATTTAACAAAACATATATAAGATGTTGTAAGCTGTTGCACATATACCAACTCAGTAACTCAGTTATAAGGTGTTATAAAAGCGGCACATAAAAAAACACAATTATAAGATGTTATAAGCTGTTACACATATACCAGCTCAGTTATAAGATGTTTTGACTGCTGTGCAAATACAAACTCACATTTAAGATGTTATAAACTTTTGAAAACATGGTAACACAGATATAGGATGTTATAAAGTGTTTCACCTAAACCAACAAAGATAGACCAAAACAGATACAAAATTTTATAAACTGTTGCACATATGCCAGCACAGATATAGGATGTCATAAACTGCTGCACATATAATACCACAGATATGAGATATTATAAACTGTTGCACATATACAAGAACAGGTATATAATGTTATAAACTGTTGCACATTTACAAACACAGGTATAAGATATTATAAACTGTTGCACATATGCCAACACAGATATAGGATGTCATAAACTGCTGCACATATAATAACACAGATATGACATATTATAAACTGTTGCACATATACAAGAACAGGTATATAATGTTATAAACTGTTGCACATATACAAACATAGGTATAAGATATTATAAACTGTTGCACATATAATAACACAGATATGAGATATTATAAACTGTTGCACATATACAAGAACAGGTGTAAGATGTAATAAACTGTTTCACATATACAAGAACAGGTATATAATGTTATAAACTGTTGCACATATACAAACACAGGTATAAGATATTATAAACTGTTGCACATATACAAGAACAGGTATAAGATGTTATAAACTGTTGCACATGTACAAACACAGGTATAAGATGTTATAAACTGTTGCACATATACAAACACAGGTATAAGATGTTATTAACTGTTGCACATATAACAACAAAGATAGGATGTTATGAACTGTTGCACATATAACAACAAAGATAGGATGTTATGAACTGTTGCACATATAACAACAAAGATAGGATGTTATAAACTGTTGCACATATAACAACAAAGATAGGATGTTATAAACTGTTGCACATATAACAACAAAGATAGGATGTTATGAACTGTTCTACATGTTTTCTTATCGCTTATCAGGCGTTGTTTTGACAACCAAACCATATTCCAGCCGTTCTGGGCAAGTACTGAAGACTTTGACGAGATCCTGATTTCGAGTCTGATGTGGGCGGATCACATGCCGGATTTTGTGTTAGAAGTGCTTAAAGAAACGTTTCAGCGGGTAAGGAACCCTAGCGAAGTCAGCGTTGATGGTTCTTTGGGGATATTATGTGATAACGAGGACATGTTTCAAACACCTCCTAGTGGTTCCTTATGCGTGTCGGTCATAGACTCTCCCGCAGGTATGGTAATGGTTTTGACCAGTTTGCTATTATGTCGTGCGTGTGTATATGTCTAGATGAAAAATTGATGGTTAAGGGGATTGACATGTGTCTTTGCTTTAATGCACGCCATCTTGCTTGTGGCTGCCTTTTCCTGCTCTTTGTAAAATAAGATTTCCCACGCATAACTCTTCACAATTTGGATGTCAATTGTGCTGTTTTACTATTTTGCATCTTTTATTTCATAAGGATTGTGATTGGTTGAGAAGTGTTTCAATAACAAGCAGTTGCCAGGTTATTCAATGAGCCCCGGCTATGCAAAGTTGATCAAAGGCCTGTTATCGCCGATCCTGAGGCGATCTATTCCAATATTTAGAACATTTTTTTGTGCTTTTTAACGCATTGGCGGAATATAAAAATCGATCGTATTTTTTCTCAACAAGTTGATTTACAGTCTAACTCTTAACTGAGGGATGGGAGGGTGGTGGTGATAGTTGCTCCAAGCAGTGTGTTATACACTTTCTAATCAAGACACTTCGAAGACAATTACATGATCGGAATGAATTTTAATAAGCGCTTCTCACTTACTTGTGTTGACGGTTTTAAAAATCAGTAAGCGGTTATTTTGCAGATCTTTTGGCCGATGAACCAGTTGGAGTGGAAGTTACATATGTTTGATTCTTCTTTCCCCATCTTTGTTGTGTTTTGCAATTGGGTTCTCCTGGTTAGCCCAGAATTTCGATCTGGCTGCGACTCTCACTGTTGCAAAGTTTGCAGATAATCCTGGAGCGAGTTGTTGTGAGCTCAAGATGGTTGCGTTGCAATAAATCCATTCAGCTCAGTATATGAATGAATATTGCATAAAAATTGCATCGATGTTTACATAATGTAAACAATAAACATAAATTGCCTGCTGTTTGTGTGCTGCTCGCCTTCGGCCTTCGCGATATCGTCTTTAAGATGTGATGCTGAAAGAAGGTATGTGCCTCCCATTGTCTTGTTAATATGGCATGGGAATATATTGTGGTATTGTCTTCTATTGCGCATGGCACTTGTGCATGCATGCTGAGGATAGACACTTGTAAACTATATTTAATTAAAAAGTATAAGTGTTTGACGTTGTAAGTGCGTATATGAAGCTTTGTATTGTTGTCTATTAAACTGTGATTGTTAAACTAAATCACCGATGTTTATTATTTTATCAACAGTCAAATAGTTGTAGAACTAATGTCATTTTGAGAATTTATGTTGCGCTTAAAGTCGTTAACAGGGCAAGATTTTCTAAGGCCAATTGCTTTTTTAATCCACTCAACTTCAGGAAATGAAATATTCCAAACTGCAGTAATGAACAAGATTCTGTTGGAAAAAAGGACGTCTTTTTCATTTTTTCATACACGCAATGAAATTCTTCAGTTAAATGTTCATAAGTTTTACCATATAAATAAACACTTGCTAAACATGTCGATTACATATAAATCCTTACCTCGAAAAAATAAATCCCTTTTTACTTTCTCAGAAAGGAACTTGCTCACTCTGTTAGCGCAAGTGCACATGAAGTTTACTCTGAACAGATTACCTTGTTTCGTGTAGTAACCGGGCCGAAGGTTAATCTTTAAGGTTAAATCCCCAAGTTGTGAAGGTAAATTTTCTAAAGAACTGTCCTCCTCCACTCTTCCCCATTTGATCTTTTTATTCAATCCATTCAATAAAACTTGTTCGACAATAAACTTTTATGCAGGAAAGGGTTGATCGTAGTATATGGTCACATGTGCTATGTATATCAACCAATAAAATCGGTAAGTCTCAAGTCTCGTGGGATTCACGTCTCTTGCCGCACTCACAGAAGAATATAAGAAATTTTTTGGTGAGGGGTGAAAGACGTTAACTAGGGGTGTATATTGATATATTCCGTTGGACCCCACTCATTGTTATTGAAAAGCCTTGGATTTCAAGAGAAATCAGTCGTGCACAAGTGAATATATGAATACACACCACGACCTCGACCTCCCCCACCTTCAATTTATGTTCTAGTTAAGCTTCTGGAGGGGAACTATCCACTATAGATTGGGGCTTAAGCAAGTATACAGTAAATTTAACCCTTTCCTGCGTGATATTGTTTCACAGCAGCAAGCATCATGAAACCCAAGGAAACATAATCGATCTGAAAAATTCATGCGGGAAAAGATTTACTGTCAACTTATGATCTAACGTAATTTATTGCTATTCTGCTGTTGCGTTCAATTTAAGTTCATCCAGTTATATTTCGTTTTCATTCTTATTAAATAACGCTTGTACATTTTTACATTACCTACATTCCTTACTGTATATATATATTGTAGTCACTTCAACGCAACTTGTCGTTTTTTATCGTGTTTTAACTTTGAAAACACATTCAAGTATCGAACGTTCGTCTTTTTTGTGCGTGGCAACGAATTCACTTTCTTCACCGAAGGTCTCCATCTCGCTTTTCGCCTCCGAACGCCATCGAGAATGGACGAGAATGCGGCACGGACGTTATCTGGCTCTTCCGAGGCGGATAATTCGAAAAATAAGCAACCCAATTGATGAGCTGCCGTGTGTCCTTCTTCCCGCGGTACTGAAAATTAAAGGGAGCGAAATGATGGTTTGCACTTTGAGAAAATAAAACCCATACCTCAGTTTACCGTAAATCATCCAATAAACGCCCTAAATGAAATAAATGCTTTGTTTCTACTTAACGCTTCTCTTCCCCCTTGAAGCGTCAGTTGTAATCTGACGGCTCTCTCTAACAAACACCACGTCTCTTATAGACGCCCCCTCCCCATAACATTACCATTAGTATATTATTATTGTTGGTTGTCGATTGGGATCAAAAACCTTGTATTTAGTCATAATTTTGTTTATGTTTGCTCACATTAAAGTAATAGAAATATTATGAACGCCTCATTTCTTTTTCAGACGTCCCCTCTCAGAACGACAGAATTTATTGAACGCCGGGGCGTGTGTAAGATAATTTACGGTATTTTATATTTCATGATTTCACAAGCCATTCGTGCAATCTGAATGTTATACATTCTTTAACTGATTAAAATTGTTTGAGCAGTTTCCATGCTTATAAACTAAAAATGTCGGGCATTGTTGAAATTATAACTTTTAAAAATAACACATTTTTTTATGAAAGACATTTTTATATTTAGTGCGTAGTTTGTCTATTATGCTGTGTCAAAATTTCTAATGATGATTTTTTCATTGTGAAAATTATATTGCACTCAGACTAGAGTGCCGGAGTACGACACTACGTAATGCTCACTAGTTTCATCTATTTATAATTTCATGTTTTTCATTATAAACATGTTTAAAACAGTGTGGTGAATACGTGCCTTACTGGACACGTTACTCAGGTGTCGTTGTCCACATTGATGCCCTTGTCCGAGCACCGTACTCGGGTGCCACCTCTTTTAGTGGTGCCCAGACACAGGCACCATCAAAATGTTGTGTTCACATTGGTACCCTGGCCTGAGCACCGTGCCAGGGCACTCATAGCGCGTTCAGACTGAATGCCCCGATACGGTACTCAGGCACGGGCACCAATGTGAACACAACATTCTGATGGTACCCGAGTCAAAGTGCCCGGGTCTGGGCACCACGAAAATAGGTAGTACCCGAGTACGGTGCTCGGGCACGGGTACCAATGTGAACGACGACGCCTGATCAACGTGTACTGAGAAGCACCTATTCAGCACAAGGTTTTAAAACTTGTGTACAGTGAAAAACTTGAAATTATAAATAAACGAAGGTAGTGGGTACTACGTAGTGTGAACGGCCTGCAGATTTGTGCCCAAACCAGGATATCGTTCCCAGCACTCAATCTGAGCGCGCTGTCAGTCTGAACCACTGATCTGGATTGAACGCACTATTACCTGATCTAAAATGATCTAAATCTTTCTTGTTTCCGATCAATGCTATGACGACGTCTTTCGTTTTTTTCTGTTCATGAATGGCGGATATAATCTGTAATGCTGAATTGAAACTGCTCCTATCTGTTATTGAGTATGTAACAGCGAAGCCCTCGCCCCAGACTATGCTTTTTAAATCCTTCAACGACGATTGTTCTACCTGAAATAGGAACAGTTCTTGTTAAAATTTATGTCAATCAATTATTCATTATGCATCCTAGCTTTCGTTCTACAGTGTCGAAAATTTTTTATAGAACTTTAATATGCCATTATGACGAGCAATTTGTATTTTGGGGATACTCGATTATTTCTGATTTTTATCAAGTAAATGAAAAACATATTGCAAACAGGTAAAAAAGCTTTTATTTTTTGCTATTTAAAATACAAGCGTAAAACACTACATCAAATGCACGATAGCATATTAAAGTTTGATACATAATCTGTACACTGGACAATGTTTTTATTGTACTCCATGTTGGTAGAAATTCCCATACAATGAAAAGCATTCATTTTAAATTTCATGCTCCGTTGAGCTGCGGACCTTGGATGTAACGAACCAACATGGCCGCCATGACGTCACATGAAAACACACCATGGGATACAGTGAGTGAGCCAATGTTAGTGAAAATGAATTACAGCTACTCAATTTAATTTCGAAATGCAGTTAGAAAAAAACAATTGGTTTTGATTTTCTAAAGAATAATACATCCAAAAATGAGCTGCGGTAATTTGTTTTGACCAATGACCTAGAACCAAATCTAGTATACATCTGACTACGCCGAAATTATATTGTTACGAGTGAGACAAGCCGCCATTTTGAGAGGTGGCAAAATGACGTCATTTATGGCTAATTTCTGAGCTGATAGACAGTAGCTCAGTTGATAGTCTATGTTTGATTCTTAAATTGATAGGATTGGTTTTTAAACTTTCGTTTAGCTTATTTTTCATTTTGAGTTTGCCACATTTCAAGATGGCGTCCTTGCCTCACCTTGACGCGGTAGATCGGCATCTAGGAGATTGGTTTCTAAATCATTGATTTTGACGTACACTAGATCTGCCACTGGTGTGATGCTTTCGACTAACAGGCCAATTCATTGCCAAGATATTTTTTGCTTGAACTAACCTTTATAGTTACATCCCTCACTTCAAATTTCACTGTGTCGTGATTTCCCAGGGCAATCTTCCTTGAATACATCCGTTCTAATGAATTTATTTCAAACACGAGTTACCTTTAAATGCCAACTGACAGATATTAGTATTGAATTAATACACGGAGAAATTGTGCCTTCAGCTTTTCGTGACGTCTATCTTAATCGGCAAGGGGTTAAAATATAGCAGCCAATTTTTAATTTAAATGTCATTGGTTAAGAATTCCCTTGGAAAAAATCAATTGCACTTTCGAAATAAATTCAGAAATCATAGAATTTAAAAAAATGCCTCAGAAGTAGAAAAGATTATAAATTCCAAACAAATTGCCTATTTTCGGTATAACGGTAAAAAAATTTCTCATAATTAATGGAGATGTTAGTCATTTCGAGTCAATGTCATGCATCCTTTTTTTACCAGCTAAATCTTTAGTTTTATTGTCCTTGTGTTGATTTATACAAATACCAGACATTTTTGGAAATTTTTACGTGGTTTTTATGACAAACTGCTAACCCTTAGTTAAAATCTCGGGTGAAAATGAGCATTTTAATGCAAGTAACACTCCCATGAAATAAAAATGAGTTAAAACCTCGTGTGAAAGTGAGCATTTTAATGCAAGTAACACTCCTGCGAAATAACTAATTTCCTTCGTTATAGATCATTGTAAGGTGGGCGCAAGGATAAAATTGACCATCGCTTTCCCATGCTAGAGTTTGTACTTTGTAGCACTAGAAACACTCTTAGTCTTGATGACATTGTCGCATTTCGATTTTTATGTATGCACATGCCCAGATGAAATCGTTCAAAGTAAAAGAAGGAGAAGGTAAGGTTTTGATGGCAATGTCGCAGCAATAGAATGGTTTTAAAAAAGTTCATTTGTTTTCTAATTTAAAAGCATCAGCTTTTAGCTTGTACACCACGGTCATTAAGTCGGATGTCTATTTATTATACAACGTAGAAAGCTACATTAGCCGGGGGGTCCATGTCATTACGCTCATTAGTGAATGGAATGTGTGTCATTAAAATGCTTCTCCGCTGAATTATATTTGCGTCTGTCAAAGTTATTGGCTTACAGAGAACTTCACATCTGCACGATCAATTAATACTTGGAATGTCTTTTCAAGTTCTCGCTATCTTTAGCAACGAAATGGACGGTGGGGATTTTTTTCGTGATAAAATGGTCCTAGCCTCATTTTACTATAAGATTAACATCAACTGCTATCTGGGAAGGTAGAAAGACAGGTACACTATGTTGTTTAAACTACTGATAGTCAACACACTTATAGCAAACAATTCATTGGGCCTTTTTTCCAATTCCTATCTGGAAAGTTCTTATTGTTTTTGTGTAGTGGTTGTTTTTTTAGATGCTCAAAAACACAGTTAGCTACTCAAAAAAGAGACGTCTGAAATATTTTTATTATTGTGAAGGTATGCACCCCTGCGTTTCCATCGGCTCATATACCTTCAAAACTCAATAGTACGTCAACTTATAGAGTGGACATTTTAGAAAAATCCCTTACATCTAAAATAGATTTTTATTGCGAGGCTAGAGTAGCTTCTGGTAACTTTGCTTAAGAAATTAACGATGTGTTTGGATCTCTATGAATGCACATGTTCAAAAACGTGTATTGCATGTTGACTTAAGGAGAGTGAAATTGATGATATTTCTTCTCCCGCTTTGCTCTCACTGCGCTGACCGATTGAGATCAAATGATAAACCACATTCTCCACGTTTGAAAACGTGCGAACTTTATCATCAGGCTCCGTTTTTATAATTGCCCAATTAATCGAATACTTTAGGTATGTAGCTGAAACGTGCAGACTTCAACGCATGTTTTCCTAATGTAAAATTTGTCGTCAACCGTTTTTGACATCGAGGAATGTAAAAACACAAATAACAAACCAAGAGTGCATCTCCACACACACGCAAATGAACATTGTCTTTAAGCCTTCCGTGATCTCAATGAGAATTCCAGCAATTAATCTTGGTGAATGAATTGAAATGGAATGCCTTTAAGCTAAGAGCATCTATTAGGTTTTACGCCTGTATTTTAAATATAACCTAGTCACTTTGAAAGCTTCAAAATCACCTCGTGAGTATTTCAAGACGGTATTTTCAATTTGCTCATTGCTTTGTTTGAAATGATTGGGCAAAAATGTTGCTATCGATTTAGAAATGAGTTTTGCATTGATTAGCGGGAACGTTATTTCTGTGTCGCAAACGGAATACGGGCGATAACTGTGAGTCGTAAATATCTGTGCGATACATTTCATGTAACCTTTTTTCACATTTCATAGGATCAGTGTAATTTATCAGCTAACTAAATGTTTAGTTGTTGAAATGTTTGTCATTGGTCTCCATAACCTCTCAACAAGACAAACATTTCTTGTCGGAGCTTCATTACATGATAGACATATTTCCCAAATTTGCTCGTTCTGTCATCTTCTAAACGGCAACATTGAAACACAGCCTTCAATTTTTTAAAATAAATCACAGTTATTTCTCATTTCGGTTGACGACAATATTTGATTGATGGCTGTACAAGCCAAAGCATTCAGTCACTAGACGGTGTATCTCTACCATGTCGTGGATCGTGCGTGAGAAAAATTCTTAACTCGAAGTAAAAATACAACTTCTGGGAGAAAGTTTTCCTTCTTCGGGCTTGTATAGCATGAAAAATAGAGCAATCTGTAGCAAAGTTATATGAAAATAACCAAGCCTGCTCTTTATACATTCGCCGGCCAATTAAAAATTAAAAAAAGGTTAGCTTATAAGTCTAATTTTTTAGATTGATTTTAACTTCTACTGGCATACAAAAGCTAGGTTGGCAGGGATTTGCTTTCAAGTAAAACAGACCAGTGTACTCTTTCTTGAAGGATTTGTGATTACAAAGTAGCGGGTGGGGGGGGGCTCGAAAAGTTTAGTTCATGTTCATATTTTGCGTAAAACCCACGTTCAGAATATTTCCTGTTTCTCACGAGAAACGCGCACTTGCGTGTTGTTATGATGGAAAAAGATAGAAGGCGCGGTAATTGTTGAAATTTTATGACGTTGTTTTAGAAATTATGTCTATGTTTAAAATCATATCCGCATGTGGTACAGTTAAACTAAATTGTTTTTGATCTGTGAGATGCATATGGCAGATTAAGATACACTATGACGGTTGAGCGAGATTGTAACTGCGCGCAGATTGTACTTGATTTGTTAGGCTTGAAAACTTTTTCTCACGAAATAATAAGCTCACACATTTTGTACTAATTCCTTGTTATCGAATCCGAGTGTGTTCTCAACTTGTCAATTTGAAGTCAGAATTCGATTAATGGATTTCATGATGGTCTGTTCTAAATTATTGCACAATGTATTATTACACACTTCTACTCATGCAGTACATACACCATGTTTGTAGCTTTGTCAAAAAATATTGGTTCCATTGTCCACTGGTATATTGTACATAACAACATCGATGAAAAAAAACTGCAATAGTGCCATCAATCTACGCGTAAGCTAGACGTACAGCTAGCGCAACATTGTCATTTCAATAACTGCTTGTTGTTGCGTTCGCTCAAGCCTTTGTCTCCCAGCGTTGCAGTATGGCAACATCAAGGAAACCATATAAAACTCAATGGACTAAAAAATTTTGGAAGTAAAGCGAGCGACGCCCACATTCCAGAAGCAATCGAAATTGAATGTTGAAAATTGCATGGTTAAGCTTTGTCCGTTGTCCACAATCACACAAGTCCTTTTTAAAGTTTTTATTATTATTTGTGGGAGATGATGGATATAAATTTGATTTAATCAATGTCCTGTCATCGACATTGCTGAGCAAACAGTGGCCTATTTATCATTCCAGACAACCTTATATGAACTTATGAAGAACGATGATGACCTTTTGACTTTCCATCTATATTTATAGTTTGACCTTCGCAGTCCTTTATAAAAGGGGAATTGACAGCCCACATGCCACAGTTTGTTATTAATATGAAATCAATCGAAATATAATGAACATCGGATAGTCGGTCACAGTCGTCTAGATAAGCCTGTCGAAAAAATCCCGTATAAACTCGGAATTAAAAATGCGTCTTGACAGTCTGTTGAGCATTCTCGTGGTTCCTGCCGCCCGTTGTTAAAGTTTATTTACGTCATTCGATTTCAATTATTCATTTCCTACGCTTTCCAGGGCCATCATCCTACTTTAAATTACCCAGTGCTTTCAGTAAATTTTTGCTAGTTAAACCGATGATGATTTTATCATGAAAAAAACTTAGATTTGTGCCGGTTAAGCTCGATAGCTATCCATGCCATGGTATGTAATTAAGTAGCTAGTTAATACCTTGACATTCTTCGTATTCACCAATGAATCTTTTGGTTAAAAATCTCACCGTCAATGCTGTAAAGAAGAGAACGTAATTTTAGCTACTTGAATATGGAATTGCTCGTCTTCGTCTGGGAAGGAATATTCATTATGAAACAATCACAGACCGTTGTAAAATCATGTGCTGCTGGAGCATCGATAAATCGATAAATTTAATTAGACATGAATTGGATTCATTTTGACACTTTCGAAAAACTGCTTTATATATGGATGTGTGCGGGGAAACAAACAGACATTAGAAATAAAGTGGTTTGAATGTATAAAATTGTGCATTACTAGTGGTTGGGTGTATGGCTGAAGAGGTTCAATCAACAATTATATTATACCAATCAAGAAATGTGTTCCGTCAGATATGATGACTTTAAGCATGTGGAACCATGAATTTATCAGATTGTTTACGTCAGGGCCACAACGACACACAAGCATCTATCTGTGTGCTGAAAATGATGCGGCTACACATCGTGTCACACGGATAAAATGTGACATTATAGCTGTTTTTTATCTCCTCTTTAAAATGTTTCGCAAACTTCGATCTCAATCAATGAAACACTCGATGTCTTCCTTTATTATATAACGTATACGTCTGTCATAATCGTCAAATCGATAAAACCATCATAAGAGGAATTTCCCTTGCGTCTGATAACGAAGTATAAGTGAAATTTGTGTACTCTTCAATGTTTGTTTATCTTTGCGATAAGTCTGGACGAACCTGGTTTTATCGGTTTTTATCGCAACAAAATATGTGCATGGAATATTGCTGCTCGTGGAACGCAGTTGGATTGCCGCTCGTCATTACCAATAAATAAAAGTATTTGCTAGTCATTCGAATTCGAAATTTTTGTGAAGTGAGCGAATTTTCTAAGACAAGAAGAAAGTTTACCAAAATGTCTGCAAAATCAATTTCTCTAGTTCAAAGGAAGTTTCGATAAAAGTCAAAAAACTAGCGTTGCCTAATCACATTTCCTTTTTCTATATCATTATTCTTAACAGCAAATCACCACGCATTTCAATTAAACTAAAGCAATTGCACCTTACCAAGTGATTTTCTATCAATCGTTTAGCAGTCATCACATCTTTAAAACTTCAGCAAATAAAGGCTGAAGATGAAATGCGCGTGCTTTTTACCGAAAGTCAACATTTGCTGATGTTTCAGATATATTTGTGCGTTTTCCCCACCAAATCCGTAGCATTTCGTGACATACGTGCATTGCAGTCAGCGCACGCGTATGTGTTAATAATGCAACATTGAAAAGCGAGCCAAGCAGCCGTCAACACGCTGATGTACACTCAAAAAATAATTCAGGAAATGTTGTTTCCGTCAAGGCGTGTATCAGTGCTCTTGGTCTCCTACGATTGAACGATAAACTTTTCGAGTGATATTAATGGCGACATAATTCGTGAATTACTTTGCAAATATTGACCGTTCAATGTCAACATCTTTTGTATACAGCTGCGCAGCCGTGCAAAAATTTATACCAAAATTGAAAAAGTAAATTCTGGATGAATAACGATTGCCACAGTGTTCTGAAAAGCTTTAGAAAATTGACACGAGAATAAGTTTTTGTGCATATTTCATTAATGCAGACCGAAAGAACAACAAATAGACGCAATTTTTGCGTTCAACTTTGACAATCCACCTTAGTGAGTGCCATGCTTTTTGTATTACAAACTCCAGCAACATATACTAGTGTACTTAAGCCAAAAATAAAAAGAATCATGATACATCGGAGCTAGCTCCTCAAAAGTGTCAATGCTCCGCATTAATATGTGGACGTTAGTTTACCGAGTTGTGAGCATATTTCATTTCTATGTCAAGGGATTTTCTCTATCCGGTTGACAGAATGTCTAAATAAATAGATATCTGATATAGTGAAATAGTTGACGTCGCACTAAACCGATAAAGTGATCCGAGGTCGAGGAATGCGTTTCTCGTCCTATTTTGTTTTGATCGACATCTTATCTCGTACGAGAAAAGTTACTAATCTCTCTGCAAGAATTTAGCGATCTAATCTCGATCTTTCTCTCACCAATGCATACTTCAAAGTGGTATATATATTGCTTTCAATTGCCTCACATATATGGGTACTTATTTACTGAAATATTTTCAACTACTCAAGTATGAGGCGGTAATGTGAAAATTATCTGTAGACAAGCAACCTATCCTACTCAAGTTATACTTGATGTCTGTATAAATGCCGCAAGAATTTTCTTAAGCATTCTGCATAAGTTGCGTTGAATCTAATTTGCATAAAGTACGGCGACATCAAATTCGAAGAATCAATATACTTTGTTGTGCGACACCGTCTTCTTCGAATTCCCAAAACAACTGACCATGTTTTGTAATTTAGCTCTAATTGACGTGGAAGTAAGTGGAATACGAAAAATATCGACGGTTGACTTACCGCCACACCACCATAAATTCTAAGACAGGCGTTATTGCAACAGTGCAACATGCTTACCTGTTTTCCCAACTTTGCGATGGCCCAAAACCACCAATCGTACATCTGGCGGGTCTAAACATATCGATAAACTACCTGAAGTAGACATGACGCATGCTAATGTAGCTACTTCTGCTTCTGCTTTCACGGATCTCGAATGATTTGACCACTCGTGTTGTTTAACATTAGTTTGAGCCTTTCGTACGTAATACGTAAATAGATTACCTCGAACGCAATCGAATTATAAAACACGCTTCAAATGCTCGCATAAGCGACGTCATAAGATCTTGCTCTTGACCTCCGATGTGCTGATTGACGAATTGATGAGAGGCTGAAAGTTGTTCAGATATTTTTCTTCATCTGTAAAGTCTTGTCGCGTTGTGGGACATGTGACGGGCAAAAATAATGAGGATTCACGTTGCGTAAAACACGGTCTTTTTTACTAGCGGCTGTGAATTCCATTAGCAAGCAAACGATCGCTCGTTTGTCTGATAAATTTTGTGGATTTTTCCGACTGGTGATTTAAAAAACATGCCCGCTTTTCCTTTAAATGATTCATAGAGTACGCTGCAAATTGATATTGCCGGAACTGTCGGGACGTCGCTAGTGTGGCGTTAGCTATGAAAAAAAGTTTACACCATTTCTGTAGGTTTCAATTTCAGAGATCAAAGAACGCTTTTAACAAATTCCCACTCTTGTTATGATGTTCTTTATCTTAGGAAAATTTCAATGTCAATTAGCACATCATTTAATCCATAGTCTTTTCTCACTTGGATTACCCGTACTCGGCTTTTGATGGGCCATATTCTGTCTCATCATCAAAATTTCTTTCGAGACTATACGAAACAATATTTCCATTTGAACGGTACTCTTTATTATCGTATAAATGTTTGTTTGAAACAAATTTTTTGTGATTTGCCGCAAGGAACAAGGGAAGTTCGTCCTATTTTTTGGCTATATTTGCGTCACGTTTTTATGGTTCTCTACTCGTCTGTTGGCTAGATTTGCGCATTAATGTGCGAACGTCGGTTGTGGAATGTTCAAGTTTATTGCTGTGAACTAAAAGTTCGAAGTAATACTCGTTTCGTGTTGTTTGCAAGAACATAATCTTTTTAATAACACAATTATCGACCTGTTGAAATCAAAATGGTTGAAATGTTCGGAGAAAGGGTTTTCAAAAAGAAGCAATAAATACGCGAACTTTTACATCGTAATATGTGAGAGAGAAGGGTTCTTTTTTCTTGCGATCCGCCATTTAAAGTAGTGCAGCTAATTAATCAATGATTTAAACAGATGTGCTTTGTTTTGATTGTTTATAAAGCCAATACTTTTTTTGCAATTACTTGCGTATTTTTTTATTGCTATGTAATACTCAATACATGAGTTAATTATAAATTTATAGTCGATGATCTATTTTTACCTAGAAAACCACATGAATGTTAAATTCGGCCAACAGTTGGTTGTCAATGGCCATTACCCTAATCGTTTTTACACTTGACTGAGATGCAAACTGGAAATGGATCGCACGTCAAAGCACCTGGAGTGAAAACTTAGGTATTGATCATCTTCTTGCTCTTATATATTTTAAAACTTGGTATTATTAAGGTAAATTTGCGAAGAAAAATTTGCCACTTTACCAACGACTTGAACTTTTTCTGCGCATGCGTTCTGAGCCCGCTAAAATGAAACTCTGAAAATGTTTGCGAATTTTACACCAGAAAAACATAAGCGTCGTTCAAAGTGGACTTTCCTATCTCAGCTGACTTCCAGAGGTCAAGTAGTCTGGTCAGCCTCTGCCTCAAATAAAAACGACAATTAAACGGCGTTGTCGATTGTCCTTTACGATTTCGTCGGCCACTTGCTGATCGCATCTGCATAAACTAACTAATTATTTTATTTTTGGGATTACGTAAGCTTGAATGTCAGCACTCGTGGCGTTTCCTCGTGTGAGATTCACTTCTTTTGATCCATAAATAGCCGATCCCATTGGTAATGTATGTTTTTCTGAAATTCATACCCAATGGCATTTTTATAAAAATATCTAAAATTGAAAATGAGCGGCTGTATAATTTGTTTCGCCTTATCCTGGATTCGCTACGACCGTCTGCTGCTGGTGTGTTGGAAAATGAAAATGTCTTTAAATGTATTTCAATTGGAACTTGCATAGTTACAGCCGGTGCTCTTTATTAGAACGGTTATAATTAGCTAATTAGGGGGGCTTGGATTTCAGCATTCTAAAAATCTTTATGAACCAATCATTGCTGGCGGATTTCATGTATTAGTTGTTGTGTCACATGCAGCATTCACATAGCATCTGGGAAACATCAGGAATCAATGCCTATGTTTACAATAACAGCAAATATGAACATTGGTCCAGATCATTCGCAGTGTCTTTTTCATGCTGGTTATAGCTACTGTCAAGGCATAGGTCGTTTGCTTGTCATCATAAAAAAGAGTTTTTTTCACTTTTCCAGTATGCTACAAGCTATAGCTATACATTTTTAATCAGTCATGACGGTTTCAATGAGGTGGCTTCGTCAATTTCGCCTCATATATGGGCGATATTTTATTTAAAGAAAATGTTTTAAAGTGAATGGTTTGAACCCGGGAGTATCGTTACATGTTTATAGCTACATTTTGTTCGTCCATGTTGGTGCAGTCCTTTGAGAGATGTTGGTGTAATGGTGTTGAGTGACGTTTAGACATCCTTAGCGGTAGCCATCTTAGAAGTGCAGTGAAGAGTAATTATGTGATCTACAACATGCTTATTACTGGCATTTTGAAAAGCAGTGGCTTCCGAGCAACAATTGCAGTGGGATTGATTAACGTAGGGAAAGAAAGAAAAAGAAGACGATCTTCCAATGCCTCAACATCTCGAAAAAGACCAACCACTCAACCAAATGAAGAGATACGGCTTAATTAAAGAGATCATATGCGGTCCTGGGATGACGGACATCGTCAGAGATGTAAAATTTGCTCTACCTTTCGCTCTCATGTTGTCTGTAGCAAATACAATGTTTATCTCTGCTTCAATAAAGACAGAAATTGCATTATGGAATACCACACAAATAAATAAAATCATAAAGATTTCTACATAGTGACAGAATAACGTATTGATTGATTAGAACTCTTGTTATATTCACAATCTTTATGCTTTTGTTAATGAATACAATATAATTATTAACTCTAGTTTTTTTATTATACAAAGTAGCGCTTAATGCCCAATGTGACAAATCTGTCACAAATTTTTTTAAGAAGAAAAAATGGTTTTTTTAAAAATTTTTTTATTGAATTGTTATTGCTTGTTATCTTAAGGAAAAATACCAAAGAACAGATTTTTGCATTGAGTTTCTCCCTCTATGTGTATTTAAGGGTTAACAAAATACATTATTTTAATTTTTTTACATTTTTATTGTTAATTTATTAAAGATAAGCAATTTTGAATAGAAAAATCTTGTCTTAATTTTTTAGGTAAATTGTGCACAAATCATGATTTATACATTATTACATTAATTCTTAATTGTATCAATATTTTTCAAGATACTAACTTTTCTAAACGAAATGTTTATTTTTTAAGTTTTTTTATAATTTTTGTTATACAATCAATAAAGGCAAACATGTTTAAATAAAAAATATTAGTCCATGTTTTTCAGCAAAATTATGCATAAATCAAGATTTTAACGGTGTTTGATCATTTTGCAATTATAACACTATTTTTAAAAACACTTATTTAAGTTTTTTTATAATTTTTGTTATATAATCAATAAAGGCAAACATGTCTATTATTTTTATTTTATATTTATTAAAGACAATCAATTTTAAATTAAAAATACTAGTCTTCCTTTTTCAGCAAAATTGCGCACAAATCATGATTTAAACGTTATTAGATTATTTTGTAATTGTATGACTATTTTTAATGACACTAAGATTTTTCTAAATAAATGTTCATTTTCATAAGTTTTTTTTAAAAATTTTTGTTTTAAATTTATTAAAGGTCACCAGTTTTAAAAAAAAATTAGTCCACGTTTTGTAGCAAAATCATGCACAAATCAAGATTTTAACGTTATTAGATAATTTTATCATTATAATACTTATTTTAAAAACACTAGATTTTTTGTTAAATGGATATTTTACTTTTGTTACATTTTATAATAAATTCATTTAAGTAAGCAATTTTAAATAAAAATTCTTGTCTTACATTTTGGATAAATTGTACACAAGTCATGATTTGAACGTTATTAGATTACTTTTAATTTAATAACTGTTTTTAAGACACTAAGTTATTTTAACAAGAAGATTATTATGTAAGTTTTTATTATTTTTATTTTATATTTATTAAAGACAATAAATTTTAAATTAAAAATACTAGTCTTTTTTCAGCAAAATTGCGCACAAATCATGATTTAAACGTTACTAGATTATTTTGTAATTGTATGACTATTATTAATGACACTAAGTTTTTTTAAATAAATGTTTATTTTTTTAAGTTTTTTATAATTTTTGTTTTTAATTAATTAAAGGTAACCAATTTGAAATAAAAAAAAACTAGTCCAAGTCTTGTAGAAAAATTATACACAAATCAAGATTTTAAAGTTATTAGATTATTTTTTAATTATATCACTGTTTTCAAAACACTAAGTTATTTTTACAAAATGCATTGTTTTAATTTTTTAAAAAATTTTTATAGTTAATTTATTAAAGGCAAGTAGTTTTAAATAAAAAATTCTTCTCTTACTTTTTTGGATTAATTGTACACAAGTTATGATTTGAACGTTGTTAGATTACTTTTCAATTTAATGACTGTTTTTCAAAATACTAAGTTATTTTAACAAGAAGATTATTTGAATGTTTTATGCAGTGCGGTGTTTTGAAATTAAATGAGATATGATCTTCGCACTTAGCTGGACAATTTAAGCAATCGTCTCAGGACCTGAAAAAATCAGGTGACTCAACGGGATACGAACCCATGACCTCTGCGGTGCCGGTGCAGTGCTCTGACCACTGAGCTATGAAGTCACACAGTGGTGAGCAGGTCAATATTGTTGAGCTGATGTTTTCTCGTGAAATGAATGTCATGTGAATGTTTTATGCAGTGCGGTGTTTTGAAATTAAATGAGATATGATCTTCGCACTTAGCTGGACAATTTAAGCAATCGTCTCAGGACCTGAAAAAATCAGGTGACTCAACGGGATTCGAACCCATGACCTCTGCGGTGCCGGTGCAGTGCTCTGACCACTGAGCTATGAAGTCACACAGTGGTGAGCAGGTCAATATTGTTGGGCTCATGTTTTCTCGTGAAATGAATGTCATGTGAATGTTTTATGCAGTGCGTGTTTTGAAATTAAATGAGATATGATCTTCGCACTTAGCTGGACAATTTAAGCAATCGTCTCAGGACCTGAAAAAATCAGGTGACTCAACGGGATTCGAACCCATGATCTCTGCGGTGCCGGTGCAGTGCTCTGACCACTGAGCTATGAAGTCACACAGTGGTGAGCAGGTCAATATTGTTGGGCTGATGTTTTCTCGTGAAATGAATGTCATGTGAATGTTTTCATGCATGTTTCATGAGTTGATCTTCATAGCTGGTTGCAATCGTCTCAGGACCTGAAAATCAGGTGACGATTCGCATGATCTCTGTTGCAGTGCTCTGACCACTGAGCTATGAAGTCACACAGTGGTGAGCAGGTCAATATTGTTGGGCTGATGTTTTCTCGTGAAATGAATGTCATGTGAATGTTTTCGCATGACATTTCATGGGTTCGTTTCATGGGTTCGAATCCCGTTGAGTCACCTGATTTTTTCAGGTCCTGAGACGATTGCTTAAATTGTCCAGCTAAGTGCGAAGATCATATCTCATTTAATTTCAAACAGCACATTCACATGCATTTCACGAGAAAACATTCAATCCTGCTCACCACTGTGTGACTTTCAGTCAGGCACTGGCACTGCAGAGCTGAGTCCAGACTGTGCGAAGATCATATCTCATTTAATTTCAAAACACCGCACTGCATAAAACATTCACATGACATTCATTTCACGACATCAGCCCAACAATATTGACCTGCTCACCACTGTGTGACTTCATAGCTCAGTGGTTCACCGCAGAGGTCATGAGACCTGATTGCTGAGACGATTGCTTAAATTGTCCAGCTAAGTGCGAAGATCATATCTCATTTAATTTCAAAACACTGCACTGCATAAAACATTCACATGACATTCATTTCACGAGAAAACATCAGCTCAACAATATTGACCTGCTCACCACTGTGTGACTTCATAGCTCAGTGGTCAGAGCACTGCACCGGCACCGCAGAGGTCATGGGTTCGAATCCCGTTGAGTCACCTGATTTTTTCAGGTCCTGAGACGATTGCTTAAATTGTCCAGCTAAGTGCGAAGATCATATCTCATTTAAAGAAGATTATTATTGAAGTTTTTTTATTACTTTTATTTTATATTTCTTAAAGACAATCAATTTTCAACAAAAAGTACTAGTCTTCCTTTTTCAGCAAAATTGCGCACAAATCATGATTTAAACGTTATTAGATTATTTTGTAATTGTATGACTATTTTTAATGACACTAAGATTTTTCTAAATAAATGTTCATTTTCATAAGTTTTTTTTAAAAATTTTTGTTTTAAATTTATTAAAGGTCACCAGTTTTAAAAAAAAATTAGTCCACGTTTTGTAGCAAAATCATGCACAAATCAAGATTTTAACGTTATTAGATAATTTTATCATTATAATACTTATTTTAAAAACACTAGATTTTTTGTTAAATGGATATTTTTACTTTTGTTACATTTTTATAATAAATTCATTTAAGTAAGCAATTTTAAATAAAAATTCTTGTCTTACATTTTTGGATAAATTGTACACAAGTCATGATTTGAACGTTATTAGATTACTTTTTAATTTAATAACTGTTTTTTAAGACACTAAGTTATTTTAACAAGAAGATTATTATGTAAGTTTTTTATTATTTTTATTTTATATTTATTAAAGACAATAAATTTTAAATTAAAAATACTAGTCTTTTTTCAGCAAAATTGCGCACAAATCATGATTTAAACGTTACTAGATTATTTTGTAATTGTATGACTATTATTAATGACACTAAGTTTTTTTAAATAAATGTTTATTTTTTTAAGTTTTTTATAATTTTTGTTTTTAATTAATTAAAGGTAACCAATTTGAAATAAAAAAAAACTAGTCCAAGTCTTGTAGAAAAATTATACACAAATCAAGATTTTAAAGTTATTAGATTATTTTTTAATTATATCACTGTTTTCAAAACACTAAGTTATTTTTACAAAATGCATTGTTTTAATTTTTTAAAAAATTTTTATAGTTAATTTATTAAAGGCAAGTAGTTTTAAATAAAAAATTCTTCTCTTACTTTTTTGGATTAATTGTACACAAGTTATGATTTGAACGTTGTTAGATTACTTTTCAATTTAATGACTGTTTTTCAAAATACTAAGTTATTTTAACAAGAAGATTATTTGAATGTTTTATGCAGTGCGGTGTTTTGAAATTAAATGAGATATGATCTTCGCACTTAGCTGGACAATTTAAGCAATCGTCTCAGGACCTGAAAAAATCAGGTGACTCAACGGGATACGAACCCATGACCTCTGCGGTGCCGGTGCAGTGCTCTGACCACTGAGCTATGAAGTCACACAGTGGTGAGCAGGTCAATATTGTTGAGCTCATGTTTTCTCGTGAAATGAATGTCATGTGAATGTTTTATGCAGTGCGGTGTTTTGAAATTAAATGAGATATGATCTTCGCACTTAGCTGGACAATTTAAGCAATCGTCTCAGGACCTGAAAAATCAGGTGACTCAGCGGGATTCGAACCCATGACCTCTGCGGTGCCGTGCTCTGACCACTGAGCTATGAAGTCACACAGTGGTGAGCAGGTCAATATTGTTGGGCTCATGTTTTCTCGTGAAATGAATGTCATGTGAATGTTTTATGCAGTGCGGTGTTTTGAAATTAAATGAGATATGATCTTCACTTAGCTGGACAATTTAAGCAATCGTCTCAGGACCTGAAAAATCAGGTGACTCAACGGGATTCGAACCCATGACCTCTGCGGTGCCGGTGCAGTGCTCTGACCACTGAGCTATGAAGTCACACAGTGGTGAGCAGGTCAATATTGTTGGGCTCATGTTTTCTCGTGAAATGAATGTCATGTGAATGTTTTATGCAGTGCGGTGTTTGAAATTAAATGAGATATGATCTTCGCACTTAGCTGGACAATTTAAGCAATCGTCTCAGGACCTGAAAAATCAGGTGACTCACCGGGATTCGAACCCATGACCTCTGCGGTGCCGGTGCAGTGCTCTGACCACTGAGCTATGAAGTCACACAGTGGTGAGCAGGTCAATATTGTTGGGCTCATATTCATTTAATTTCACATGCATGTGAATGTTTTATGACATTCATTTCTGAAAAAAATGAGAACAATATTGACCTGCTGTGTGACTTCATAGCTCAGTGGTCAGAGCACTGCACCGGCACCGCAGAGGTCATGGGTTCGAATCCCGTTGAGTCACCTGATTTTTCAGGTCCTGAGACGATTGCTTAAATTGTCCAGCTAAGTGCGAAGATCATATCTCATTTAATTTCAGAACAGCACTGCATAAAACATTCACATGACATTCATTTCACGAGAAAACATAATATTGACCTGCTCACCGCTGTGTGACTTCATAGCTCAGTGGTCAGAGCACTGCACCGGCACCGCAGAGGTCATGGGTTCGAATCCCGTTGAGTCACCTGATTTTTTCAGGTCCTGAGACGATTGCTTAAATTGTCCAGCTAAGTGCGAAGATCATATCTCATTTAATTTCAAAACACTGCACTGCATAAAACATTCACATGACATTCATTTCACGAGAAAACATGAGCCCAACAATATTGACCTGCTCACCACTGTGTGACTTCATAGCTCAGTGGTCAGAGCACTGCACCGGCACCGCAGAGGTCATGGGTTCGAATCCCGTTGAGTCACCTGATTTTTTCAGGTCCTGAGACGATTGCTTAAATTGTCCAGCTAAGTGCGAAGATCATATCTCATTTAATTTCAGAACACCGCACTGCATAAAACATTCACATGACATTCATTTCACGAGAAAACATCAGCCCAACAATATTGACCTGCTCACCGCTGTGTGACTTCATAGCTCAGTGGTCAGAGCACTGCACCGGCACCGCAGAGGTCATGGGTTCGAATCCCGGTGAGTCACCTGATTTTTTCAGGTCCTGAGACGATTGCTTAAATTGTCCAGCTAAGTGCGAAGATCATATCTCATTTAATTTCAAAACACCGCACTGCATAAAACATTCACATGACATTCATTTCACGAGAAAACATGAGCCCAACAATATTGACCTGCTCACCACTGTGTGACTTCATAGCTCAGTGGTCAGAGCACTGCACCGGCACCGCAGAGGTCATGGGTTCGAATCCCGTTGAGTCACCTGATTTTTCAGGTCCTGAGACGATTGCTTAAATTGTCCAGCTAAGTGCGAAGATCATATCTCATTTAATTTCAAACACCGCACTGCATAAAACATTCACATGACATTCATTTCACGAGAAAACATCAGCCCAACAATATTGACCTGCTCACCACTGTGTGACTTCATAGCTCAGTGGTCAGAGCACTGCACCGGCACCGCAGAGGTCATGGGTTCGAATCCCGTTGAGTCACCTGATTTTTCAGGTCCTGAGACGATTGCTTAAATTGTCCAGCTAAGTGCGAAGATCATATCTCATTTAATTTCAAACACCGCACTGCATAAAACATTCACATGACATTCATTTCACGAGAAAACATGAGCCCAACAATATTGACCTGCTCACCACTGTGTGACTTCATAGCTCAGTGGTCAGAGCACTGCACCGGCACCGCAGAGGTCATGGGTTCGAATCCCGTTGAGTCACCTGATTTTTTCAGGTCCTGAGACGATTGCTTAAATTGTCCAGCTAAGTGCGAAGATCATATCTCATTTAATTTCAAAACACCGCACTGCATAAAACATTCACATGACATTCATTTCACGAGAAAACATGAGCCCAACAATATTGACCTGCTCACCACTGTGTGACTTCATAGCTCAGTGGTCAGAGCACTGCACCGGCACCGCAGAGGTCATGGGTTCGAATCCCGTTGAGTCACCTGATTTTTTCAGGTCCTGAGACGATTGCTTAAATTGTCCAGCTAAGTGCGAAGATCATATCTCATTTAAAGAAGATTATTATTGAAGTTTTTTTATTACTTTTATTTTATATTTCTTAAAGACAATCAATTTTCAACAAAAAGTACTAGTCTTTCTTTTTCCGCAAAATTGTGCACAAATCATGTTTTTAACATTATTAGATTATTTTGTAATTATATGACCATTTTTAATGACACTAAATTTTTTAAATAAATGTTTATTTTTTAAGTCTTTTTATTATTTTTGTTTTAAATTGAATAAAGGCAAACATGCTTAAATAAAAAATATTAGTACATGTTTTTCAGCAAAATTATGCACAAATCATGATTTTAACGTTGTTTGATAATTTTGCAATTATAACACTATTATTTTAAACACTATATTCTTTTAAAAATGGATATTTTCACATTTTTACATTTTTATAGTAAATTTGTAAAAAGCAAACAATTTTAAATAAAAAATTCTGGTCTTATTTTTTGGATAAATTGTACACATGTCATGGTTTTAACGTTATTAAATTATTTTTTAATGTAATAACTGTTTTTTACAACACTAAGTTATTTAAACAAGAAGATTATTATTTAAAGTGCTTATCTCAAAATATTTTTTTTGAATTTTCTGATTGAGGTAAAAAAATCATTGTAAATGTTATTTTACAATTTTCTGAATGATGGCTTCGTTTATGAGATAAATGCGTTTCTTTTCTCAAAATGGGCAATAATGGAGAAAAATTGCTGCGCGTTCAATTTGCTTGATGACAGCCTGAATCGAGAAGTATGTGACGTAACATAAAGACAGGAAGTTTTGTGAAGTGTGATTTTTGCTATAATTTTACTTAATCTACTATGGCTCTGCATCAAAATACCTGATAGATGTGCAGTTTTCGGCTGTTCAAACCGAGAAAATTTTGCGGAAGGAATTTCTCTTCACCGTATACCATTTTACGGTGATGAGCGTCCTGAAGCGAAGCGAAGACGTAAAATCTGGGTGAATTTTATTGCAAAAAAACGCGCTCAATGGACACCGACTAAGTATTCGGCTGTTTGTTTGTTTTACTTATGATGGTGATGGCAAAGTAATTTGGGCAAAGTTCAAATCTTTCCTGAGTCACATAGTAGACAAGCACACCAATTTGGATAATCTACTGTTTTCAAGTTGTTTTCATGGCCCTGATATTAAAGCAAGGGAATATTTGTTAGAAGGTTTGTGAAGGCATTATTTAAAGATAACTTCCCTAACAGTTTATCATCATTCTTTGTTGTAATGTTTAAGGTTCAGTTGCTCATGATAAGATTTGTGCTAAATTGTTAAACCCACAGCTGATGAAGTCAATTCACCAGGCTTCACCATTGAGTTCTATAATAACTGGAGCGGCTAACTGTACTGGGGCGAGGACGCCAAAAAAATGGCGGTCAACGGACGTATTTCCGTTGAAATGATCGCTTTGCAGAAAAATAATATTCTCGACCTCCCCCTGGTGTCTATAGTAAATTATAAAGATTTTTCAAAAACAAACACCATAACCCAAAATACGGATATCGTTAGTTCCATATTCTGTGACGATATCTTTTTTGGCATTTCTTTTATAATGCCAGCACTTCAATCGTTCAATTGTTGGATGTCGTAGTTTCCACAAAAAGGAACATATCGCTTCCCACAGGTGAGATAGTTGCTTGTTTTGTTAGTCCGTCAACGATTGAAAAGCAATTATACATGCACTTGAAAAGCCATAAAATACATATTAAAGATCGTATTTTTTAAGACTGACTTGAACGCCAAATATACTGATGTTTTCCTGCTTTTGTTTATAAAATTCTGCATACTTTTCTGTCATTTGTTAATGCATGAAATCGTAAATTTACCCGTCTATTTGCAAAATAGTTTCCCTAAAGCAAAAAAGACCCTGGACACATTTTTCTCTGTGAGTAAGTATCAAAAAGAAATGATCAGCCCAACAGTACCCATGATTTGGAGCAGAGCTTGTTATGTTCTATTTGCTGACAACATGCAGGGAAGATCAAGTAGTAAAGATGACTCGAAGACGTTATTGACCAGGCAGAGTCTTAAAAAAATGATAATGCTGTAAAGATAATTGATTTATTGTCTGCCCTATCCTGAGTTATTTAATTTGATAATGGTCAAATTCTATGGATGTAGACAATGGATTCACTAAGGATGCCTTGAATGCTTTGAAGTTAAAGTTCATGATCCAAAGAAAGATGGCAAGAAGGTTGTGTGTGTTTTGATGCTTAAAGAAATGTCAATTCACAAACATATAAAATGGGAAGGCCATAAAGTTTGTGTCTATGTAAACATTTGTACTGAGATTGATGATGACTCGATGCAAATGTGAAGCATCAAACTGTATAAGCCATTGGGTTTTATATAACTTAATTTTTAAATCATGTCATACCTTTATCAAAATATTTTAGTTGAGTGTTGTTTAAATGTTAATGTCTAATGCACTATACTGAAGCATTAAAGATTCATCATATGCATTATTGGAGATTTATCATATGCATTATTGCTGCTTTTTTAAAGAAAAGTTTTTCACTTTTCAAAGCTTTTTTACAAATTTTTTGCTTCTTATTTCTTTTCATGAGATTGATGATATAGAGGTAATATAATCCAATAACTTTATAATTTCTAAAAAGCTTTTAAGCTTCTAGCATTAAAGTACAGTATAGGTATTTAATTCGTTTGGTTTTATTGCCTTGCTATGACATATCTACTTGCACTTCATCATTCTTGTATGAACAAAACACCAGATGTGGATGAGTATCAAAATGCACTACCAACTGCTTATGAAATTTATTATTGAGGTGAAAACTGTGTTAATCATTCAAATTGTGCACTTTTATTGCAAATATAGGAAAAACAAAACAAAGTGAAAAAGAAGGGTAGAAGTATTAAAACTAAAAATTAATTATAAACACCATTGGGAGCATAAGTGTTTTGATGATTATTTGCATTTTACCCAATTCATATATCAATACAACAAAATCAAAATGTGCTACAACTTTACAAGTATTTGATGCAGTTGCACTTCAGAACATCACAAAAAGGTTACTTAAAGTAATTTCTATACAATATTGTTTGTTTTCATTTACCAAACCTATGCAGACTTGAGTCTTTTTGAAATTTAACATGAAACTCAATTACAGAAGATCCGTAAATATCCAGAGATTTACTATTTACATTTTTAAAGAAACAAGTAAAAATCCTACAATTGTGGCGCAAAAAGACATTGCCTATTGCACGAAAAGAAGCAAAATAGGAATGATAACAAATAAGCCTAATTCTCTCCCGTGAACCACCGTGGAGATTAACTATGATATACTTTTTTGTATAGACTAAAGAGTTTAATCGATCAAACATGTTTGACGCTGGTAAGAAAATGACGCATATCTGCGTTCATAGATGTGTAGCCGACATATAGCTCTTTCGTCGATAGTTATAAATGCATCCTCGTAGGAGCCGATAACTGGAAAGCACAGTTGACTCGCTGTTACGAATTGTAGGGTTTTATCGTGATTTTCATCAAAAAAATTGCTTGCCGAATCCCAAATACACACATACATTTTCCTCACTCTTTCCTCAGGAAGGAGTGGGAAATCGTGAAATTTCGGATAAGCGGTCAATTTCGGTAAATCTCAGCGGCAACAGATATCTAAGGCCGCGCTTGAGATAGCCGCTCCAGTTATTATAGAACTCAAAGGGCTTCACCAGTTGCTCAAACAAGTTGTTTGGAAGGATTCTATTTTGTCCTGAATCATTTTGCTCCAAAAATGTTTCATTATTCCTAGGTTGGAATGTATTGCAGGTGGGATATTTCCAATATGACAATGTTAGTTCTTTTGCAACTTCCACAAGTCTTTATTGTTTTAGACACATTTGGGCATCGATCCACTTCAACAACAACTTAAGGTGTGATGTAAAGATGAAAAACTCTCTAAAAACTCTCTAAAAATGATACTCTCTATAAGCCATCGCTGAAGGAACATGTTTTCTGGATGAGGAAGTACCATCTGGGGAAGAAAACGATTCGCCATTTGAAGAAGAACTACATGCAGTTGGTGAAGATATTTGTGAATCCCAGTCTCCATGTAAATCGTGCCATCGTCTTAAGAAAAAACTTACATCTTTACAAAAGACTTTAAGCTGGTATAAAAAGACAAAAGCATCTTAGAAGAAAAAGGCCCAGAAGTTGCAAAATGAATATCAAAGCGAAATCAGGGAAAATCGTAATACATCCGTGGTGACCAGCATTAATATAGACGATGGAATGCAGGGGAGTGCTGAACAGCTTTTGAATGAGAATCATACATGGACTACTCCTCTTTTGAAGAGTCTAGTCAGAGTGAAGATTTAGATGAAGATACTACAAGTAATACAGTCAGGTATTTTATCTTATAAAGAATTAGATCTCTGTTGTATTTCATAATAATGAATTTTCTTAATCGTGTTACAGAATTGATGAAGGAGCAAGCTCGCATGAACAACCTATGTTCATGGTATTTTACATCTCATTGGTTGAGTTATTTGAAAAATTTTGCTTTAACTTCAAGGCTGAAAATCCAAAAGTACACATTAAAAACATTGGTTCGATGGCCATTGTCGTGCAAAATTGTGGTAAATGTGATGAAAAGAACTTTATGTGTTAAACACAAGCAGGTAAAGGCCGAGTATTCTCCGATCCCATAGACCCACAAAACCATCACATCAACCATCTGTATGCCACAGCTCTCAAGTACCTGAAGTTAATAAAAAGGTTGGACTAATTATTGTTGATGAAACAATGTTGATGATAACATTGTTTCTCATACAATTTACAATCTTACATATTTAATGATTGTGATGCTTGGCGGCGATAAGCACGTCCAATAGTGGCCCGACGTTTTCATGGACAGCCTCATGAACTAAAGGCCCAAATTTGGCATGCTGTGCTATGCATGATATTTTCTCAATGCTGCCATCGAATGCCATTTTCTGCAAAGCTGGTCCTATTTCCTTACAGCATCTGTACTCTAATAAGCCTTCTAACAAATCGGTATGACAGCATTGACAAATACACCTAAAACGTGGGAGCATTGTGGCTTATAAAGTAACTTTATGTATATTACAAACAGGAGAAAACAACAACTTACCATTCACCGAGTGGAATTACGCCATCACTTCGTTGTTCTAATGTCGCAGGGAGAATTCCATCGGGATCATCTGGAGTATGCACTTCATCACCATCTACTGCGAGCGGCTCATCGTCATATGCGAAGTCGTTTAAATGCTCGACATAACCCACGTATTCCGAGCTCGAATCAGATACGCATTCAGACATCGAATTCGAATTATCTGAGCACTGATTTGAGGCCATACTTTCCGGATAACTTGTTTTTTAATATTTTATTGAAAATACTGTCATTATTTGTTTTTAAGACAAGAAAAACGACAACAAAATCACCTCCTATAATATAATATTATATTGACGGAAACAGACGTGTTCAACTATCTACGTCACAAGTATCAATATGGCGTCGTAAAAAATTCGCAAATAGTACCCGATTTTGGAGGCAAAATTATGGAACTTATATTTATCTGTTTAAGTCCAGCGACATGTCATAGTTCTTTAAATAATCCAAATTTTCAATTAAGCTCATAAAAAAGGGGGGATAAAATTCGTAATATAAGCACTTTAACAAAAAGAACTTTTACAAAAATTGGATTTCCACCCCTCCTGAAAATGAATTTTATCATAATTCAAAATTTTCATCAAAAGACTATAATTTATGCATTTGAACACATTTTCCACAACAAAAAGAACTTTTGCAAAAATAGGACTTCCACCCCTGAAAATGAATTTCATAATTCAAAATTCAAAATTTTCATAATCAATAGTATTCCACCCCCTTGAAAATGAATTTTATTATATTTCAAAATTTTATCAAAAGACTCTAATTTATTCATTTGAACACATTTTTCACAACAAAAAGAACCTTTACAAAAATTGGATTTCCACCCCTCCTGAAAATGAATTTTATCATATTTCAAAATTTTCATCAAAAAACCATAACTTATGTAATTAAACACATTTTCCACAAAAAAACAACTTTTACAAAATTGATTTCCACCCCTGAAAATGAATTTTATCATATTTCAAAATTTTCATCAAAAGACTATAATTTATGCATTTGAACACATTTTCCACAACAAAAAGAACTTTTACAAAAATTGGATTTTCACCCCTCCTGAAAATGAATTTTATCATATTTCAAAATTTTCATCAAAAAACCATAACTTATGTAATTAAACACATTATCCACAACAAAAAGTACTTTTACAAAAATTGGATTTCCACCCCCCCTGAAAATGAATTTCATATTTCAAAATTCAAAATTTTCATAATCAATAGGAATTCCACCCCCCTGAAAATGAATTTTATTATATTTCAAAATTTTCATCAAAAGACTATAATTTATGCATTTGAACACATTTTCCACAACAAAAAGAACTTTTACAAAAATTGGATTTACACCCCTCCTGAAAATGAATTTTATCATATTCCAAAAATTTCATCAAAAAACATAATTTATGTAATTAAACACATTTTCCACAACAAAAAGAACTTTTACAAAATTTGGATTTCCACCCCCCCTGAAAATGGATTTTACATATTTCAAAATTTTCATGAAAATACTATAATTTAATCAATTTAAACACATTTTCCACAACAAAAAGAACTTTTATAAAAATAGCAAATTCACCTCATTTGAAAATGAATTTTATCATATTTCAAAATTTTCATGAAAAGACTATAATTTATGCATTTGAACACATTATCCACAACAAAAAGAACTTTTACCAAAATAGGATTTCCACCCCTCCTGAAAATGAATTTTATCATATTTCAAAATTTTCATCAAAAGACCATAATTTATGCAATTAAACACATTTTCCACAACAAAAAGAACTTTTACAAAAATAGGAAATCCACCCCCAGAAAATGAATTTTATCATATTTCAATATTTTCATCAAAAGACCATAATTTATGCAATTAAACACATTTTCCACAACAACAAAAACTTTTACAAAAATTGGATTTCCATGCCTCCTGAAAATGAATTTTATCATATTTCAAAATTTTCATCAAAAGACTATAATTTATGCATTTGAACATATTTTCCACAACAAAAAGAACTTTAACAAAAGTAAGAATTCCACCCCACCTGAAAATTTATTTTATTACATTCAAATTTTTATAAAAAGACTATAATTTATGCATTTGAACACATTTTCCAGATTAAAAAGAACTTTTACAAAAATAGGAATTCGACCCCCCCTGAAAATGAATTTTATCATAATTCAAAATTTTCATGAAAAGACTATAATTTATGCAATTTAAACATATTTTCCACAACAAAAGAACTTTTATAAAAATAGCAAATTCACCCCATTTGAAAATAAATTCTATCATATTTCAAAATTTTCATGAAAAGACTATAATTTATGCATTTGAACACATTTTCCACAACAAAAAGAACTTTTAACAAAATAGGATTTCCACCCCACCCTAAAAATGAATTTTATCATGATTCAAAATTTTCATCAAAACACTATTTTCAAATTGAATAGAGGTTATAGAAGACACACTACGTATGCTCATTGGTGTTTCACAAGAGTATACATTATAGGATAACTATGGATCCAACTAGTCTAAACAACTAGGTACATTTAAGCAAACATCTTTCCCATCGTAAACACACGTGTCAAAGAAACGTGATCAAATTACAAAATTCGTTTAATCAAATAGTCGGACATGGTATTGTATTTGTAGAAGAGAGCCAATAAAATAAAAAGATTCTCTTGGGGCATTTTTAAATATTAGTTTAGAAATACAGATCGACTGATTATAAAGGCAGAAGATGTAAGAGTGAATAAAAACCATTTCGCGTCAAATCAAAGGAAAGCTTGGATATGACATGCAATATGCAGGTATAATGTTCTAGAGAAAAATAAAAAACATTTTTAACGTTGTCACGGATATTACGAGTGCCGTAACAAATTGTTGACGAGTTTCACATGCATTTAACAAAACAAGCTTAAGTAGACAAAGAGCATGCCAAAAATATATGATGGAAAACTTGCTCAGCGCATCTACAAGCACCAATTTCAGAGCTCGCTCTGTCACAAATTAATTGAGAATCTGAGCATGCGTTGTCAACTCCACAAACTCTCCAAGCTCATGGTAACAACCAACTGGATGTACTAGTACCGATTTTGGAGTAATTAGCTCGCTCAATCACACGTTTTAAGACATTTCATCTGCGCATGCGCAGTGTCTTTGAACATGCGCAGTCAACTTGACCAGCTACCCAAGTTCATGGTCATGGCAACGACCAACTGCATCTACTAGTACCAATTTTGAAGTAAATAGCATGCTTAGTAACAATTTAATAGAGAAATCGTCTGCGCATGCGCTCGGGTAATTGTTCATAGTCATGACAACGACCAACTATATGTACTTGCACTACATTTGTGTCAATTAACTCACTTAGTCGCAAATTATCAAAGAAATCATCTGGGCATGCGCACTAACGATAACAATCATCCCACAACTTTCGTACGCCTTTAAATTTTGGTATATATATATAAAGCTAAAACTTCATATAGTAGATGTCAAGTAGCAGTGGAAGCTGTGTGCGATATAGTATTCAGTGGCTTAGGCCGCACTCTCCCTGCGTACCCTGAGCAAAGCCTATCGCAGGTGATCTCAGAGTCTGATGGGCGGAAGCTTGCTATTGGCATCTCCCAAGTAGGATAGCGTGGAGGTGCGGAAATCTCCTACCGAAACGTTAACATGCGGCGTTCTAGTGCCTTGCGCTTAAGAAGGTATCGGGAAGCATGGACCGAAAACGGGGTTTTCTGCTTTCTAATTTTATCTTTTTGTTTTCTTCTCATAAAACAATACAAGCAATGTTTCAATTAACTTCTTACGACCCTGTCTTTTTCTGACACTTATAATTAAAGACAACCTTAAACAAGTTTTATACCAATTTTATCGTTTTATATCTTTCTGATTTAACTCTCCCATTTACTGTTTCTCATGTATCACGAGCAAACCATCCATATGTTTCATGGAAAACAAACAAGGATTATGTGGTTCCCTTAGTTAACATGCGACGCTCTAGTGCTCAACTATCTCGGGGTATCTGGAGGCATGGACCGAAAACGGGATTCTTTGGTTTTCAAAATTTATCTTTTTCTTTACATGAATTCTTCATATAAAAAACTAGAACGTCCAAGGATACTTCAAAGGTTCAAACAACTTCTGCCTTTTGAACTATAACTCAAACAAACACTAAGCATGTTTATACGTTTTTTACTTATTACCTTTTACAACGTAACTTTCTCATAACTCTCTCGTGATGAACGAGAGCCTCCTTATACAATATGACTCTTTCATCATGAACGAACGCATCCGTGGGCTTCACGGAAAAAAGGGATTATGTACTTTGTTATAATAGTTTCTACAAAGATAACATTTATTAAGCTAAGAAATTTGAAAATAAATATATTTGAGTTATTAGGAAATAACAAGTCAAGAATTCATTGATCATACTTATTCCAATTGGTCTGGAACAACCACGACATTTATAATTTTGACCATCCAACCCTTTATCAAGGGCTATATTATTAATTAAGGACTGTAACTTCATACGTCGTTCTTGCTGAACACCTTCAGGTGAAGTAGGATCATCAATAATCTGTTATATATAAAAACATAATTTATCCATAGAATTATAGCAAAGTTACGACGGACAGATGAGAGTTATTAACGCTATAAAACTTAAATTCAATATATCGTATAAAGTACCTCAAATCCCGGCGATTTCTCGTATCGAAAGGATTCTAAAGTAAAGGTGATAATTAAGATGAGAAATTTCGAAGAATTGAAACTAGAGAATTTTTCAACAAAAAAATGTTGAAAATACCTGTACTACGACAAGATTCTTCAATGTCTATGCTCTAAAATAATAGTCATAAAACGACAATTTCAAAAGCATAAAAACTAAGTATTTGTAACATTGGTGAAAGATACAGGATGAACATGAAACCTTCTCAGAAGACGATGGAACGAGACCATAACCATTTGATGTGAACTTCTTCCTAACAACGTTTGCGTAATCCGTTAGCATACCATGAAAACTAACTTCTGGTTTAGGCGACGCTTTACTAGAACCCTCCTCAACGTCTTCAGGACAATTAACGTCTACTGAACTAGTGTCACAAGGCTCAATGACGATGACCAACCACTAGCCATACCTAACATGTTACCACCAGAGATCTTTCTTGGGTAGATCAAGTCTTTCGGAACTTCAGACAAGGGTTGCGTTGAGCTGAGAACTAAAAAAGAACAAAGATGGATAGATGATGAAGTGGAGAACAAGAATAGAGGTTAAAGAAGACACACTACGTATGCTCATTGGTGTTTCACAAGAGTATACATTACAGGATAACTATGGATCCAACTAGTCTAAACAACTACGTACATTTAAGCAATCCAACTTTCCCATGGTAAACACATGTGTCAAAAAAAGTGATCAAATTACAAAATTCGTGCAATCAAATAGTCGGACATGGTATTGTATTTGTAGAAGAGAGCCAATAAAATAAAAAGATTCTCTTGAGGCATTTGTAAATATTAGTTTAGAAATACAGATCGACTAATTATAAAGGCAGAAGATGTAAGAGTGAATAAAAAACCATTTCCCGTCAAATCAAAGGAAAGCTTGGATATGACATGCAATATGCAGATATAAAGTTGTAGAGAAAAATAAAAAACATTTTTAACGTTGTCACGGATATTACGAGTGCCGTAACAAAGTGTTGACGAGTTTCACATGCATTTGTAAAAACAAGCTTAAGTAGACAAAAAGCATGCCAAAAATATATGATGGAAAACTTGCTCAGCGCATGTACAAGCACCAATTTCAGAGCTCGCTCTGTCGCAAATTAATTGAGAATCTGAGCATGCGTTGTCAACTCCACAGTCTCCAAGCTCATGGTAACGACCAACTGGATGTACTAGTACCGATTTTGGAGTAATTAGCTCGCTCAGTAAAACTTTTTAAGACAAATCATCTGTGCATGCGCAGTCTGATTGAGCATGCGCTGTCAACCTGACCAGCTACCCAAGTTCGTGGTCATGGCAACGACCAACTGCATCTACTAGCACCAATTTTGAAGTAAATAGCATGCTTAGTTACAATTTAATAGAGAAATCGTCTGCGCATGTGCTCGAGCATGCGCAGTCCACTCGAGTAATTGTTCATAGTCATGACAACGAGCAACTATGTGTACTTGCACTACATTTGTGTCAATTAACTCACTTAGTCGCAAATTATCGAAGAAATCATCTGGGCATGCGCAGTAACGATAACAATCATCCCACAACTTTCGTACGCCTTTAAATTTTGGTATATATATATAAAGCTAAAACTTCATATAGTAGATGTCAAGTAGCAGTGGAAGCTGTGTGCGATATAGTATTCAGTGGCTTAGGCCGCACTCTCCCTGCGTACCCTGAGCAAAGCCTACCGCAGGTGATCTCAGGGTCTGATGGGCGGAAGCTTGCTATTGGCATCTCCCAAGTAGGATAGCGTGGAGGTGCGGAAATCTCCTACCGAAACGTTAACATGCGGCGTTCTAGTGCCTTGCGCTTAAGAAAGTATCGGGAAGCATGGACCGAAAACGGGTTTTCTGCTTTAATTTTATCTTTTGTTTTCTTCTCATAAAACAATACAAGCAATGTTTCAATTAACTTCTTACGACCCTGTCTTTTTCTGACACTTATAATTAAAGACAACCTTAAACAAGTTTTATACCAATTTATCGTTTTATATCTTTCTGATTTAACTCTCCCATTTACTGTTTCTCATGTATCACGAGCAAACCATCCATATGTTTCATGGAAAACAAACAAGGATTATGTGGTTCCCTTAGTTAACATGCGACGCTCTAGTGCTCAACTATCTCGGGGTATCTGGAGGCATGGACCGAAAACGGGATTCTTTGGTTTTCAAAATTTATCTTTTTCTTTACATGAATTCTTCATATAAAAAAAACTAGAACGTCCAAGGATACTTCAAAGGTTCAAACAACTTCTGCCTTTTTGAACTATAACTCAAACAAACACTAAGCATGTTTATACGTTTTTTACTTATTACCTTTTACAACGTAACTTTCTCATAACTCTCTCGTGATGAACGAGAGCCTCCTTATACAATATGACTCTTTCATCATGAACGAACGCATCCATGGGCTTCACGGAAAAAAGGGATTATGTACTTTGTTATAATAGTTTCTACAAAGATAACATTTATTAAGCTAAGAAATTTGAAAATAAATATATTTGAGTTATTAGGAAATAACAAGTCAAGAATTCATTGATCATACTCATTCCAATTGGTCTGGAACAACCATGACATTTATAATTTTGACCATCCAACCCTTTATCAAGGGCTATATTGTTAATTAACGACAGTAACTTCATACGTCGTTCCTGCTGAACACCTTCAGGTGAAGTAGGATCAGCAATAATCTGTTATATATAAAAACATAATTTATCCATGGAATTATAGCAAAGTTACGATGGACAGGTGAGAGTTATTAACGCTATAAAACTTAAATTCAATATATCGTATAAAGTACCTCAAATCCCGGCGATTTCTCGTATCGAAAGGATTCTAAAGTAAAGGTGATAATTAAGATGAGAAATTTCGAAGAATTGAAACTAGAGAATTTTTCAACAAAAAAATGTTGAGAATACCTGTACTACCACAAGATTCTTCAATGTCTATGCTCTAAAATAATAGTCATAAAAACGACAATTTCAAAAAGCATAAAAAAACTAAGTATTTGTAACATTGGTGAAAGATACAGGATGAACATGAAACCTTCTCAGAAGACGATGGAACGAGACCATAACCATTTGATGTGAACTTCTTCCTAACAAGGTTTGCGTAATCCGTTAGCATACCATGAAAACTAACTTCTGGTTTAGGCGACGCTTTACTAGCAACCTCCTCAACGTCTTCAGGACAATTAACGTCTACTGAACTAGTGTCACAAGGCTCAATGACGATGACCAACCACTAGCCATACCTAACATGTTACCACCAGAGATCTTTCTTGGGTAGATCAAGGCTTTCGGAACTTCAGACAAGGGTTGCGTTGAGCTGACAAAAACACTCTGTCTATTGCTGCATGAAGGCAAAATAGTTAATTGACAGTGTAGGCAAAGAAATTTATCAATTTCTATAGATATTATTGTGTACTACTTACAGTCTCTTGGAATTGTGTAATGTATGTCAAGAACAAGATATAAGTTTTATATAATGCTAACCCCTTCGAGCACTACTACTCTTCTGTTTTGCTTGAACAGCTTACAGCAACCAATACTAATTATTTATATGTACAAACTAACTTTTGGGAATTAAATGATAAACAACTTGATAAATCTTTGTATTTTCCATCAAGCCTTTGAATTTGTTTCTTTTATCTATTGGTGAAAAAATATTCATGAAAGACTTACAAATCAAGTTTCTCAAAGATAGTATTTTGTACAAAGAAACTAAACATAATTGAAAGGTCACATGTCGAAGACAGAATTTGCTTCTTTGACTAAGTTGCTTGACCATGAGCAATTTAAATTTGTTTACAATTTGTTTAAAGAATTCTTTTATTGATTTGTACTAATTCTTCATAAGACACAAAGAATTTCTTTGCCATCTATTTTGCTTCCTCTACATTCAACTTCATTGTAACCAATGCATCTGATGTGAATTTGTGGATCACCTGGAATCATACCAAGTATGTATTTGGTGAGATGAGACAATAATATGTTTAACTTTTCATGCATATTAATGATATAATCATAAGCTATTGTTGAAGAAATATTTCAAGGTAGGAGCAAATCTTAGCACATTGTTCAACACACTTCTTTTATCTTGGTTTTGAAGTAGTAACCTGTTTACTATAACAATAAATACTTCACTTACAGAAACGCTAAGTAGTACTTTAAAACTGTTTGCATAAATCCAACTTTTCAAACCCATTATAATTGTCTACACTATACAGTCAAATTGAGCAGGCAAGTAGTTTAATAGTTATTTTTATTATACGGCTGTTGAGTTCGTGTTACTCGCCATATCTCAATTTCGTATTATACTTTTCTCTTTCAGTAACAACAACGAGTAAACTTAGTGAATGAACTGATTTTTATTATTTTACAAGGCAGTATTTATAATATTCTCTACAATTAGCAAATAATATTATTGGTCAAAATAATTCATCTAATCTAACTATATAAGGTATATAAGGAAATTCTACTAACGTCAATAACTGTTCCTTGGGTGTTAACCGCATGGGAACGGATACAATGGTTGACCAAACTACGTATTTACTGCTTCCCTTTACGTAACTCTGCGGTTTATGAGCATGACTCAACAACGGCATATACCATAGTTTTCATTAACTTTGCATGGCATTGCATTCAATTTCAACACAACTCTGTTGTAAACTTTCCCTTCATCTTTAAAAAATAAATATGAACAAATTCTGCCCCATTTTGGGAGGTAAACTCAATTTAAATCAGGAGAGTTTAGCTTGATCATGATGCAAAACTGGATAAAATCGGCAACTTTGCCACGTCTGGCGAGCGATAAAGTGAAGAACAAACAAGACTGGACCAAAATAACTTTAAATTAAAACTTAGTAGTAAAAACTCTTCAAGTATTGTGTTAAAACAAAATAGTAAAACTACTACTGTGCTACTTACCGGAGTCATGAAATGTTTCCTTTTCTGTCGCTATTTCACCATCCGCAAACACGGAAGCTTGCAGATTGTTTAATAAATAAAATTTTAAAAAAGTGTTTATGTTAGGAAAATAGTTCCGATATTTTCATAGATACAGTAGGTCTATACTCCCAATCGTGGTGGTCAAATCAGGGTGGGCGACAAAATTTTTATTTCATGAGCCCGCGTCTCTCCGCTGACTTTGACCACCAAAATCCGCCATGTTTTTGACCACGCGGCTGCGCGCTAATAATTTATAGTAATTTTGTTGACGTTCCCCTCCAGGTCTTATAGAACTCAATGGCTTCGACAAGTCTAGGCATGTGTATAGTGAGTTAGCTTTCCAGTTGTTGTAGAGTTCACTGGTTCCAAACAAGCGCCCATTCGATTCAAAATAGCGACATTATCCATCGCTTCGCCTTTTTCTTTCTTCTCAGAAGAAAAGACATCTATAAACAAAGGGGGAAAACCACTTTAAGTCAGATCACATTGAAGCATTTACTTACCAGCAGAGTGTTTTACAAGAAGTACACGCAAGCATGAAACAAAACGTTTTTTGCGCTATGGTAACGTGACGTCACACTTAAGGACTCAATGTGAGCGTTTATTCGGCTAATGAATAACGCGACTAAGAGTGAGAAAATAGTGTTTGTAGGCTATTTCTCTCTCGGGATTGTATTTAACAATGCGTAACATATTCCTGTGCCAAATATGAAGTTTTGTAAAAAGAAAAAAGTTATCGCATTCCATGTAAGAAACCATGGAGGCTTAATACACGAATTGCACTGTTCAGCAGCTTGTTTATTGTACATATTGAGCGTGGGATACAATTTCATGTTATATCCTTCGCAGCATCCTACACATAAAGGACAGTTATAAATCAACAAATTTTGTGAGAACATAAAAACGGCCATTTTTGGATCAATAAGTTCGCTTCAAGTAAAATAGGAAGAGTATGGCAGTTTAGCTGAATGATTTTTCCAATGAAACTTATCAACAACAAATTTTGCTTTCTTAAAACATGCTGGATCTCGGTTCAAACAATACTCGTGCAATCTGCAGGCATTATCGTAAATGACCAACTCTGGCGCTAAAGAAATAAAAATACATAAGCATATCATCAGGCACATTCGGTTATGTTACTGAACTGAAAACTCTGTCAGGCGACTAAACCGTCACGCAATCTGTCCGATTCACTGATAATACTCTGTTTGTAGCACCATAAAAGGTACACGCATGCGTAACTTACCATCAGGAAAACGTGTTCGTAAAATGGTAAATGGGATATTTGGTGATTCGTGATCCCTCATATAGTCCTAAGCCCCTTTGAAGATATCTATAAATACGAGAAATTGTAGTATAATATGAGCTCTGGAGTGGTCATACAAAATTTTGTACTCGTGGGGTAATAAATTCTTCTTACTTCAGATTTTAATTCTTGAAATTCGTCCCAACGCAGCTTTGAATCACTGTACTTCTTCAATAAAGCTCGCACATTTCTCCTGTTGATGAAATTGCGCATTTCAAACCTAGTATTGGACAAAAGAAAACAGGTTGTTATTTTTATAACTATAAGCTGTGTACAAAAACAAAGTGAGAAAAGTCACCATCATGCATAAAATGCTTTCTGATACGTAGATGAACACTCGTATTTACTAATTAGCAGACCTGTATATATTATATATTACAGATAAACTTCAAAAAATACTTATCTTCCATCTAGCAATCCAGTATCAGACTCTCTTAAATTATTTGGTAAGAAAGTTTTCTGTATTTCAAGAGTTGTTCCATCCATCACCACCTTCTGGGGAATTCTTCCACATAATTCACAAAAAAACTCATTGTCAAAATCAATATCAAGCAATCTTAATAAGAGAAAATTCAATAACTTAATAAAACAAGCGATCACTATCTCAATGGAATATTCATATTTTACAGCTGAAAATGAAATGATGCTTACCGTATCATGGCAATGATAGCGAGACGAAACTTGGCGTAAGTTATTTCCTTTGGGAAATTCAAATTACCGAAGACACTCGCCTTTGTACATATGCAACATAATATTTGTACATAGGTAAACTGAACAAGAATAAAAAGAAAAACATGGTTCTTATTTTTAAAACAGGTTCTTATTTTTATAACTATAAGCTGTGTACAAAAACAATTTCCGCTGGGTAACTGTTACAAACGGATCATTGGGACACGGGATCATTGGGACACATTTCAAACGGGATCATTGGGACACATTGGTTACAACGGATCATTGGGACAAATTTCTTTGCCTACACTGTCAATTAACTATTTTGCCTTCAACTATTTTGCCTACACTGTCAATTAACTATTTTGCCAAAATACAATTTCCGCTGCGTAACGGTTACAAACGGATCATTGGGACACACTATCCTATTTGTACAATAAATATTAGCACGCGCCATAAGTCTGACCGCAAGTATACCTGGATGGTAAGTCATTCCTGTAAGCTCATCCACCATCTACTTACGATGCCATCCACAATATCATCGTTGCTGATGTACTTTTGAAACAAATTGCATTCCTCGTGATTTTTAAACTCAAGTTCTTCATATTACTGCTGACCATCAACGTCTTTGTGTCTCGCAGGCACTACAATATTAAATATGCTGCTTTACTATTTGTTGACATGGATTTGTTAAAAGTTCGAAACTGTAAATGTTTTCATAATCTGCGACGCGAACGTCCATGAACAACAATAGAAATTTATTGCATTTTCAAAGGTCCCGTGTCCAGTCCCTCTCCCTCCAGTTGCTAAGCTCCGCCCACCCCACTCTTTTGCTTTCCAATAGTGCCCAATCCCTCTCCCTCGTAAAAATAGACACACAAACTTGTCTAGAAACTAGTGAAAATCTAGCCAAACGTTAATTGAGTTCCTCCTCCAAATGGTTGAAAGATGAAATTTCTGCGACAATTCCGCGTTCCTTTGCCATGTCGCAGTCGAGTTTTGTGCTGCATAGAATAACAGACAAGGCCTGATTTAAAGGAGATTCACCGTAAGACAAAATTAAATTTTTTTAAAGCATCTCGGTTCTTTCATAAAATAAATAATGTTTCACGATACACTTTTTTTGAGGAGGGGGGAATAGAGATAGGGAGTGAAGCATTTTGGGGAACTTAGATAAAGCTATTCGTAGTTTTAATTACTTTCCAATCTCACAGTTAACACCTAAGACCATAACACATCCTCTAGGTTCAAGAAAAGAAAACATTTTAATGTTTATATAAAGTGATCAATAGGCGTGTATACAACTCAGACATAACATGGCATAAATGAGGTAAAGTTAGAGGGCAACATGCAACTGGAGGATGACCCACTCCACAAACTTCGTTTGAAAAGTTGCTTTAAAAAACACGACGAATATGTCAACTGAAATAAAAATTATGTAATGTTGTAATGAGGAGTCACTAGAGGGGTGAACAAAGTACTCTATTATATTAAGGGTGTGGGTAAAGAGGAAGTATGGAGGTAAAGGAAACTGAACCCGTCGAGGTTTAATATCGCCACGTTACCATATAAATTTTTTCACTTTGGGGAATTCCGTCAGAATGTATTATTGACGTGTTTATTGCATTTATTGGCGAAGTAAATTGACCAATCAAAAACGACTCAATAAACGTTTGACATATAATATTCAACAAAGTTCGGCTGTTTTAAAAATTATATCAATTCCTTTCTTTTTTCCACAAAACTCTCAAAAATGACTTAAATGTTAGTGACGTGACGGTACGCGCAAAAAACTCTTTTGAGACAATCACTAATTTCCATATTAAATATAACTCTGATATTAAACAGTTGAAAACACAGATGAAGTCAGACCAGCTAAGATGAGTAATTTTATAAACTCAATACTATTACCTTTTCTGAAGCAAAGACTATATCACACAATGCGAGAAGGGAAAGACAAAATCCAGCTGTTGGACCGTTTACCGAAGCGATCAAAGGTTTAGGACACGTGACACGAAGTCGTAGGTCGTATTTATTGCAGGTCTACACCACAATCTGAATAATCTGCACCTCTATGCAATTAACGGCATAAATGTGCCATTCAATAAACAAACCAAAAATCAGTACCATCAATAAAAATCATTGAGATTTTCACAAGAACAATAGAGATAAATCAAGAGGCCTATAATCATTTATCACAAAACCTTTTCTATTGATGATGTCGGCTATAACCAAACTTTTTCTATCTTCTTTTGTAGCTACTTCATTCCTTTATATACGCAACTTCGAACAAAGGGAAAGGGACCACTTCAATACCCCAGTTATATCATCACATAAAGAATGTTTAGTGCAGAGTAGATCTTCTGTGAGTATCAGTTGACCACCTTCAGGTGGCTCATATAATAATGGGGCCCATCATCATTATATGAACAAACAACTGACATCCACAAAGAATCCAAACTACAAATAAACATTTTTGGCCATGAATCACCATGACACACGAGCAATGAAAAACTAGTAAGAGTAATTGAAGTGAATGACAGAGGTGGTAAAGGGACTTTCACAACTCCATCCATGTGGGATCTACAATATGAGAAAATATGAAATAATGACATGCAAAGTTACAATGCATCAGCAAAATTAATTTATCATGAAATCTCATGCATCTCTTTCATATTATATTACATTGACTGCCAAAGACTACAGTTCTTGCACTTAACACCATAAGATTAGAGTTTATGAACACAACTCCTGACTGTTATAGTGTATGCCCTTAAATCACAAATATTATAATGAATCCACCTAACTCACTATACTTCCTGCACCTAACTTATAAACACTATAATTCACACAATTAGCTTGCAAACACTATATTTCATCAGACCTCTCAACCTAAAAACACATAAAATCTGGAGACTGATGCAAAAAAAAATCTGGAGATTTCAGTAAAAATCTGGAGATTGATCTACTGGCAGACAAATCCAAGTAAACACAGGTTCTGATTCAGAGAAAGTCTTTTTTCCTGCTTATAATTTACTTAAAACATGCGTGGACCTTAACAACACAGAAATAAACTTTGTTATGACAGCTTCAATGCTCAGCATTATATGCTGCAGTAGCTGCCTTTTTGGAACTATCCAACAGTTCTTTTGTTTGACTCCACTTGTGGCACGGTACAGTCACAGCTTCATGGCCAGCAAACTTGACAGTGTACTCTCCAGCCTCATTGACGCTCTGCTCTCGGTCTTGTTTTTCCTCACGATACTAAACCATCTCTCCTCTCCGGCATTACTATGGGGCAAGACTAAAACAAGTCCTGCTATTTTTGGCAAATGTTTAAATCGTTTAGCAGCTGTGCCAGGGATGACAAACTGAGCAATATGCCACCACAATACATCCATTCTGTAATGAGTAAGCACCTCTCCATCCTTTTCTCCGTCAATCACTTTGGCTTCCTTCAACACATTATCCCCAAAACATACATCAGCGAGTGTCTGGTAGTCACAGAACTCATCATAAAGCTTGTCAGCAGGCAGTTGTAAAAAAATAGCTTTAAATCTGTTCATGAAAAACTCCACGCTATCTCACTTTGAAACAACTTCTCACAACTTCCGCCATTTTAAAAACGTGATAAAATGTGAGAGACTGGTAATGATTATTAGAATTATAAAGTTTAAGTAAATATTTTAATATAACATAACCAAAATACAACGTGAAGCGCAATAGAACAGAATAAGAATACTACAAGATATATATAGGTGTTAGTAACAAAGTCCATGATTAATTATCCAATCATGTATCATCATTATAGACATGAATTTCCGGTATCATATTATTCTAATAATACGTTTATATCCCAATACTACGGTGGCCCGTATGTGCCACAGCTTCTGCGTAGAAATATGTAGCTGTTGCATACAAATCGAGTTTCTACGTACAAACCCGAGTGTTCTCCGTACAAATATAATGTTGCTCCATGGAAAACGAACTGCTCCACACAAATGTTAACCTTCTGCTTGTTGAAATACTACTTCTCCACACTTAAAGAAAGGTTGCTACGAGCAAATAATCCCTTCTCCACGCTGAAATTATCTTTCTCTATACAAATAAACATACCGAACACTCTCTTAACGTGCACACTCAACGTCGGGGTAACCTACTCAAAACAAACTCCTACTACACCATAACGAGCAACAAGGAATGAAACCATGAAGTTGTGTATACAATGCGGAGAACATGTTGAAGATAAGTCGAACTTTTGTCCGAGCTGTGGAAAGAAACTATTTAATAGTAAGTTTTAAATAACGTGTGTAGCATGTACATTTTGCTTAATCGTGAAGTTTATTTGCAATATATCAATCTTTGACTTTGTGTTCGTGTTCGCAGAATTATAAAGCTTGATGTTTGCACTGCAAGCACGCAAAAACTCGGGCAATTACTTTTGAAGAATTTAAACAAGCAAAAGAAACTAACAGGGTAAAACCTTACCATCACGGGGAAAAAGCAACTTTGCGTGGAAGAGTGAAGATACAGATCGGGATAAAACAGTACGACAAAGATGTTTCCTTAAAAGCCCTAAAAGGAAGAACCCTTCCCTAAGAGTTGATGCTGACATTGATGCACGACAGTTGTTGCAAAGCAATAACCAAACATTCGAAACATTTTCGAACATTTAGTTGAGAAGTATCACTTGTTATACCCGATAACACAGAAGTTAAGCGTACGGTCATCTCACAACTTGTTCACACTACAAAATATAAAGAGGAGTTGGGTAAGCCATTTTCAAGAATACATCTTTATTTGTGTGCTGATGAATGTGTGGGAAGGGCTGAAATGCACGAGCTTGGACTAAGCAGTGATGATGATCAAATGGAAGCCATATTTTCAACTCCATCTTTTGGCAGTCCTTGCAATATATATTGTCATAGTACCCAATCTATTAGTCCTATTGCCCCATCAACCAGTACTGATGCCAAGTGTAATATTTCTATTGCTCCATCAACTAGTACTGATGCAAAGTGTGTTATTCCTTCCTATCCACCACTATCGTCTGTGGTTTCAAGCCGAGCTGAACCACCATCTGATATCCAGGCCCTAGACAATGTAATATTAGTTGAAAGTCATGAGGCTCATGATTTAAACAAAGATAGGCATTGTCCAACATTACCTAGAAAGAAAACAACCCAGCCCAGTATTTTGCCATTCCTTGCACATGATGGTGATAATAATAGCAAAAAAATTCCGATAGTGGTGGATAGGAAGGAATAACACACTTTGCATCAGTACTAGTTGATGGAGCAATAGAAATATTACACTTGGCATCAGTACTGGTTGATGGGGCAATAGGACTAATAGATTGGGTACTATGACAATATATATTGCAAGGACTGCCAAAAGATGGAGTTGAAAATATGGCTTCCATTTGATCATCATCACTGCTTAGTCCAAGCTCGTGCATTTCAGCCCTTCCCACACATTCATCAGCACACAAATAAAGATGTATTCTTGAAAATGGCTTACCCAACTCCTCTTTATATTTTTGTAGTGTGAACAAGTTGTGAGATGACCGTAGACGCTTAACTTCTGTGTTATCGGGTATAACAAGTGATACTTCTTCTCACAACTAAATGTTCGAAAATGTTTCGAATGTTTGGTTATTGCTTCTTGCAACAACTGTCGTGCATCAATGTCAGCATCAACTCTTAGGGGAAGGGTTCTTCCTTTTAGGGCTTTTAAGGAAACATCTTTGTCGTACTGTTTTATCCCGATCTGTATCTTCACTCTTCCACGCAAAGTTGCTTTTTTCCCCGTGATGGTAAGGTTTTTACCCTGTTAGTTGCTTTTGCTTGTTTAAATTCTTCAAAAGTAATTGCCCGAGCTTTTGCGTGTGCTTCAGGCGTGGATGCATTGCAACTATATTACTGCATCTCTGACAAACCTGAAACATAATAATTCAAGCTTTATAATTATATTTGGGGGGATAAAACTTTAATATAATTCCGTTAGAACGAACACGTGCAACACAAAGTCAAAGATTGATATATTGCAAATAAACTACACGATTAAGCAAAATGTACTCGGATTTCTGCTACACACGTTATTTAAAACTTACTATTAAATAGTTTCTTTCCACAGCTCGGACAAAAGTTCGACGTATCTTCAACATGTTCTCCTCATTGTATACACAACTTCATGGTTTCATTCCTTGTTGCTCGTTATGGTGTAGTAGGAGTTTGTTTTGAGTAGGTTACCCTGACGTTGAGTGTGTGCACGTGTGTTATTTTTGCCAGGGGGTAAGAGAGTGTTCGGTATGTTTATTTGTATAGAGAAAGATAATTTCAGCGTGGAGAAGGGATTATTTGCTCGTAGCAACTTTCTTTAAGTGTGAGAAGTAGCATTTCAACAAGCAGAAGGTTAACATTTGTGTGGAGCAGTTCGTTTTCCATGGAGCAACATTATATTTGTACGGAGAACACTCGGGTTTGTACGTAGAAACTCGATTTGTATGCAACAGCTACATATTTCTACGCAGAAGCTGTGGCACTTACGGGCCACCGTACAATACTCCCACTTAATGATTATACTTGAATCAGTTGAATGTTCATCGTTCTTTAATCTTGATAACGCCTAACATGTTCCTGAATTTCTGAAAAGTATCTTTACTAAGTCCTTTTGTAAATATATCCGCTAGCATATTCTCACTGGAACAATATTTAACAGAAATGATATTCTCGTGAACTTTCTCTCTCACATAGTGGTATGCCACATCTATATGCTTTGTCCGAGAGTGGAATTTTGGATTTCTTGATAGCTCAATAGCCCCTTGGTTGTCTTCATAGATGATGGTAGGCTCTTGTTGTGTTATTGAGATACTATCCAGAAGTTTTCTCAACCAGACTCCTTCTTGGCAGGCTGTACTTAAAGATACATACTCGGCTTCTGTTGTTGATCTTGCAACACATCCCTGTCTTTTGCTGCACCAACTCACAGTATTCCCATTAATTTGATATATGTACCCTGTAGTAGATCGACGTGTCACTATATCTCCACCCCAATCTGCATCTGTATACCCTGACAATATTGGATCATTGCCATCTGTGGTAAAGTGTAGACCATAATCCAATGTACCTTGAATATAACGTAGGATCCTTTTAACTCCTCTCCAATGCTCTAGTCCTGGTTTTGCCATAAACTTTGATAAAGTCCCAACTGCAACAGCTAAATCGGGTCGACTTATCAATGTAGCATAGTTTAAGCATCCAATTGCCATTTGATATTGCTTCACATTAACTGGATTCTCACCTTCACTTAACACTTCATACTTCTTTCCAAATTCAAGTGGTGTTGAGACTGCTTTACAATTTTGCATGTCGAATCTTTTCAGTATTCCTTGTAGATATTTCTCCTGATTAATGGTTAATGTTCGCAATCTTCGATTTCGTTTTAAACTCATCCCTAGCACATAATGAATCTCACCAAGATCTTCAACATGGAATCTATTTGCAATTCCTGACTTTTCCTTTTCCAACATCTCAATAGAATTGAGAAATGGAGCATGTCGTCAACATATATTGCGATTATAACAAAGTTAATCTTACCATTTTTGGACTTTACGGATTTGACATGTACACAAGGATCTGCCGAACTTTTCTTGTACCCATTTGAAAGCAAATGTTTATCGATAGAAGCATTCCAGCACCTTGCAGCTTGCTTTAACCCATATATACTTTTATTAAGCTTGCAAACATATTCAGGATGATCTTTGTCAACAAAACCATCAGGCTGCCGTAAATAGATTTCTTCCTCCAATTCTCCTTGAAGAAATGCAGTTTTTACATCTGTTTGATGTATTTCCCAATCACACATGGTTGCCACAGCCAATAATGATCTGATGGTATTATATCTTGCCACTGGAGCAAACACATTGAACCATCAGCTTTTCTTTTTACTTTGTAAACCCATTTACTCCCGATTACGTTTTTGTTTTCTGGTAAAGGTACTAAATCCCAAGTATGATTATCTTTCAACGAATTGTATTCTGAGATCATCGCGTTCTTCCATTCATTCGCATGTTCTCCAGTTGTTGCTTCTTTTATATTGTTGGGTTCACTGATGTCTGCAGTTAAGTCGCTGACTGTGTAACATTCTTCGTCGAATGTTTGAGGTGCTCTTCGTATCCTTTTACCTTTGAGTTGTCTAACCTCATTCATGAATCTCTCTTCGTAAGAATTTTCTCCCACTCGATTGCAATCATCTACTTCTCTTGCATCAACATTACCGTTTTCATGTTTTGCGTTTTGATCTTCAATTGATTGGCTTTCATCATTGCTATTTACAGGAACATAATGTACATTACGATTTTCTTCATCTACAATGAGTTTTTGCTCACGCTGTTTGTTTTCAAAGTTATAAAATTGCTGCTCTAGAAACATAACGTCACGACTTTTATAAAACTTCTTTGACATTGGATCAAATACCTTAAACCCTTTCGTCCCATCAGGATAGCCCATGAAAATCGTCTTGAGAGATTTTGCATCCAACTTTTCCTTTGCTCTTTAGGAATATGCATATATGTTATGCAGCCAAACACTTTCAGATTACTTACATCAGGTTTTATCCCAAATAGACACTGATAAGGAGTTATACCGTCCAAAGCAATTGTTGGACTTCTATTTCGAAGATAAGTTGCTGTATTTACAGCTTCAGCCCAGAATTTATTGGGTAGATGTGAGTGCATCAACATACTTCTTGCTGATTCCATTATCGTACGATTCATCCGTTCTGCAACTCCGTTTTGCTCTGGGTTATACGGAACAGTTGTTTGATGTGTGATGCCATTGTCCTTTAAAAACGACTCAAATTCTTTTGATTGATACTCACCACCGTTGTCTGTGCGTATAATCTTAACTTGCTTTCCAGAGATATTCTTTGCATAGTTGTAAAATTCTTTAAATTTTTCCAAAACTTCGTTCTTGTTCTTCAAAAAGTATACTTGTACATATCTGGTGTAGTCATCGATAAAGGAGACATAATATCGAGATCCACCAATGGAATTCTCTTGTATCGGTCCACATACATCACTATGTATAATTTCGAACGGTTCCTTAGCTCGTTGTGAAACGCCCTTTGGAAAAGAGTAACGATGCTGTTTTCCCAACACACAAGCTTCACAAAACTGATTTCCACCTGTTACATTGCCTATTCCATCGAACATATCATTCTCGACGAGTTTCATTACATTGTTTATTCCAAGATGTCCCAATCTGCAATGCCATAAATTCAAATCTGAATCAAAGCTTTGTTCTTTTGCAACATTCATATAATGCTCGACAATTTTCAAGATGTACAGTTTTCCTTGTAGTTTTCCCACTGCTAACAGTTTTGAATTTCGTCGAATGTTACAAACATCGTTTTCGAAAGTAACAATAGCTCCAAGTCTTATCATCGCTCGAACAGATAATAAATTTCTATTTATGTCAGGTAAATACAATAACATCCTGCAACGAGATGTTTTGTTTCCGTCGCCGAGAATAGCTTTTACCTTATAAGTTCCTTTGCCATACGCTAAAATAGAGCGGTTATCTCCAAGGTTTACTAAACACGGTTGCTTAAATTCTACGTAATTGCATAAGCCTTCCAAATCGTAAGTCATGTGCTGCGTTGCTCCGGAGTCGATAATCCAATCTGAATTTCTTGTAATGTTTGATGAATTTGAAATCAACGCATCACCATTATTGATCTCGCTATTTTCTTCGTTTTCTGCAAGCTGAGCAGACTTGTTTCCCTTATTGATTGAAGAGTTGCCACTGTTTGGAAACTGCTTCGTCTTCTTCTGCGGACAGTCTTTTGCTAGATGCCCTTTCTCGTCACAAATGAAACACTTGCCACGAAAGCCTTTCTTTCGATTAAAAATGTTCTCATTCTGATCACCACGTTGTTTCCCACCTCGAAACTTGTTGCGCTGCACGGAAAATGCATCCTCTTTTCTGGTCTCGGAATCTTTGGCTCTGTCTTCATCATTTAGTATCATGTTTTTGACTTTCTCATAAGAAAGTTCATTCTCACCAACAGCATCCAATGCCGTTATTAATGGTTTATATTTATCTGGCAAACTAGCCAACAGGGTCATTGCCAGTTCCTTATCATCGATACTTGCGCCCATTTCTTTTAGTTGCTCGTGTAATGATTTTAAGTTGTTTATATGCTCCAACATATTCCCTCCAACATGAAATTTTGACGAATAATATTGCTGGCGAAGACGAACCTTTTGAAGTAACGATTCCCTGGCGAATTGACTTTTCAAAGCGTCCCACGCTTCCTTTGCCGTTATCGTTTCTCTCACGTGCACTTGCTGATCCGGCTCGATAGCCAAGCAAATATACGTCCATGCCTTTTTCGCTGAGGAATTGAATCTCCTTCGAACATCTGCACCGGCATCGTCGTTAGGAGCAATCGCACTACCTTCGACGAATTCAAACAAGTCCATGCTTTCCAAATATAACCGCATGTTGAAAGCCCATGACCGGTAGTTCGTTCCATTCAATTTTGCGAACTTAAGAGCGCTATCCGAAAATGACATTGCTTAAGTTTTAAATTACTTATCTTTAGTAGGACAGTTTGCGTCCTGGGCCCATAACCTATTAGAATTATAAAGTTTAAGTAAATATTTTAATATAACATAACCAAAATACAACGTGAAGCGCAATAGAACAGAATAAGAATACTACAAGATATATATAGGTGTTAGTACCAAAGTCCATGATTAATTATCCAATCATGTATCATCATTATAGACATGAATTTCCGGTATCATATTATTCTAATAATACGTTTATATCCCAATAATGATGACCTAATTTGGAACAAGTACTCTATATATGGCCATAGTCGATAGTCCGTCATGAAATGAATAGCTGGGTGACGGTTAGCACAGAATTGGCGCAAGAAACGCCAAAAATAAAACATTACAACAAAAAATTAGTTCTGTCAGCTTGCGCCACTATTTATCGTGAGATTTTTCTTTCTTGTCGTGAGACCGTGAGATTGAACTGAAAACTGTGAGTCTCACGACAAAATCGTGAGACTTGAGAGGTCTGATTTCATGCACCTCACAATTAAAAAACTATAGTTTATGCACAAAACTCCAAAGATTACATTTCACACACCTAAGTACCAATAATTAAATACGATAGATTTTTATGAGATGACTTTTACCACAATATCTTTTTAGACGTATTCCTGACGCTAGCAAGCGTGAAAATAAAGTTGTTGGTGATTATATCTGCTAAATATGATTGAAAAAAAACATCGAGCCAAGAATAATCTAAAGATATAGAAACATAACATAAACTAACCACATCGCTTTCAACTTCATTGAAAATGGCTTCTTCACCAAACTTCAACAAACGAATTGTGACCTTGCCGATATATATATAGCGTTATGTTGCAAAGGAAGCAAAACGAGAAATGCCCGACGTCAATATATCTCACATTCCAAATTTACTTTACACGTTTTTCTGCCAAAGCTGCGAGTCGCTCTTTCTTGTCTTCATCTCAAACATAATTATAATTTTGAAAACAGCAATTCTTGGTTTTCAAGTGTGTCTTAAGGGAATAACAAACAAAGAAAGGGCATCCACCATGTCGCCTAACAGCAAAGGGAATCCAATGATATTATTTTGTAAGGAGTCCATCAGCATGATGCATATGAAAACCACAAATACTTTCCATAAACTAACAAATTCACAGTTTGAAAACGGATCGCTTTCTTCTATGCCAATTGCATGTTAAAAGTTCATTGCCAACGGCTGCTTCCTCAAACTAAATATAAAAAGTGTTATGTTCAAAGGAAGCAAAATGAGACATGTGGGAAGTCATTATCTCACAGTCCAAATTTACTTTAATTTACATCGATATGATGCGAACTGTAGAGACAACGACACTTATCACTTTATTATAAAACACGTGTTATATAGACAAAAGAAACAGCCACCATGGGGTTGCTGCAAAACTGCAATGTCAATTTAAATTTTATTGCAAAACCAATCAAAGTCATTCATACTCATTACACTAGTTTAAATTCATAAAAAAATTTTAAAATTTTCGATCCGTGCCACGCCTTAACAGCTTTCTCTAATCTCCCAAGTTGACTTTTTATAAAGCATTGATATGTGGTTAATCTCTTTTACCGCGAATTTTGTTGTAGATGGACAACTTTTCACATTAGACAGAATATTTCACAATAAAAAAACCGTCTGTGAAAAACTATACTTTTAAAATTGTAGTTGTTCATTCCTTTTTATACAAGAGAAATCGCAAGATATTAGTAGCCTTACAGATCTGCTTTCTCAATCAGTAAACCATAAATTTTCTTTTACTGCTCAACATTCTTTTAAAAAAAAGGTGTGCGAACAGCAAGCTTTTTTAAATTATGTTCTTAAGCCATGAAAACCGCATGAAATCTTTGTGACTATCTATAAACATCTTCACACGTTTCTCAAGATCACATTCAGTTTCACTTCCAAAATTTATATTTTTCTCGTTATTATAAAGCATCTTGTAAGTTGCGCTATTCATAACAGCATAGCTTTCCGCTAATAAATAAGGGATAATGAGCAAAGTACATACAACATGTGGCTTTCAGCTTCGTAAACATTATTCTTCGTTTGTGGCGTTGACAAAACTACAACGAGAATTTCTTCTTTTAAAGTACATATTATTACTCCATAAAACTATTTATTGAGGCTTAAATAATCGCAATGATTGTACTATCTTGAAGCAATTGAATGAAAATTGATGAGAGACTTGCGGCTTCTTGCGAGATGCGGCCCCTTGCTGCAGAGTATTTGTCCTTTGTTGCATATTTCAAAAGGTTTTGAATAAACGGAACTTTTAATGAACTGAACCAGCAGCTGGTGGAAATGTCGAAGAAAATCTTGATAAACCTTTGAATAAATGGCTGGTCATGGTTAGAAGAGGTAGTCTATTGAATGGGTATGACTGGTAATTGTTAGAGATAAACCATTGAATAAATGGCTGGTTATGGTTAGAAGAGGTGGTCTATTGTTGGAGCATGATTTTCTAGTAGTTAATAACAAACCTTTGGGGTCAAAGCATTGTATTTATCAGGCCTGTTCATTGTGATTGTCCTCAAACCGCCATCAGTAGAGACAAGAATATTTTCAAACTCATTTGATGTATTAATGTCTTTGTTGGGTTGGCTGTTGGTCTTGGGTTCTTGTCCTGAAGTTACATTTAAGAAATATTGAATAAATTTGCAATAACTGTTTTGGACTAAACAGCCCAAAAGTGTAAGAGATTGAGTTCAAAGATGTTTCATCTCCTTAATGAATGACTAAGGTGTTTCACTTGCATGTCAAACCTTTTTAACAACATTTAACTTTAATAACTGTAGACATATAAAGGGAATATGGTGATCGAGTAAGAGAGATTGAATGTGCTGCTTTTACACCACTGGTTTTTTCAACATCAGGTGGTATGGGGAAAGAGACGGCAATTGCTTATAAGCGGCTAGCTGATCTGCTGGCACAAAAGAGAAAGCTGCAATATGGCATCACGCTAGCGTGGATGCGTTGTAAACTGTCTTTCGCACTGATTAGGTCGGCAATTACTGCGATACGAGGAAGTCGATCTGCCTCAACTCGCGAACATACTTTAAATATTTACCTAGGTTATTGGGAAAGTTGTCTTTACACTTGACTGTCCCTTTATCATGGATATTTTAAACATTGATGTTAGTTATCTTTGATTTAGTTTTTAACATTTATATTTGTATGTTGTAGTTTATAATTTTAATTAAATTTTAATTTTTTCTTTTTTTTAATCAAAATCGCGATTAAAGTTAACTAAAACAGGTTTAAAAAAAAACAAAAAAAAAACTGTACACATATAACAAACTTACTCCTGTAATGTTAAAAACATTGTTAGTCAAAAAATCTGTTCTATAGTTCAATGTTGAGAAGGACATGTACACAACAGGGAAATGATGTTTATACAGAATATTTTGCAGAAAAGCTTTGTGTTCATAATACACAGCAAAGTTCAAAATCACCTAGTAAAGATTCCACAAGTGCTATATACTGTTTTTGTGCATCTACCTAAAAGAAAAGTTCAATTTAAAAGTATTCATTACATGCAATAGAAGTGTTTTTTTTCAAAAGTACATAGGTATTTGATAGAGAATCAATGGTACATTTGCATTTTTTTCCTGCATCACCAACACTAAGAATGTTAAGTACAAGATTTTACTCTCCTAAATGTTAAGGAATTCTTCAGTAAATACAAATAGGGATATAATTCAGATTGCATGGCTTGAGAGAAACTATGTATATTAAAACCATTGAAAAGCACAGATTTACATGCAGATATTTTAGCTGTATGTTCCAGTAGGTGTATATGTACTCATAATTTCCTGAAGACTCACACACTCAGTTCTTAATTAACGTGTGCTGTCAACTTTGCACAAAACAACTTTTTACTGTAAATAATTTGATGACGATAGATTTTAGTAAGACTTGTGAGAGTGTTCAATAAAATTGTTGAAAGATACAGTCCTTTGGTGATGTTTGAAACTAGATACATATTGAATGTTCATTATAAGATAAGTGCAGCCTTTCTTAAACTAAATATTCACCTGTGATAAATCACCCAAATCGTTCCATGCATTCCATTTTGCCTTTCCAACAAAGTCCAAAGTCCCAGGCTTTGGTGTATTACATTTGCCTAAAGAGCCCTGGAAATGTATATTGTTATTTGGGTTCGTCTTATTTTTAACTTTGATTGTATTGTATGGTGGGACTGTGAACAGTTATAATTGAAAAAAATTCACTGTGCCTTAGCAAAAATGTGATTCAAATGCAATGATGCACATTGTGCTTAAAATTTAAAGTCACCATTTAATTGAAGAGCTTGTAGGTAGGAGATACAACAACTAATGTTCAAGCTTTATGTAAAAACCGGATACAATATCTTTATTAATAGTAAAATACCTGCTTAAAAACGGCGTACATCTTTAACTTCAATTCATTCCCTGGATCTTGAGTTAAAGATCCTACTTTGTCTTTTTGCTTCCTTAAACTGGTGAGAGATTGCAGAGAACTTCGAACCATCTTCGTAAAAATGTTCAGGTTTAAATAAGGTCGAGATAGATAGTTCACTATACCACGACGAAAAATTGCATGTGATTTACAAACTCTTGGCGTCACGTTCATTTGCTATAATAAAATTTACAATAAATATTTTTTTATTATTGATTGAACTTTGGACGAATAAGAAAATTGATATCTAGAAATGACATGAATGAAAGGCAAAAGTAAATCAAACATGTGACTATTTTTGACCAATGACATTAGGATGTTGATAGTGGTTACAATGGATGATAGTGAATAATTATGGACATGCTTTCAAAATGGCATATACAACCACAAATACAACCATCCGACTGGTGCAGCTTAAGAAAGAAATTTCAGGGCTTCCATTTACTACATTTTTCAAAGTTCATGTATGAGGACAATATTTCTTCGCGTATTCATATTTTTTAGGAGTTTGCAACATCAAAAGTTCGAAGCAAGGCAATCGATCAACAGGGCTCAGTCACTCAGTACTATGCTTAGTACTTTTTTAAATATCTATCGGGAAGTCTGGCTAGGAGAATGGTACTTAGACTAATTCTAGGCTAACTTTGTCAATCCAAGAACACGTGCAGTACTGGTTTTTATAAATCGGGGTATTATTTTTTGGGTACACTTGCAAAATGTATCAATTCAGGAAGAAATTCAGACGCTCAAATGACTTCTTTTACAATAACGTGGAGAGGAAAGGAAACACACAAAAAGATGATGCGGTAGGAATTTTTAAAGCGTTCTTTTTATTGTTTCTGGTTGCACAATTTCATATTAATTTATTTTTATTACCACAGTTATATTAACAAAAGTGTGTGTACAAATTTATTTATGCCCACAATGTGGTGTAAGGAAAAACACTTATTCGGAGCACATTTTCCAATTTCAAGTCTGGATTCTCTACATCCTTTAATCACAATGTCATATATGTTAATAGAATAGCAGTGTGTCATATGAATCTCAATTTTTTGAACAAGAAAATGAATTTGGGGATTTGATAAGTTTACATATATTGTAAAACTATGTAGATATAAAATACGCTATGTTTATGGGTTTTTTTTTCATTTATATGTAGAATGAACAAAGTGAGGATATTGCTGAAAATTATGACAAGCACCAAGAGTTAACCACCAAAACACAGGTTTTTAATGTACATATTGATATTGTTTCTCATGAAAAGTCATTGGAAGTGGTTATATGTAGGACTGCTTTCACTAGAAATAACTAAAAAATTTTGAAGTAATTTAAAGAAGTCATGCATTATTTAAACACTTATTAAAAGTCTGTACACATTTTAAATTAAATAATGGTCTTTATTTGTAGGACTCTGAAGATATCTTTACCAAGCAATCTATCTCTATTATTACAGAGGAACCCAAACAACCATGTCAACATAGTCAAGTAGTTCTCACATATACAGTTATACTTTATACTGTTTACCACTAGTCATGTTTTTAATGTGTTATAAATTGACAATATGCTTGTTGATTGCTTATGCATGAAACACTGTGTAGCAAAACTTTATTAACATCTGGTAGAAATGTGCTCAACAAACATAAAAATATATTACAATAGATATTTTTGAAACAGTGAACATTAATAATTACTGTGTACTTGCTCTTTCAGAGTCATTTGTCACCCACTGGCCACTATACTGGGCTATTGTTACAGTTTGACTTTGCATCAAATGTATCACGTCAGCAATCCTTTGTTGTTCATGATTATAATGCAAACAAAAGAACAATTATGGTGATGTCAAATTTTATTTCCATAATTTCAATGTTGGGTATATACCCAACTAAATGATATTACTCAGTACGCTTTTTTTGGTGCTATAATCTGCATGTATTTTTTTCTTCAGCATAATTCATTTGTATTTGTACATCGATATCCCCACCTATTGCTTGATGGCTATGGTTGGATATTGTGCTGTTCATGTGATGCAAATAGAAAGCAATTTGTTGAAGCCCTACCTAATAATATACAATTAGATCCTCAAAAAGGTATGTAAAATAGATGTTACTGAAATGAAATGATTAAAACAGGCCAAACAACATTTTTGTACTTGTCAGATATACCATATCCCAGTTGCATACACATATTAGCAATGGAAAAAATATCTGGTTGTGTATGATAGAAAGTTTGGTATTGAAGCCAAAGATTTTATTGAAAAAAGTAAGTGTTGTGTGTTACTCTTTCAGGATATAAGGTGTCTGAACAGCTTCACTAAATTTTGACTTACACTTACATACTATTTGTTTCAAGACCCTTGTCAAAGATGTGAGAACTTGTTACATATTAATCTGACATTGCATGTAGTGAATGTCTCAAATTTGTATTTGGCTTATTTTTTCAATGTGAAGTTCTTCATGTGGTATGGGAGAAAATGTCTTCATCCTTTAATATCAGTTTATTGTACATTTCAAACCCTTGTGAAGTCATCCTTCTGTGTTTTTACAAGACCCTTGTTCGACATTGTTCTTATTACATGTGGATGTTAACCAGCACAGCTTTACAAGCAAAAATATTGTTAAAACTTGTGAATGATTATTTACACAATATATTTATCTCATCGAATCTCTTTTATGAATGCAGAATCCACATCCATGATGCAGTCTGTTTTCAGTGATCATTCCTACCATGAGATGCAACCTGAAGAAGTATATTTTGTTATGTGAAAATAACTTTTTTGTACAAATACACGTATTGTTTCTCAACCTTCTAATACCCCACAATTTGTTACCATACATCCTGTGCCTAAGTTCAGGAGCTTCTATAAAGCTATTAGGGTGATAACCAACAGGGCAAATTGAATTTATTTATGACTATTGAGGTATACACATTCATACTCACACACATACATAGCCACGTACTTACAGTACATACATTAAGTAGTATAAACTAAATGTATGACAAAAATAGTAAAGTCATATTCACCATTTGCTTTACGTGCCTGATATATATATATTAAGCACTTTCTAAGGATTTTGTGAAGTCATAATTAATCATAATTATTAATCTGCATACACATACACACACATACACACACATACATACACACATACATACACACACATACATACACACACATAATACAACCTTAAGATAAATGATTTTACATATTTTAGGACTTGTTTAGTGCAGTGTGCATGGAGGTTCAGTGGATTGCTGTAAAACCAATGAATAGTCCATGGGGGGTTTGTACTTTTGTGTATTCAAAAGTAATGCCGCCCCAGCCCGAGTTAAAATGTTGCAGCTGCTCGTCATATCATTGCATTCATGTGACAACCCTTGCAAAAGCCATGCAAATCGTTGACGAGGATGAAATGGATTCTCCATTGGTACTTTTTAAGTTTTCCTTTGGAATTACACCAGATGCGAGACTATTTTGAATTGGCTACACTTAGCAAAGAAAAGGTTTCTTTATTTGAAACAGGTATGCAAGATAATCTGCAATGGTGAACATCCTTTGGCTTTACATATACTATTTCCTTTATCGGTATGGTATTTAGCACTTTCTAGCATTTTGTAAGTATTACAATTTAATTATTTTAGGCAATGAGAATGATGCAAGCGATTTTACTGATCTTCCTGAAAAAAATGGTCATAAAATTTTGGCGCCATCTGAAAGTGGTATTTGTTCTTGTGGTGCAGAGTGGGATAAACGTTCTATTCAAGATGAATGGTTGTACGTAGACTTGTGTTCAGTTGCGTACTTTTGTTCAATCCATGATGTGAAGGGTAAGTTCTGATTTGTTATAGGTTACGCTTCACTTCATAATTATTTGACTGAAATAAATTATTTAGTGTATTGTAGACCTTGCTCCTCTTGTGCTACGAAAAAGCATTATGATGGCATTGAAAACAGGATTGTATGGTTTGGATCATATGCAATATCTCATGCCGTTCTAAAAGATTACATTCGGCTTTTCATGACGTCGAGGTACTTTTTAATGAAAATTTGCCGAAGCATTAGTAGCTACGTTTGTCCATTATTTAATTTTCTCGCACTATATCTTTTGAATGTTTTTTCTTTTTTATTCTTGTTCAGTTTACCTATGTACAAATATTATGTTGCATATGTACAAAGGCAAGTGTCTTCGGGTAATTTGAATTTCCCAAAGGAAATAACTTACGCCAAGTTTCGTCTCGCTATCATTGCCATGATACGGTAAGCATCATTTCATTTTCAGCTGTAAAATATGAATATTCCATTGAGATAGTGATCGCTTGTTTTATTAAGTTATTGAATTTTCTCTTATTAAGATTGCTTGATATTGATTTTGACAATGAGTTTTTTGTGAATTATGTGGAAGAATTCCCCAGAAGGTGGTGATGGATGGAACAACTCTTGAAATACAGAAAACTTTCTTACCAAATAGTTTAAGAGAGTCTGATACTGGATTGCTAGATGGAAGATAAGTATTTTTGAAGTTTATCTGTAATATATAATATATACAGGTCTGCTAATTAGTAAATACGAGTGTTCATCTACGTATCAGAAAGCATTTTATGCATGATGGTGACTTTTCTCACTTTGTTTTTGTACACAGCTTATAGTTATAAAAATAACAACCTGTTTTCTTTTGTCCAATACTAGGTTTGAAATGCGCAATTTCATCAACAGGAGAAATGTGCGAGCTTTATTGAAGAAGTACAGTGATTCAAAGCTGCGTTGGGACGAATTTCAAGAATTAAAATCTGAAGTAAGAAGAATTTATTACCCCACGAGTACAAAATTTTGTATGACCACTCCAGAGCTCATATTATACTACAATTTCTCGTATTTATAGATATCTTCAAAGGGGCTTAGGACTATATGAGGGATCACGAATCACCAAATATCCCATTTACCATTTTACGAACACGTTTTCCTGATGGTAAGTTATGTATGCGTGTACCTTTTATGGTGCTACAAACAGAGTATTATCAGTGAATCGGACAGATTGCGTGACGGTTTAGTCGCCTGACAGAGTTTTCAGTTCAGTAACATAACCGAATGTGCCTGATGATATGCTTATGTATTTTTATTTCTTTAGCGCCAGAGTTGGTCATTTACGATAATGCCTGCAGATTGCACGAGTATTGTTTGAACCGAGATCCAGCATGTTTTAAGAAAGCAAAATTTGTTGTTGATAAGTTTCATTGGAAAAATCATTCAGCTAAACTGCCATACTCTTCCTATTTTACTTGAAGCGAACTTATTGATCCAAATATGGCCGTTTTTATGTTCTCACAAAATTTGTTGATTTATAACTGTCCTTTATGTGTAGGATGCTGCGAAGGATATAACATGAAATTGTATCCCACGCTCAATATGTACAATAAACAAGCTGCTGAACAGTGCAATTCGTGTATTAAGCCTCCATGGTTTCTTACATGGAATACGATAACTTTTTTCTTTTTACAAAACTTCATATTTGGCACAGGAATATGTTACGCATTGTTAAATACAATCCCGAGAGAAATAGCCTACAAACACTATTTTCTCACTCTTAGTCGCGTTATTCATTAGCCGAATAAACGCTCACATTGAGTCCTTAAGTGTGACGTCACGTTACCATAGCGCAAAAAACGTTTTGTTTCATGCTTGCGTGTACTTCTTGTAAAACACTCTGCTGGTAAGTAAATGCTTCAATGTGATCTGACTTAAAGTGGTTTTCCCCCTTTGTTTATAGATGTCTTTTCTTCTGAGAAGAAAGAAAAAGGCGAAGCGATGGATAATGTCGCTATTTTGAATCGAATGGGCGCTTGTTTGGAACCAGTGAACTCTACAACAACTGGAAAGCTAACTCACTATACACATGCCTAGACTTGTCGAAGCCATTGAGTTCTATAAGACCTGGAGGGGAACGTCAACAAAATTACTATAAATTATTAGCGCGCAGCCGCGTGGTCAAAAACATGGCGGTGTCACAGTGATATGGGTATCCCCGTGTTTTGGGTATCCCCGTACTTAAATCACTAGTGTTTTGGGCATCCCCGGCAAAAATGGCTGCCGTATTTTAGGTATCCCCATCCGACCAGAGCCCTCTATAGTATAAGAGTTGGGACAAACGGTCTGGGGCGAGCGCGGAGCCGCCATTTTGGTTCCTACTTGCAAAGTGAAACTATAATAATACTATTGGAAATTGGGTTTATATGCAAAAGAAGAAAGCAATTTAAGCTTATTCCATGGTAGTATCAAATATGTTAGGAATAATAGCAAGCTCTTTGCGTTTTTTTAACGATTTGCGACAGACCTGATTTAATTTCATTGGTTTGATCTTCGTTTGCGGTTTACTAGTTCGTGCTTCAAATTGATCGTGACCCATTGTAAGAAGTATTTTTCGTACGTTAACGTGTTTTCTCGGCTTATGTTCCGACCCTGTAACAAGTTTTCAAGATCTTTAAGCTTGGTGGCAAGCGGCAATGTTATCCTGGCATCAGTGTTATCAAATACTTGGACAAGACTTTGTTCGAATCTTTGAATCATAGTAATCATGCAGATTTGGTCCGAGAGATTTGTGTTCAAGATTTGTAACAATTTAATGGTACTGAGTGATTTATGCCCCCAATTTAATCCAAGCATGATATTTTTATTCTGAAAGATCACAAAATTTTCTTGCTCAGCAGAAAATGACAGACTTTTTACTTTTAGTTATTGAAATATGCAATGATTTGACCAAGATGCATTTGACCTTAAACGTTTTATTCCTGTATATGAAGTTATTTCGCCTTTATCACTTTATAAAGTATTAAAGTTTATTTCTAATAAAGTTTGTTAGGGATTCTGCTGAAAATTTTGGTGAAGCATTTCTTTAAAATGAATATATTATTTCTATAATATGAAACATTTCTGTTGTTGAAGAACAGTCTGTTTGCTATAAGTGCTACTGTTTGTAGTCTTTTATACAGCATATGAGTCTGATCCAATCTTTAATTTAGCAAAGAGTTAAATTTATTGGTTGAGGAATGACAAAACTTCTATATGTGTTTAATGATCAAACAGGGGTGTGTTGGAGGGAGCTCAGCCCCGTTTGTTCAAATTCTATGCCTTGCATTGCCAGTGAAATATATATATCAAAAAGCTAGCAGCACCTAAATATATATGAGAAAGCCAGCAATATTTTAATATATATGAGAAAGGCAGCAACAGTTGTAATATACATTAAAAAGCCCAAATAGCTGAAATTATGGAGATATGCCTCTGTGATCTTATAAACCAAAACCTACAATTAAAATATCATCAACAAGTCTAGAAGAGAAGTAATGTTCTACTTTGAGCTACGGAAGTAGGGTACATTTGTACAATTCAATACCAAAAATATATTGTACTCAGCTGTTTCATTGAATATCCTAATTATAATTACTTCATTTTTAAATGATGAACTAAAAATACAAAATACAACATGGAAAATCGTAAGAGTTTCTGTGATTTGGTGTAGTTGTTTTAGTATGGAAGTGGCTGAGAATTGAGAGGTTTGTAGATTGACCAATTTCAGAACATAATGAGAAATCATCTTCGATTAAAAAACAAGCTTTGGAGTAAGAAAACTATTGAAACTGCATCAGCACGAACTTTGCAATGTTATTTGGCCCAAAATGTTTCTCTACTTGAGTCAGTTAATTGAACCTTATATCAAAAGCAGTTCAGCACAACAATCACCATACGCAATCAAATTTCGTAAGTTCGACGTAAAGGCATTTCTTTCATTTTTTTCGTAATCCTCGATTTATGCGATATGTAATGACATTTAGTAGCCTTCAACAATCAGTTATTACACACTTATCCATAAAAAAACGCAATATTATCTCAAAATACTGTATTACTAGCAGCAATTGCTATATAAACACAAGCTAAAATTTCAAAACTAGGAACCAAAATGGCGGAAATTGATCAGGTGATCAATATTGCCCAATCAACGTAAGCTAAACGGATAACAATAGATGTCCCAACTCTTATACTATAGAGGGCTCTGCATCCGACCACTCAGGGTTCACAAATCACTAGTGATATGGGTTTCCCTATACTTGTTCCCATTCCTACGCTTGTTTCAGGGGTTTCCCTACTGTGGATTAAAGGATTTCCCCTGACTTAGCGGGAACAACACAATTTTGCGCGAAACAAAACCAGATTTCAGTATTTCAAAAATTCGTGATGGATCCAACAAAATATAAAAATCTACTTCAGTATGTTAAACATTCCGTGTATCACGAGTGTTTTACCAAGCAAGACAAACTTGTTTTGCGCAAATTTTCAAAAAAATTTGAATACGATAAAAAATTAGACTCGTTGTTGTACTTGGAGAAGACAAAAGAAGGCACAGTTAAACGCTTAGTTATATGTGAAGATCAAAAGTCAAGGGTTTTCGAAGAATGCCATTCGGCAACTTACGCAGGCCACAGTGGAAGAGACAATACCTTCAAGAAGATACGAGATAGATATTATTGGCCAGATTGTTACAAAGACACAGTTGTAATGGTAAACTATAAATCTATTACAAAATAACCAAATTGAAGAATGTTATAAATGTAATAAAAATATATTAACAAGTGCAACAGTAATAACATAAAAATTTTAAAATGACAATCATATTTTACAAATCTTTGATGTTTTCCTAGATAAAACAATGTGATAGATGTCAACGTAATGCAGCAGAAAAAAGTACGTGTGACGTTCTTCACTCAGTCAAAGTGGTTCCTCGAGTATGGTACCTGATTGGTATTGATCTCATTGATGCACATACAAAATCAAAAAAAGGGAAACAAATTCCTATTGACACAAACAGACTATTTCACAAAATATGTCGAGGGTCTCAAAGGTCTCTATTCCACTTTCTGCAGACATGGTTCTCCTGCCCACATTATTACAGACCAAGGACGAGAGTTTGTGAACCAGGTAATGAAATACAATAGTTATTAGCTAATATATTTTCAATAATTGACTAGCACTCTTATTTCTTTCATGGATCTGTCTGGTGAGTATGATTAACACTCTAAAAGGGCTATAAACGGCTTACATTTAGGACTTATTTCCTGAAAAATCAACAGTAAATTTGATTTACCAAAATTCTGTTACTTACAATAACAAACTCTTTTAATTATTGAGAATGACATTGGTTAGCTTGTTTACTTAAAAATATATGTTTTAGGTGAATGAGGAATTATTCACAGTTTTTAAAATTCATCATCGCATTACTTCAGCATACCACCCTCAATCAAATGGCCAAGATGAAAGAACTAATCAGACGATTAAAAAGTACTTTTAAATTAACATGTATACTTAACTTGTATTCTTATAGACCAATTTCCTCTGTTATTTTTTCTATTAAGAACTCTCAAGAAAGTTATGGATAGCAAAGCCGACATATGGGATGAATACATAGAAGGAGCACTCTTTGCAATTAATACAAATCAGTCTGCTACCACTAAATACAGTCCATTCTATTTAATGTTTGGAAGAAATCCAAGATTTCCCTTTGAAGCAGACCTCACTGAGGAAAATGACATTGCAGA